AATTTCGCCGCAAAATGTTAACAAAAGGCCGGAAAAAATGACCGAAGGTCAAGTTCAGAGTTTCTGACTTGGACCCGTTTCAATGACTGCAAAAAAAAACCCATTCGATGTCTGGGCAATTTGGGATATCGGACGATTCCTACACAACTGTCGCTGTCAATAATCGATTTAAAAATATAACGGTTTGTTGCGTTCTATTTAGATTCAAATTTTGTAAGATAGAAAAATTTTCATTAGTACAAAAAAAAAAAACAAAAACAATCTATTTTCACTGATGCATAAAAATATATTTTGCAACTGCGGGTTTATTTACGCAGACTGAAAAACTTTCGATTATTGTTTATTTTTGTATCATTCATTTTACGACAGATGCAAATATTTACAATTCAATTGCACGACCATATTTGTAACATACTCCAGATCTTAAATAATGAATAGAATTAAAATAATGTTCTTATACAGCACGTTCAATTTAATCACGTGACGACGTCACGATTTAATTTATTGCTGCGTTGCCACGTTGTAATATTTTTCTCCCAATTCCAAGAATAACATCTTGTACATTTCTCCTAACTAATCGAGCTAACGGTGCTTTCGTCTCGTTTTCACGCCCGCGGCATTGCCGAGGTAATAGGCATAATTTGACGTATATCTGCGAAATATTCCCAATGTAAAGGCCGCTGCGTGTTCGATCGATTTTTCAAGGTTGCCCCTGGTGATTTCGTTTTTTCCGAAGCGGAGCGTTATTGTTGTGTTTTTTTTTTCGTAATAACTAGGTATGCATTACGCCTGTAATAAATGTATGTGTGTATGGTAGTTTCGCGGGCACTGGTGAAACAATTTTTTGGACGCCGGCCAACGAACCGGCTTTTTTGGGTGACTGCAGACGGTCGGTTCACTTTCGCATCGATTCCGAGCATTAACTTCCATTTATTCCGTTATGATAATTTCGAATCGAGTGTGTAATTGTACTTGAATTTACCGGGGTTATTCGAATGGTCTTTTAGAATTGCGTCCCATTGTCGATGGGACTTTGGTCAATTATTCTGCATGGCAAATTACTGGGTTGTTTACACCTGTATAGTGGAGTTGATCAAGTTAGTGTTGTCATTAGCGAATTTTATATTTCAGGTTTTTTTTTCGTTTCTGAATTTGCCATGGATAGATCACTCTGTATACTTAATAAATGACAACAACAATTTTTCAAGTTATGAATCACACTAATTATAGTTTGAACTACAACTAGATAATTCTAGTATATTAATCAATTTTTCACAGTAAAGTCACTAAATTGATTGATGGATGCCAAATGAGCGAAGAAAAATTGTAATCAAATACTTATTTGCAAAACGTTAAACATGTGATACATATGTATGTATACTGATAGAATATCATAGGTATTCTATATCTTGTTATATCTCTTATTGGTTTTGGTTGGTGCACAAGTGCATTAGCTTTCAAAATAAAATCAATATTTTTTAATATCGGTATTGGAAACTTTATATACCGCAGACGTAGTTTGTAGAGAAAAACTATTTTAATCATAAAATGGAATCCTATATACACAAATTGGAAAATATTGCTCGTTGAAAAATCGTAAAGAGTACTTAGTATTTATTTAGCGTTAATTATCGGTTGGAAGTTTTTCAAACGTATTGTAAAATAAATATAGTCGTAAAAAAGACATAAAAATGCAGGTGAAAAGTGCTAACATTCGAAACTCTATGTACTCGACACCGGTGTACTTTCTATTAATTTCCACGTTCAATAAACCAACGATTGACATACGAAATTATAATGAATAGGTTGGTATAAAGAGAAATTTCGTATTCATATTTAATCTAGCCTAATAGAAAACAATATTGCTGTAAATCTTTCGAAGTGTCCTTTTTATTTTTGTCCCTAACGACATTAAATTATTTCTTTCTATACCTTCTAACCATGCCGCTAAATTGATTTATTTATTATAGACAGTTGTTGGTGAAATTCAATTCGTTGTACCGCTACATTTCTAACGCCTCGGGTATAATTAATTACCGTGCACGGTCAAACTAATTATTTATCATTTTTTTGAACGAATATACGAATTGATCACATGCAAAAATATTGGTATTCGCTTTATAATTCAATCCATTTATCTGGATCTAATTTATTATTTTAATAGATATTAGAGGTGGGCTTTTTCGTTTATACGAGTAATAACATCTATCAATGAATCGACCCGTAGTGATTATTTTGGTGTTTAATTTAAATAATAGTTTGTATCATTGATGATTAGATAAACGAGGCGCGTTCTGTATGTTTAAATTAAACGAAAGTGTAATAAAAATTGAAATAAAACCAGACAGACCCTAAATTAATGGTCGTTTAAATACGTTTTCCCTTTCGTTTTTGCGTGTATTAATACAATTTACAATTGGGTAAAAAATCGACGCAATTAAAATAAACTTAACGAATGCTTTCGGCGTGACACGTTATCCAAATAATTTTCCGGAATTAAATTGAATGAATCATGCGCGAATTAAAATGATTAGGTCGATCTTTCGGTTAATCTCCCCCCCGTGAATCGTCGACTTATTCACCGAAATTATCGGCCGTACTGTCGTTCGAACGATTTATTTTAACGCTCGGAAAATAATAGAAATATTCCAAAGGGAATTTTCCCGATGGATGCTGCAATTTGTCGGCGCGTAATAACTTATTTACAACGTGGTTTTTGTTATTCAATTTCGTCGTCGGATGATTTTCAAACGCGTTCGGTTCGGAAAAATCGCGGCGCCTGCGAAATCGCATCCTTCACGGTCTATTTTCATTCGGGAGTCTCCGGGGAAAATTCGACGTACTATACCTATCTCGTTTTGTTGATAATAATTATTCGAACGCAATTCGTATACGTAAAACAATTTAATTGCGGCGATAAAATTCCTACGCGGAAACATTTTTGTTATATCGGTTTTGCGCTGAAATTTGGAGAAAAATGGAACTCATCGCCTTTTATGACTGTTGAACTTTCTATCATACAAGATTTAAAACATTTGCATAATGCAAAATTTAAATCAAACGAACTTGAACATGAAAAGACCAATGACCTGTTATTATCACAATCGATAGAAAGCTGTTTTTTTTTATTTATACATTGATTTTATTTAGAATGGAATAAAGTATTACGATTTTTTTAAAAGTTCAATTTGAACGCAATTTCTATTCTATCGGAGTTGAGTTTGTGCTTAAAATTTCGCGCAAATGATGCATTTTACAATGTTATATCGAATATCGATCGATCATTTGAGACCTTTTGTGCTTCTCGCGAAAATCAGCATGCAAATTAACCCATACAAACTCCTCGCTTTGTAGGTACTAGATGGAAATGTTTTTCCCATTTTCCGCCGATGTAGTGGGTAGTGGTTGTACTAATTTATTTTCGTATAATTAATTATCGATTAAAACTTATTCGGGATATTATGTGGACTAATGTACAGGTCTACGAATTTACCATGGCACCTGGGGAAAATATTTTCTGCGCGAAGTAAGGGTCAGTGTGCGACAAGAATAGCATTCGGAATAAAGAGATGGCTATACAGGTAGTGAACGTAGTCGCATTTTACTCGACACTTTGCATTAAACGGACTCGGGGGCAATTGGGATTTTCGAATGCAATTAAGAAAAATATTTAATACCGTTATTTATTAGAGATTAAATTCAATTAGCTTACTTTTATTGAATGCAAATCTCAATATGTTTTGAATGTATAGAAATAATGGATGTTAAATTAGTTTACTAAGAATAATTATTGCGTTCGCATTCAAGCCCATCAATTTTAAACCGGATTAATTAAATATCAATCAAATATAATAATAAATCTTAATATTAATCTTATACGGGGAATAATGAATTATTGGATTTATAGGAAAATAACATAACAATGAAAATGGGTTTTTCAGAGCCACGAATCTAAAATTTTAGGAATTTCGCTCCCTTAATACGGCTCTGTGCTTAGATGTTTAAGCGTAACAGCTCGTTCACACGGCGACGATTCGTCTTTTTTTCGTATCGTGATTTTAACGAATCGTTATTATTTTTTTAAGTAAATAATAATTTGCTATGAGGAACTTCACACGCGCATACGGTATTACGAATCGTGAAAAATGACGGATCCGTCCGTGTGCGACATTCGTCTTTGCCACCAAAAACGGATCCGGCTTTGACGGATCCGTTTCAAAAACATTGAAGTTCATATGGACGGTTTCACACTATGTAGATTTTTGACGAATCGTATTTTATATTTTATATCAATATTTATGCGAATATTTACGATAAAAAAGACGAAGCACCCGTGTCGTGTGAAGATCATATCCGTTTTTAACGTATCGTCTTAATAACGAATCGTTAAAAACGGATCGCCATGTGAACGAGGTGTAAGACTGTCTGAACAGAATGAGTGCGGAGCGTAATTTAGGGACGAATCTACGGCGCATCTAGGGGGTGGAGCATCTCAGGTGCCATGGTAAATTCGTAGACCTGTAGTAACTTAATACCGGGGATGAAACTAGTTTATTACGGAAAGTTTGTTTTTTAATGGTTATTTAATCAGCGCTCGTTGGTAATTGAACTTTGGGTTAAAATTTTAGTTCTTTGCGTAAAATACCGCATTGAAAGATAAAGACGAATTATTAAATCACATCATTTATTTTTAATTGCTTATCAACCGGTCGTTAGAATATGAAATTCTAGTTATTAATAGAAACTTTAATGTAATTGTACATTCGAATAATGTAACGCTTATTCGAATATCGTTGGAATTTTCGAAATCGATACGCGAATTTTGCAATTTTCTACGTAGTAGCCTTATCACTAGATTGTAGTAAAAGAAAAATGTTTCGAAACTGATTTTGTATTTGTAGATTCGTTAGCGTTCATTTCCTGATGCATTTTTTTTTTAAATAATTCTCCCGATTTATAAATTGCACAATTAAAATATTTCGTTTTTTTTTGTGGGACAGGTTGAGCAGCGAGATGTGCCCGGCATCGATTGTGCCTACCTAGCGATGGACACCGAAGAAGGCGTGGAAGTCGTGTGGAACGAAGTTCAATTCTCTGAACGGAAAAACTTCAAAAGCCAAGAGGAGAAGATCCAGTTGATTTTCGAAAATCTCACCCAACTAGAACACCCGAATATAGTCAAATTCCATAGGTATTGGACTGACACGCATAACGACAAGCCTCGGGTAAGTCCACCGTACATCTCCTATGAATAAATCCGCGGGGTTTAAATCTGGTCATCGAGCGGGCCATTAGCCAATTAAAAAATGTTAATTTTGACCATTTTTTTGCCCCCGTAAAAGTGATAGATTCTTTCTATTATCTTCTCGTTGGTTACTCTTTGTGGCTAATCGAGTTGTTGGTTGTTTTGTGGGTGAATTGGTGATAATTTTTCCAGGTAATCTTCATCACGGAGTACATGTCGTCGGGTTCGTTGAAGCAATTCCTGAAGAGGACCAAACGAAATGTGAAGAAACTGCCGCTGCAAGCTTGGAGGAGATGGTGTACGCAAATCCTCTCGGCTCTGAGGTAAATATCCTTAATGGCGAACAGATAAACATTGTTTCGCAACGGTTTTGGTCGAATGGTTATTCTAGCTTTTAAGATGTTTTGTATATTAATGATATCGTATTTAGATTGTAAGGTTTTTTTTTTCGATTTTACGTTGGTTATTTATTTATTTTTATTGATCTCTTCGAATATGTATCGCCACAATATTCAGTGTTTTGTAAGTATGTAAATGGATAGTTGTGGTCGATTTTTTGTCTATTTGTTTTTATTTCAGCGTTACAAGGTAAGTTCCTTGTATCCTACCAGGCGAATGTTATCTCGGAATCGTATATATTGAAATTGTCGATTTTTTTTTTCAGTGTTCAATTTAACTAGCATATATAAATAAATAATAGATAAATCGCACGAATGTTAATTGTCAACGGTCATCTGTCTCTCTTGTCATTTGTCGGTAGCTCGGTGGTAGAGCAATCGCGCGCGAATTCGGTCCTAACGGGTTTTTTTATTTCAAATTTCAAGGGTTACAGATGGCCGACGCGTCGAAAGGACCCTGCGGGCCCGTCGCTCCTGCGACACCTCGAAGGGAACTTTTCTCTCTATATTACATTTTCTATTTGGCCTGGAAATTTTCACCGGAACATGGTCCCCGTTTCGTCTCTTGCCCAGTTTGCAGCGATGAGAGATTGGCAGCGGTGTCTTCAAGCAGCGTTGCCAGATATCCCCGTTGTGTTTTCCTTGGATCTCCTTCCTTATTTTTTTTACCTCCCCTCCCCATTCTCGCTCACTTTATAGTTTGTTAAATTTTTTTTAAAGGAGTTTCTTGCAGATGGTTATATTGTACACGAATGTTTTTTTTTTTTTAGGGTATAGGTGCGGTAAGTACGGCGGATGTTTATAAGGAAACTTCTTTAAAAAAAAATTAAGCAACGTTGTGTTGTATTGAAAAAAAAAGTTAAATCAGATTGGATTGGACGTGATTATTGTGACCTTTCCGTTAATCCCGTGCAATTTTCCCGATTTTGTTTTACCGATCCCGCGTTGCCACGTTGTTTCGCCGTGCACGTCTGGCAACACTGTCAACGAAGTATTATGAATGCAGTCTGTTTTTTATTTCTTTACAGTTACTTACATTCCTGTTCGCCACCCATCGTCCATGGCAACCTAACCTGCGACACAATTTTTATTCAGCATAATGGTCTCGTCAAAATAGGATCAGGTAATTTCAAAATCAACAAAACAAAAAAAAAACAAAAAAAAAAATACAAAAAAATCATTCAGAATTTTTTTTGCAAAAATTGGAAAAATTCTCTTGCATATAAACCTCTCCGTGTATAAATAGACACAGAGATAATTCGTTATTTTTTTTTATTCATCTCGAATTGCAAATTACTTCTTTCGAGCTGTATAGCGAAGGATTGTCGGCGGCGGATCGTTGAGCCTGCTTCAGATTGTCGTCGCTCAAAGCGTTTCAACGCCGAAAATTTCAAATTGTGAAAAATATCAAAATTAAATTATCTGTCGAAATGTTTTGTACAATGTTTTTTCTGAATCGGATTTTATCCCGTTCGTCGTTTCGTGCGATTAACTCTCGCCGAATTAATCGGACGATTACCGGAATAAAATTCGCGTTTTTTTTTTAATTTTTTCGTTTCGAGTTATATTTCGTTTGTAGCGAAGTGTTGTAATGCAAACGCTATATAATCGGTGACAGATTTGTTGTTAGAAGTTCCCATCGAATTGAATTTTGACAGGTTTTTCGTTGAGTCAATGATGAAGCGTTCGAACGTTGGTTTGTTTTTTTTTTTTTAATTTTTTGAGTGGCGACACTGCTGAGCCAGGCATGTGGGCGGGCGTAGATTAGGGCGGCGTTAATCCATGCCGAAGCGTTACGTCCTTCTAAGGTACAGTTTTTTTTGGTTGGTACGACCTTAGATCGGCAACTTCACGCTTGGGAATGGATACGATGTAAAACGTCGGTCCTTCTTCGTTCGCTTGAACCGTTTTCGAAGTATTACCTATTAGAGCAATTGCTTTTTTTGTTTGATTTCACACGATCGAGTTTGTTGTTTTTTTTTTTATTCTTCGCGATTTTCATCGGATCCCGGATGGGCGAACGATGGATAGTCGGAAGAAAGCGTTTCGAAAGCGGTTTCGATGATCCGTTGTGCCGGAAATGTTTCTCTATCGGCAACTCATGCTGCCAGCTAAATACCTCGTTTACTAATTCTTAATATTGTTTCCCCCTCTAGTGGCTCCCGATTCGATAAACCATCATGTTAAAACGTGCCAGGACGATTTCAAAAATATGCATTTCATTGCACCCGAACTTCCCAGTAAGTAGAATTCAATTGAAGTATTTCTTGTTTTATTTTATTTCGTGTCTTGTCCAACGAAATTAACGCCGATTAACTTCGAAAATTAAATTGTGTACATGTTGTAAATCTTAAACGATATCGGGGTTATTTTTGTTAGATTTTAATAAATTATTATTTCGAGAAAGTATGGAAATTTTTGATTATTGGTTTAGAAATTTATTTTGAGCTATTGGCACTTTTTTCGAGTTACTAATGATGGTTTTTATTGATTAAATAATACCAAAACATTTGTTGAAAAATGTAACAGGTGTTTCCTGGCTCTTTCTTTGCTAAGAAATCGCCTCCTTTATTGTTCTGCACATGTTACAAATTGCTCTGCTTAAGTAGTACACTAATACTCACACATTTGAACTTTTATATACGAGGAAGGTTTCCAAAGTTAGTGGAATTGTGCTATATTACGCAGTACTTATAGGCAATTGATTATTGGTGACAAACTGTCAACAACATATTGCCTATAAGTTCTGCGTAAAGAGTACAAATCCTAGAACTTTAGAAACATCACTCGTAGTCAAAATCTTGCCCACAATAATTTGATTAATTATTTACACACCTAACAGTGGTTATTTTAAAAAATAGCAAAACAGCTTTATGCTCATTATCAATCATTGAAAATTTCGCTCATTTTTTCACCTCCATTTATCCTTATTCAATTTATTACTGCACATCTCCAACAAGTGTGCCAATATTGAATTGACACTTACAATAATTCGCATCGAGCTTTTAGTAAATAGCCAATGAAAGAATCAAACAGCGCCCTCGAGCTTTCGACAGCCGTACGTATTGTTTCGCTCGTTTTTCAGCTCAAATGGGCCCCCAAATCGACATCTATTCGTTCGGCATGTGCGCGTTGGAAATGGCCGCCTTGGAGATCATCGGCAACGGCGACTCCGGCAACAAGGTGACCGAGGAGAACGTCAAGAAGACGATCGATTCGCTCGAAGATCAACACCAGAAGGACTTCATACTGAAGTGCCTGTCGCCGCGGCCCGAGGACCGGCCCACCTCCAAAGAATTGCTCTTCCATCCGTTGCTGTTCGAAGTGCACAGCCTCAAGCTACTGGCGGCGCATTGTTTAGTTAGGAAATCCGGTGAGTTTTCTAGGGCGTTGCGATTCGGAAGGCCCATTTAAAATGTCCATTATTAAGCACTATTTAATGACAATTTTTATGTAAATCCAATGATTTTACTGTTTACGTACTCCTTCTAAAGCCACAGAGTCTCGAGTTAAGTTCCTTATTAATTTATTACCCCGCGAATGAAACCTGTCAAATATGTCAAATTATTTCTGACATTTGTTGCAATGCGAATTGTTAGTGGATTTTTGAAACAATTTTTCAAACGACTCTAACTAATTTATTACAGTTTCAAAGTAATTATTATCAAAAATTCGATGAACTTGCCTGTATTTCGTTCGTTGTGCGCTCTATGCGACATCTATGAATGCGAGTTGGAACTTTTACTAAATGAATTGACATATTGTAGTTCTGTCGGTATTACAGGAAACTGTATTTCGTACGGTTCGTATGATTTCCAATAGATGTCGCTACTTGTTCGATTTCTGCGATTTGACATTTGTGGATTTTCTGCAGATTTCTATTAATTTTAATGCACCTCATGAAGGTGGCGAAACGTTTCCTATTTTTTGTTGGAAAATCGATAAACTGCAAAATTATTTGCATCGTTTTATATAGCAGGTAACTTTATTTTTTCTAATATATCGATTTTGGGTATTTATTATAAATTGAAGTACAATTTAATTTAATTTTTTCTTTAATAATATCTATTGATTTATTTTTCTCTATTATTCTCATTATTACAATTATTATTACACATATTACATTGAAGTTTTTTTTTAGTTGATTTTATCTAACTTTGTATAATAAATAAATTCTAATAATAAATTCGAAAATAATCATTATCTAAAGCAATCTAGACATTAAAAAAATTCTATTATACTATGAAATTTTGCTTATTGTTTGAAAAACACCATAAATACTTGTGTAAACATACTTGTCTGAATATTTATCTAATCTAATTTTGATTAAATAATAAAGTGTTTTTTTCAAAAAATGTTTACCTACTTTTTGCGCACTTTATTAGCAACTACCTAATTTTTTAGTTTGCTCAAAATTTTATTCAAATTAGATCTATTAGCTTATTTAATTTGAGTTTCGGTTCCTTCAATTATCGACAATTATACCCTTATTATAGTATTTTATTTTTTATTTACGATTTGGAATGAATATTTTTCACATATTCGGTTTTTTATATTTTTTCAAAAAATACCCATTTAGCTAAATTTAGCCTCGTATAAAGAAAAAAGAAAGCACTTATTTGCACTTACCCATAGATTTTACATTAAAGATTATAACATAATGGACTTTCAGTTTTATATTGTTTTCCTAAAAATGCTTACCGAATCAAAATATATTTTATCGAAGAAACAAATTTTTGAAGAAAACATTACTCAATGTTATTGTTTTGTACAAACATAAACCGACATCGGGTTCAAGATTGCTTAAAAATCCGAAAATGGTCTTGTAACCGCTGTTATCTGGTATAATTTCGCTCTTGGTACTTTATGATCTTTGAAAAAATGCCGATGAACCGATAACCTACACCTTTTGACCGAAGTTTTTATCAATTTTAATTACGATCGAACCAGTTTCAACGAGAAAACGATCGAATTATCAATGCATAAACGATCCTTTTCAGTCCGATTGATTCTTAACTTAAAAATAGTCAAACACAAATCAAGGCGAAACCTTCTTCTCTGACGGTGTTTAAGATATTTTTATAATAAATATTTTCCTCGATTATTTTTATCGTTGAAAAATTTCGTGGGAGTTTCTGGGTTCTTTATATTAGTAGTATTTAAAATTTCGTGGAAATCTTGAGATTATTTAATAAATAATAGTGCATTTCTCTAGCTACGAGTTTTTTTTTGGTACATCAGCTATCAAATTTTATCTTATCTAACAAAAAGTATTTTTAATCACTGAAAATATGTGTATTTATGATTTGTTCTATGTAATTAAGAAATATATTAAGGTCATGTTTAATTTTTTTTAGAATTTGAAGGTTTTTTTTATTATGAATCCTATATTCTTTTGCAACATACATAAATTTTACTTGGTCTTATAAATTAATAAATCACGAAACACTATTCAGTACTGTTATTTATATCAGTTAATAACTGATACCTAGCAGTCTAGTCTGGAGGAAATTTCTTCTAGATACTAGGTGCTTAATTTTGTTTTCCAAATCGAGCATTTATCAACAACTTTGCTTAATTAGTCAATAGAGATAACCTTTTAATTTCACTTTAATGATATTAATACATTACGAGGAAAAATCGACCGGAGATTACAAATACACTTTATTTAACGTTATGTAATCGCATCTGCTCCAAAATTCACCTTGAAATAACTTGTAAACAAATATATTGTTTATGTCCAATTAATTTTCTGTTTCTTTTTTCCATTTCGGATTAATTTAAAAATTATTCAAGTGCCGTAAAATGAAGATGTATTAATATTTATGCATTTTTTTCTGGTCGAAAATAGCATCGATTAATGCTAATATAGCTGGTTGACATTAACAAAATAAAATTGATGAGGATGATTTTATTAAGAGTATAATCTTTGTTTCACACATTTTTTTCTCACAAAAATAAAATGAGTTTGTGCCATATCGATAAAATATTCCATTATGGAATTGTTTCGATTTTATCGTCCACCTTTTAAGATATTAGGTTAGATTATTTTAAATACGTAACGCATGATTTAGATAAGATTTTAAAAAATCTGGGTCTTGTAATGTGCTGGAAATAAATTGGGTCGTTAAATTCGATTGTAAATAAAATATTTACTATTTATCTAAAGGGCAGTGCATTTGTTGTTTATTACAAAGTTGTCATAAAGTGGAATGACTCTAAATCAATGTCTACATGTAACTTGTAGGTTTTAAATATAAAAAAAATTGGCTCGGGTTAAAAATATTCCGTTATTGTTGTTTTGATCCACATAGAAACGCCTTCCCGTTTGTATCATGAATCTTTCTGGGTTAGATAAAAATTGTTATTGTATTTTCAATCGACTCTGATAATTTTTTTTTCGAATAATAATACCAATTTGAAACGATACAAACTATTTGTAAAATCTTTAATTGCTAATAAGTATAGTCTCACACTTAATAATGGTAATTGCTTCGGCTCGTTATAGGTTTAGGTACTTAGTTTAATTACTCGTTTGTTGGTTACTCAGAATGCTAAAAAAATAGTTATAAGTAGAAATTTAGTTGCTGTGGGAACAAGTCCAAGTTGAATTTTCATTTATCTCGAATTCGAAACGTTAAATATAGTCGACTTTTGACCTAGCAGGTTTTTGCTAAATTTATTTTTAAGTCTACCTAGATTTTCCCCTAATACCGCTATAAAATACAATGCAAGTTCATCGATTAAACTGGCCCTTTTGCTATATTTTTTGTTGATTGTAAATCGTTTTTGTAGCGAATATTTCGGAAACGATAACGGACGAACTGATGCAAAGGTGGTATGGTCCCGATGTTATTGTGGCGGAGATGAAGAGGAGAAGCGGCGAATGTGTTCAAATGAAAATGGCCAATATTACGGTGACGGAGAAATTAGAAAAATTCGTCGAAGATGTCAAGTAAGTATCGATTTTCAGGCTCAAAAGATTTCGGTTAATTTTCATTAAGGATTTTGTTCCAATGAAGCGGTTAAAATGTATCTCACAGATAATTTATTTATCCGTGCGTTTATAAATCTGTCTCGAATTTTAGTAAGTTTACTTGCCAAATATTTATCGAAATGATTCACTGCCATTCCGAATACGCGATTATCTACGCGAAAAAATAAATTGTTTGCTAATTTAATGTTTGCTGATTTATGATATAATCCGGACGAGGCTTTTTGAGTGTTTTCCAACATTTTGTGTACGGTTTCACCTGAGAACTTGATGATGTTTCGAATGCTTCCCGCATGTCTAATACGTGCGTTCAACAACTTTTTCAAGTAGATATTATAACAAGCCAAATTGCTATTTCGAAAATATACAGATAAGTGCAAATTTGTACGGGACAACAATGCCAACTTCCATTAATCCCATATGAAGGAAAAAGAAGTAGTGATACTGTAATAGGAAAATTATGATAGAAAAGTTGTTTTTTTTTCTAAAATTTTAACACCCTTGTAGCTCGGAAACTAAGAGGTTTAGGACACATATTGATATAAACTTTTCTTCTTAAAATCATCCAAATATTTACATCCTGAAGTATCGGCATTCAATTAATTAACACCATATACAGGTTCCATTAGACACTTATAAAGGAAAAAGAAAGAGTGACATTTGTGTCATTGCAACTTTTCACTCTGACAACTGTCATTTTAATAATCTTTCTTTGTTCCACTCGTAGAAATGACCATTTTGCAATCGGAAATGGAGCAAGGTGTATGTATAGTGATGATTATCTTGAAATGGATTAAAAATAGGTGTAATCAATTACTGAATATTGAAGTAATTTTTACCAAGTTGTCTCTATGTTTAGTCCTGTTTATCTTCAATTTAGAGTGCCTTATAGAATCATAAAAAAGGTCAAATTAATTTATCGATTGTAGTATTTTTTATCAAGTAGTAAATTCTGATAGATATTCAAGTAATACTCCTATGCAAGTTCGCGGAAATCGCCTAATACGAAAGCGCCTAAGCGTCTAGTCTCTGCTATACACAAAGTACACATCACACGTAAAATACATACATGATATAGCCGCATCCTCTCAATACGGAGTGACGTAACCCGTTCGAAACTAGTCTTATCACATCACACAAGCGTTTCTCTACGGTCTACAATATAAAGTAAAGTACTCTCCCCTCTTATCATCGGCTATAAGACCGGCGAAAGGTGGTTACATGCGTTTAAAGTAAAAGTCGACGCTGGTTTGTCTGGTCGGGAACGGGATTGCGAAATCATTTTGGTTACATTCGAATCGTTCGAATTTTCCGGCGCGTTGCAGTTTTGGGAGTTTCGTATTTTTAAATCGGTTTTTTTTTTCTCCTGCTATTTGATTGTTGACACTCGTCGACGACGAATCGTTTTCCGCCTTTCGACCGCGAGAGAGGACCCGCTACGAGCTAGTTTATTTTTATTATTTTCGTCGAGATGGTAACGCTCGATTATTTGTTGTTTCAATTGGAGGCTTTGAGCTCTTCGCCCACTAAAAGGTGAGTTTTTTTTTTAATATATAAATTATTTGATTGCAGTAGGTGAGTTTTTTTTTTGTTTTATAAATTAGCAGGGGAAATGTTTGGCATGAATATAAGAGGATTTTTTCTTTTAAACTTTAGAGCAAAATTCATCTAAAATTTTGGCTTTTTTATTATTTAAATGACATGAAATTGGTGAAATTTCCAAATTAGGTAAATTTAGCAAATCTGTATTTGGTTTTTTTTAGTACTAATTACTTTTTAAATATGTCATTTTACTTTTTGTTTCTTAATAACGACAATTCTTGGAAAATTGCGTTCCTCTTCGATTTATTTTTACAAGTCAATTTTTTCCTTGTTGTGATATAATTTTTATACGTGCAAATTGTTGAGTAAATAACAAAAGCCTTGAATTTATAAAATTACTAGCTCGGAATTCGTTGGAATATTCGGTTTTTTTTTTTTCATTACATATCGAGCGCGCGCATATTTTATAATCATTTCAAGAGATCCCAAAAAGGAATCTTTCGAATTCCTATAGCATGCAATCGACTTTCGCAATTAGAGATTAATTTTTTTTCTTACTTCGCAAATTTTTATTCAAACATTCAAAAACAACAAATAAGGATTCTCCAATTGATTCTTCACGTCCGTACAAAACCTGGCCATGGTGGCTCCATCTATAGTCCTGTGATCGCCGGAAACGCTAATCGTAACCACCTCCGCCGCCGCCACTTCACCGTTCTCATCGAACCGGGGAAGCACCCGCGATCTACCCAACGCCATTATGGCGGCTTGAGGCGGCAATATGAACGGCTTCAAATGCGTACCGCCGATGGAACCAATGTTGGATATCGTAAACGTCCCTCCCGACAGATCACCCAGCGAGAATTTCCCGGATTTTCCGTCGCGAATGTAGCGCTGTAGCTCTTGGTTGATTTCGAATATCGAGAGGTTTTGAACGTTTTTTATCACCGGTACAGCCAAACCGTCCGCCGTGTCCACTGCTATACCTACGACAAAATTATTAGATTAAACGGTTTGGATGGGTTTGTAGGTGTTTGTCGTTGGGTTACCTATATTGTGGTGTTTGTGGTAAACGATATTCTCGGCTCGATCGTCGATGGATGAATTTATGACGGGGTATCTGGCCAAAGCGTTGGAAACGGCTTTAACGAAGAACGGCAACGACGAGATTTTGCGATCGTGCTTCGCTTTGAGCAGCTTTCGTATTTTCGTCAGCTCGTTCACGAGGATCTCGTCGCCGTAGAGGAAGTGCGGTATCTTCAAAGCCTCCGTCATGGATTTCACCATCGCCTTTTGGAAGCCTCTGATGGGTCGAGCGGTCGACGTTTCGCTCGCCGATGGCGGATCAGCCGCGGCTTTGCTCATGTAGTTGAGGACGTCTTCCTTCAGGATGCGACCGTTTTTGCCGCTCGCCGGTACTTTGCTCAAGTCCAGATTGTGCTCTTTGGCTAAGCGCCTCACCGACGGTATGCATTGCACGCCCGAATTGTCGGGTGCAAGTTTTTCGGTGTTTATCGGCGTCGGTTTTCGAGTATCGGCGACTTCATCTTGCGCCGTTTCCGGCGTTTCGGGGCCGTCGTTTTCCGTTTCGATGTCGACGAGGGGTTTACCGACGAACGCGGTTTCGTCGACGTCGTAATGCAGCTTGGCTACGACGCCGTCGTATCGGCTGGTTATGGTCACGGACGCCTTGTCACTTTGCACTTCGCATATATTGTCGAATTGCGCGACTCGATCGCCCGCTTTCACGAACCATTCTTTGACGACGACTTCGCGAATGCCCTCGCCGATGTCCGATAGGTTGAAGGCGACTCTGGATAGTCGATTGGCGTACAAATGGATCCGGTTGGTGCGATTGAAGCCCCGAAACGCCGACAAAAGTGATCTCGCCGTCGCCATTGTACTGGCACTGAATCATTGACTGTACTGAGTTAACGATTGTTCTTATCACTGTTTTGGTGTACGGTATGTGGCAATGAATGGTTTTAACCTTATAGCGAACGGAGATATTGAACGTTCGTTTCTTCACTTCATGTTGTTATGGACGTTTTGTATTGTTTCTAAGCGAGGTGCTTTTTTCCACGAGTGTATTATACATTTTTTTTTTAGTAGTAGTACTTAATAATTATCATTGTTGCCTTAAAGTAGCAGCGTTTTTGATTCATAATTAGGTACTAATTAACCTTCATTTGAATTTAAAATTTTTATAGTATGTACTCTTATTGTTCTCGAAACGTGTGGATTTGATGGAAAAAATGTGAATTAGTCACATAAAAATGCTGGGTTGTTACTAAATTGGAACATTTGTTAACAGGCTTAGGTACTATAACGCATATCATTATAATTTTAATGTAAATTGAAGGATTTCGAACGCTTGTTTAAGAAGATAAAATTGATAACGTTCCTAATTGGAAACTAATATTTTTTTAATGATAATTACTTGAGCTAATTATAAATTCAACAAAAACATTATTACACAGTCTATATTTAAAATTACCTTTTTTTGGGCAAGGAAAAGGTTCCAATAGGCTCGCGTTCAATTTCGATGTGTTAATAATTGATTATACCTCAGGTGATGTAATTTCGCGGTACTTTGAATACTGGATGACAATAAAAACCAGTTTTTACGACAATTATCGGAATTTTTTATTAATTTAATTGCCGGGCTTCGAGACTAAACGTCGCTAACATTAGAACAATACATCATAAAAATGTTTTAAATATATTAAGCGGTTTTTTCTGTCACATTATCGAACTACATACATACATACATACAGAGATAAATATAGTTTCTTTATAAGTTTCAACCTTTGCCACATTGCAATAAGTAACTGACGTCAAATGTGTAATTATTTATTTCTTTTTGTGCAATATCTACTTTTGATACCTTATCAACGATTTGCCGATGTCAGAGTTTAAAAATAGATTTCGATTTTCGATTGTAAAAATGATATAAAATGATACAAGTCGAGATGGTACTAGATAATAAAGAGCCACTATATTTTTCTTAATAATCTAAAAAAAATGTTTGTTGGAGAGAAATCACTCAATTTTTCATGTTTATGATGTAGGAAAGTGATAAGAGGAAAACGGAGTCGATCAATTTCCTGGTTAATCTGGAATGGAAAATAACCGGCAATAATCGTGTTAGGTAGAATAGTCGTCCCGTTGGCAAGCAAATCATTAACTAAAATTATTTTCGTTAGCTCTCGTAAAGTCTAAAAACGACCGTGACACCTGCCAGTCCTTTTAGCATGGTATGTTTGTTTGCGTCATCCGAGTTTAATATATATTTTTCTACTATATTTCCCGTTCGCAATGATTTTTCAACGTAACGAAAAAGAATTTATCATACGTGATTCAGTTTGCGGTTGAAAATCGCAACGCCGGGATTGTTTGATGAGCTAATGTTTTATTTGGCGATTATATCCCGCACCTTCGGCGATAATTGAAATTGCTCGAACGAGTCGGTCGTACAGCCAATTTTTTTAGTAATGAATTTTTTTTTCGTTTCTTGCAGAAATGGCATATACCCGTTAACGGCGTTCGGTGCCAAACAACCGCCACCGCCCAGATCGAGGGCGATATCACCGGAGATGGCGGAGTCTGTCAAATCCGTCACTCCGGAACCCACTGATGTAGAAACTAGGAAAATTGTTAATATGATGTGTGATGTAAAATCCAAAGAAGAGAGCTGTGATCTTTTGGTAGGTGATGCATTTACGGATTAATCGTCCTTTTTAGTTTTTTTTCTTCTTTTTTACAATTTTAGGCCTTTGATACTAAAGCTATTCAGGTCGCGTTTTAAATTAATTTTTTTTGTAACAAATTAAGTTACCTTCAAAAAGCAACAAATAGATCGTTGAATTAAAAACGTTTGTTTTAAATTCGTTGTATTTTAGTTATGTTTGTAAATGTAATTTAGTTTTTGGCCATTTATCATTGGACATTTTTTGGCAGCGGCTTTGAATCTAACACGTAGTTTTTTAAATTAGAACCCGTTGAATTTACATCTTAATTTCGCGGTTCGTTTCGTTTATAAATTAACACTTTCTTTAATTAGCGAATTTTAAAACGATTTTATTCATTTTCAGTTGACTATTGTATTACGTATGGATGATAAGATGAATAGACAGTTGACCAGTTGTATATCTCCGGGGGAAAATCCCAGAAACATAGCAGAGGAATTAGTTCATTACGGTTTTATAAACGAAGTAAGTTCATTTTATTTATACAAAACATCGATTTTACGAAGTTTTTTTTACAAATTTTGATGTATGTCTATCAAATGTCATTAATGTCATCTCGGTATGCCAAAGACACTAAATTTTTGAGTATTTTAAACTGTACTTAATCCTGTACTTACGTAATATTACCTAATATGATCAAAGAAAAGAAAAACAACAATATTAAAGATAATTAATACAGTTTATTCATTTTTTTTTTAATTTATTTGTGTCTAACTTCGTGACGCTTCAAAGAACAGTCTACTGCGATCTCTGAGTGAAAATAATTTGATTTAGTTTTGACAGTTTGAAGTGTCAAATATGTCATTTGCATATTGAAATCAACGTAGCGGTTATATTTTGTGAAAATTATCAATCGACAAAGTTTTGCTTTGAATCAACGAAAAACAACAATATTGTCTTCAATAGTGTGTTCAACAATTTAATTTTCTTATATTGGTGTCTAATTTCGTGAAACACCAAAGACCAGTCTACTGCGATCTCTGGATGACATTTGCGATCCCGATTTATTTTTGACAGCTGAAAGTGTCACATGTCACAATTAAATATTGAAATTGTTCTTCTAGGTAGACCGTGAAAAAGTAGCAAATCTCATAGAAGAATCGTTGCAGCATACGAGTTCGACGTCGGGCCAGAGCAGCCCCACGTTCATCACCTCCGTTCCCATATTGACGTCGTTGCCTACACAACCAGTGCCGATCATAACCGCTCACACGATAACGAACTCTTTGCCGGTGGCAGTGAACACGGTGGCCACTCAAGTGCCCATGCATTCTACTAGTTAGTGAAATGCCTTAATACTTCGAGCCTCTTCGAATGAGTCAACGAGAGCCCCTTGAATTATTAATCGAGAAGACTGGTTTTGTTTTGTTTTGTTTATTATTAGTTAGTTAGTTTTTTTTTTTTTTCGTTTCGGACGTACACGCCGACGTCTCGCTAGTCAAAGTGACCATGTGTTTTTTCAAATCTGTGATCGAGCCCATTTATACGACGTTTGACATTTAAAAAGAAAATGAATAGAATAAGTTATAAAAACAAAATTATCGGATTGGATAGAGAGAAAGAGAGAACGAAAGCGAGAGGAAGATGAGAGAAAGTGAGAGAGAGGAGAGAGTGAGAGGTTTGATTTAGTTTAGTTAGACAAAGGGCATCGGACTGTTTTTTTTTGTTTTACCTAGTTTCGTAGTTTCGTGATTTATTTCATCGAGAAACGTAGGGTAGGTCTCTTGTTTTTTTTTAACGAAAATAGAAAGTGCTGTTCCTGCAGGTAGCGCGTTATTATTATTAAATTTATTATCGAATCTATGGATGTTGAAAATTTCGTTTGAAATCGATTGATGATAATGAAAAACGCGGATCTCTTTGGTACCTATTCTTCAACGCTTACCCACCGATCTCTCTTAGTATCTCGGAAATCTCTTCTCCGTCAATTCTAAATTTATCGAAACATCACAAATTGTTCGCCGTGCATTTTAATTTGAATAACGCCCCCCCTGTTATATTAAGCTTCCGTTTATCGTTTTATTAGCAATTTCAAATACTCGTTGCAAATTAATATTGTTTGCCCCTTGAGACTGATAAATAAGGTTCAAAAAAATTGGATGATTGATTCAATTTACCAAGTGCATATTAATTGAAAGGTACATCTTAGTACATAATTTAGAAAACGAAAAAATTAAACTTGTACATTAGGCTCTTGTTTAATTTCCTCATTTAATCGTTTTTTTTTGTATCGCCTCTCATTGAATGTACTTGGTAATTTGACATTTTTTTTGAGCTGCATTCGAAAATGATTGGAGCTTTATTTTCTGAAATAAATGTAATTGAACAGAAGCGTGATACTAATGCCATGTATGCAATTTACACGAATGGATTTTTTACACAACGTCGATGAGTTTTAAAATGATTTAGTCGAAAAAATTGGATTTTAATGCGTTAGGTATTTTTGGATTGTGTAAAAATATAGTTCGTGGGATATGTAATTGCTTATGAAAAAAAATCGATTTAGTCAATGCGCACCTTTCTTATTATGATTTTTATTAAGGTCAGGACCAAAATTAACTAATATCTTTAATTGAATTGGGATTCGATAGACAAGTGAATACTACTTTATGAATTACATTCAAGAAGTTTGTCGAATAATAGAGAAAAAAATTCAACTTGAAGAAATAATGCGAACTTTCTTTAAAATTAATTCAGGGTTGTTTATTTTTATGTTTAATTCGACAAGCTTTTTGAATATATTTGAATGATGGTGGATTTCGAAAATATTTCAGCAACCCTACATTTATATTTAGAAAACGTTTCGTACGTTTGCTTAATTTTTCTAATTTCTGTGAAATGATCTTGTTTAAAAGCTATCTAGCATCTTTTCAATAGGATGCACATTTAACGATTTAGTGATCTTCACTAGATACGCTTTGCTTATTACATAATTCTTAATACAAAGGTTAGTAAAAAAAATAAAAATTGACTATGCAGTTTTGGTCGTAGCGTATGTTGTTTGAATTCTATTGGCATGTTGCGCATATTTAGAAATATACTAACTTGCTTTTCCTGTACTATTTTGAGAAAGCTAGGCATGCATGTTATTCGAAATTCACCTGGTTGAAATGAATTGAGATTTTTTATGGAAGCGACCTGAACGAAAATTGTAAGAAAAATTAAATTAAAATGCAACTTATTGATAAGTTTATGAAATGTTTTAATTAGAGCAAAATTTGTTTGGTTATTTACAATTTTAAATAATAATTGTCTACAGTCTGGGTTTTGCACTGCCACATAACTTTGTATCGTTTTTTTTTTGGTATATTTTTTTTCGTTCAAGTTGCGTTATATTGCATAATTATTACATTTGATAGTTGTACATAGTTTAAATAACAATAGCCTTGTATGAAAAAATTGTAGATATTAAATTTTTTTTATTGAAAAAAACATATGTAGATTTAAGAAAATAATTATAATATTTATTATGTATTGAGTTATAAGGAAGAACTCTCTCAGTAGAAATTTTTAACAAAATTTTTGGTATGATTTGAGTAAGTGAAGTGATTATTAGAATTATTAGAAAGAAAATAGGAAAGATATAGTGAAAATTAATTTGTTTGCGTCTTTTGACCTTCTTTGTAATTACCAATATTAGCAAATTTAATTTTAACTTGTAATACTGAATAGTTTTTAAGTGCATTTATTGATGGTGTGCTATAAAAATTTCTACTGTTTATATAGAGGTTCCATGTGATATTACGCTCAAACTTAGTTCGGCTAAAGACTACTACTAACTCAACTGTATTTTTAATTAAATTTATTTTATTAGTTCCATCAAAGTCAAATAATTTACTTCGATTTGTTAATGTGTTTGAAAAAATTGTTATACATTGTTCGTCAAAGGCGTGAAATTTTATGCAGGATTAGTCTAGAAGCTTGTCTTAGCGTCCTCGAAGTAGTACCCATTTATTTCATAAAAGAGTAGAACTCTGTACTTTTGAATGAGGCTATGCAGAAAAAATGCAATTTACGGGTAAATTCAACCACAATAAAAATTGTGTTTTTCTATATGGCCTTTTTCAAAAGCTTGGTTCGATCTAATGGATTAAGTAAGAGGGAGAATACTAATTAGAGAGTGCCAAGACAATAAAAATATTAGGCTTAAAATTTTACGATTGTAGATTGGCTATTTTACATCTTTCAAAAAAAATTATCTAAATTTGCCGAGCACTGTATTTTCACAGTTTCGCTTTTTTCAACACTAGAACTAAATAAAAGCCGTTCTTCCTTAATTATTTAATCAAATATCAATTAAATAAAAAAAACCATTCAAAACTGTACATGCAGAGTTTGTTATTTATTATGTTAAAATACGTTTTTTATTTATCTAATAAATGTTATATTTTCATAATACTCAACTTGTAGTTTTTTGAACCACGTTCTAAATTTTCATATAAATCCATGAAAATCGATTAATAATAAAACGGAATCTAGACACCAAATCGGTGAAAAAAAATCAAACTTTTTCTATTGGATTGTAATGTTACAGTCTACACGTGTTACAGGTACATAAAATTAGTGAACGAAAAAAAAAATCGAGGAAATTTGTCAATTAGATTATAAAGTCACAGTCTAAGGGACGTCGCATCGGTAAAAAAAAAGTGCCGAAAATTTTCGATAAAAAAAATCGAGGAAATTTTTCAATTAGATTATAAAGTCACAGTCTAAGGGACGTCGCATCGGTAAAAAAAAGTGCCGAAAATTTTCGATAAAAAAAATCGAGGAAATTTTTCAATTAGATTATAAAGTCACAGTCTAAGGGACGTCGCATCGGTAAAAAAAAAGTGCCGAAAATTTTCGATAAAAAAAATCGAGGAAATTTTTCAATTAGATTATAAAGTCACAGTCTAAGGGACGTCGCATCGGTAAAAAAAAAGTGCCGAAAATTTTCGATAAAAAAATTGAGGAAATTTTTGAATTAGATTATAAAGTCACAGTCTAAGGCACATGAAATTTCTGAACGGAACAAACATCCAGAAAATGTTTCTATTAGATTATTAAGTCACAGTCATGAAATTAATGAAAACAAAAAATCGGGAAAAATTTAGATTTATTTATAAAAAAAATGGTTAAAATTTTTCAATTATTACAGTTCAATTTTTAATTTTTTTGCCTGTGCCATCTATTAGTGAGTAGACAAAGTACTCATAGATAATTTACAGAAAACTGTAATATAAAGTGGTGTGCTAAAACATAATAGATGGCGCTAATTCTTAAAACTCTACACTAATTAGACAACACATATTACGCTTCTATGGAATTACAACGTGATAGGACCATATTTCAAAAGAGAACGGCAATGGATCTCAATTATTTTTAATTCAAAAATGTATGTTTTATGTATATTGGCAAATTCTATTTACAAAAAAACTATTATACTGTATAAATAAACTATTATCTACGACTACATGTTGGCACTTTTTTCTTATCATCTTGGCAACGTAATTATAGGAAAAAAAATTATACTAAACTACGTTTTATTATTCTTAGCTATGTTATGAGTAGTCCAATTTACCGAAGTTTTCCAGGAATTAGATAGAGCCTCATCGAATTTAGATCTGAAATGCAGAAGGGCCTCTTCATCCGATTTATTCATCACCTGAAAAGTACAAGAAAATAAGTAAAGTCGATTATTGATTAATTTGATATCATTACCAAGGTTTCTCTTAAATAGTTTAGGTCCTTTTCGGAACTCAATTCCGGCAGTCCAGTCGATATCATCATGGCGAAAAGCGATATAAAAAGATTTCCGTGCTTTCTTAATATCATAAATGCCTACAAGTAGAAAAACTTAGTAACTAAACATCAATCAATGAGTTAACTATTACCTTTTCACAATAGTCCTGGAATATTTTAAATTCTAACGCTTTCGAATTTTGTCCCTTGTTTATAACATAAACGAAATCATGCGTGAGAACAAACGGGACTCTTTCTCTCTTAAAACCAAACTTTTCTTTAAAATGCCCCAAAATATGACCAAAGTCGATGTGGAACAGCTGAAAAAATATGTCATTCGAGAAAATTCACCAAATAAAAAAGCATTGTATAGAGCGTGTAGTGTAGAGGAGTGATATAATACTAACCTGTCCATTCTTTTTAACCATAATATTGTCCGAATGTCGATCCGCAATACCCAAAACGTAAGAGGCCACACAATAGCCCGCACAGGACAGCGTAAATTCGTTAACGGCTTTATTTAAGGCAGCTTCCGAGGTATTGTGATCCTTCAGCCAAGCTAAAATAACAAGTTTTAAATGCTAATATCACTGTGTAATAGTAATGTATGTTACCTAAAATCAGTCCCTTCCTAAAAGCGGCAGTGGCAGTAAACACCCCTTTTTCTTTCTGTATATTCGCAATGGTTTCGGCGTTCAAAACGACCTCAATCATCCCGATTCTGTGCTCTAATGATATGCATCCGTACGGATTCATTCTAAAAAAAATTTCATCAACGTATTAATTGTTAAAATAAAAAGGGTAAACATTATTAGATATACCTCAAATCTAACCCTTCTCTTTTCCACAGCCTGTCCATGATTTTAATCATCTGAAGAGTCAGCATATCCTGTCGAAGATCGTCGCCATTTTTGAAAATAATGTACACATCTTCACCGTACACATCGGAATTTTCGAATACTATCCAAAGCGGCCGCATCTTGCTATCCATCACTTTGCATTTCTCCGATCTGACAGGAACAATTCCAAATGAAATTCCACCGAAATCCAACATCAATAGTACTTACTTTATCCTCGTACACCTGTACATCGGATTCAACGGACTTCTCAAATGATTGAGAATGATCTCTCCAGAGGATTCCTGCAAAAACAATTGCAGAGCGGCCTTGGCCTTCTCCTTGTCCTTGCGCAGGCGCACCAGGTCGCTGCTCTTCTTCAATCTATCAAGGCACTCGAGTTGTTTCTGAAGGATGGCTATGTGCTCCTGCGTACCCCTGCAGTAGGCTTCTATGATAAGGCCGAAGCGAACGGACACTGCCGGTACTTGCATTTCCGAGCTAATAAAACATTGTTAAAATAGTATAAGGATTATCGAAAGGTGCTAAGTGTACTCACCGAAGATGCCAGAAGAGATAATGCCCAATTTGTTGATTATACAACGCTCTTTTGATTAAAAAATTCACTAAATCGCAGTCTAAATAAAGCTCGTGTTTTATAGCTTGCACTAACTGAAGAAGATACAACAATAGGTCTTCGTCACTAAAACCCCAACGTTAATTAACACCTTCAATTCCATTATTTTATTCCTATTATAAAGTACCTGACGTCGTACAAACATTCCACAGCGAACTTTCTAACCTCTTGATCAGCGTAGGCGTAATCTAACAGTTCTAGCGCTTTTTCTACGGGTAATTTAGGCCACATTTTGAGCATTGTCAACACCTCGCTAACTTCCTCTCGTTTGTCCCAATCAATGCAATACAGTAGTTTCGGTAATACCTCTGGTTCGGTTTTCCGCCAATGATTTTTCAGAGCCCAAATTTTTTTACGTTCCTACAAAAATACAAAAATGAGATTTATACGTATGATAATAAGAGGTTTGTTACCTGATCGTGGGCTTCGTATAAATTGTCGATTTCGTTCAATAGTTTCTTACAAGTCGTGATCTCCTCGATCTTTTCAGTTTCGTGTTCGTTGTCTTTGGAATCGACATTTTTGATGATCGTTTCAACCGAAGGGTACAGAATGGTTTGATCTTTCAGATAGCTCTTCATGAAGAGCGTAAGTGTAGTGGAATATTCCGTGTTAGGATTGCTGACGACAGTGCCCAAAGGATGTAGCACTTCGTCAGAATTCATGTCTTCAGAGTAGGCCCACATGTAAAGCGTCATCGCGCCGCTTTTTAATTGACCTTTAAAATCGTATACCGACGTATTCGCCCAAGCTAAGGGGTTATTCAAAAAATTGTTCTCCTAAAATCGAACGATTTTTAATAAGTATATAATAGTAATCGATTGAAGTAGTACCTTGGAGGAATCTTTCGTTTTCTTTGTTTTCGTTCCCTTGGCGTATTTGTTGACCTCGTAAACGACGAAACACAACTTGGCATTTCTCGGTATATTGCACACTTGAATATCAAAGACTAGATCTGCGTTTATTTTACATTCGTACTTATCATCTATCGAGCAGTCTATCGTCCTTTTCGGCTGGCATAATGATTTACCGCCGTGAAATATCCCGGCCTGAACGCCAATCTAAACATAAAGAGAATACCAATAATCAATTTCTCAAAGTCCTCTTTGTATTACATACCTCAAACGTTTTCTTCGGATCACAATTCAATTTACTAACTGTACATATTTTAACTACAAAATTATCGTTTACATTCCAAGATGACGCGCTGTTCTTCTTCTTTCTCAACGTGTTGGTGGAATTGTATGTAGGAGTATATCTGATTATATCCAGACTTTCGTATTCATTCGACAATACTGAAAATATCGAAAAATATAACAAATTAAAATAGTCGATTACAATACTAAAATTTACCGGGAACTCTCTCAATATGCAGAGTGATCAACGTCGGCGTGATATCCTTAGAAATGCAATCTTGCACGTATTGGTATTCGAAAATTTGATTGTCCCCGATTAGAAACTCGTCCTGGCCGCACACTTTCAAAACGTATTCGTTGATCCGTTCGTTTCTCGTTTTTAACGTTATAGCTCTCTTAGCTAGTATCAATTCCAACAGCTTCTTGGGTTTTATCGTTGGCGGAACGTTGAACGTGTAAGAGCTCTGCATCAGTTCCTTTTCGTTTCTCGCCTCGTAGTAATCGTATTGATGGTCGAATTTAACGGCAATATTTATATTCCTACAGGGAAACCATTAATGTAGATAAATTCAATAGCCTGTATTCATTCAGCGCCCCGCTTTAACGTAAACAAAGTCCCTAGTTACTCCATAACAACAATGTATAACTGTCAAGTCAGAGATGGACTTTAACATTTAAAACGAGGCGCTGAATAAGGACCAATATATGTTATTGTGTTTAATAGAAGTTACCTTTTCTCACTGAGAGTTTCGTTCATAACGAAGCTACAACGCGAGATTCTAGGCGGAAATTGATAGTTTAATTGTTCTACCCAAGTTTGTTTCAGTCGTGACTGGGCTACTTCGTCCCCCATTCTTCGCATTTTGAACCTAAAGTCGTTTATTTCGGAGCTATTCAACGCATCAAATTCTTGCAAACCTACAAAATATGCACTTTTTATTGTACCGAATGAAACTAGTGAATCGATTTTGTTCATACGTTTTCCGATTAAATGGCCAATAGAAATATTAATACTGTCGTCAGCTTTCTCCCCTCGACATTCCGTAATAATAAGGACAGCTCCTGTAGGTCGAATGTCACACAGTCTTCTAGATTCGTCGTTAAGTTTTTCCCTCTCCGCCATGGAGTTGATGTACGTGAAAATGTACACGGACATGTCGTAGAGTTTGCCGAACAAAGGAAACTTGGCGGCTTGCTCCCACAGGTCCTAATAAAATATGGATTACCAAAAGTACGCTCTAATTTCTCATTTAATTGACGAACCTCTTTGATTTCCGCGAAGGTGGCATTGTAACCGACGTTAAGAGGAACTAAAATTCCGTTAGGCAAAAGGCAGGTAACATCAATGTTACATTCGGCTGAGCAGTGGTCCCAATAATCGGGAAGGTACTCGGCTGGAATCGGAACCATTTTTTTTGGGTTTCACTCAGCTTCGGGCCAAATTACTATTTAAAAAACATTCCTGTTTATGCGCCAGTAGCATTTCAATAAAAAAAACGACTTTTCCTTGGAATTCTCGGAAACAAATCCGTTGACTCATCAGAACAATCACTGTCACATTTTTATTTGATATTATGATTTAATATAAATCTAGAAATAAGAAAACAATGTTTGTTACAAAACAACACTTCAAAATTAGAGTTTTTTCGCAATATTTTGATAATATTTTGGCAGTCGCTGACACTTCATCTGTCCGCTTTTTAACACCCATAAAAACAACAATGCATCCAACTTAACAACAAAAAAATCCTCCACATAAAATACTAGATAATAAAAAATACCTGCTTATTATCTATATCACTACTTTTAAATAACCGGATTTAGACGGGAAAATATTAATAATATCGATTTGAAGAATAATAGAGTTAATTAGAAAATATTTAATAGTTTTTTGCAAATTGGGGACATTAGTATGTCAATGTTGCTTAGCTTGTCAGGGAGTGTATAGCGACATCTACAACTAAATAGTACAAATTTTCGAAGTTCCTTCAAGGACTTTTATTATTTTTTGTTTACAGTTAGGTAATCGTTTTACAATCCAATTCTCCACCGATAAATGAACCGAACGAACTTGTTTTGGCGGCTCGTCAGTTCGGTAATTAATATCCAATTAACCTAAAGTCAGAGACCATTGAAAAAAAGGAAGAATCTTACATGTGACATTGACAGTCTGAATACAGAACACTTATGTTTATTTTTCGGTAAAGAGTTTTGTCGTTTTGTGCATAGTAGTAAACAAAAAGTGAAAGAGTGAGAAATAAAATGTAAAATGCACTGTGTTGAGCAGTTGCTGCAGTCAGTTTTTCTTTTTGTACAATATTTTAAATCGGTGAACCCTATCGCATACATATTTTCTGTTTTTATTCAAAAAGCAAGCAAGTCCTGATGAAAAATACAGAAAACATGTTCGAAATTCGGTTGTGTCTCGCTGGGATTCCTCAACGATGTTTCTTCGAATAATAGGATAGCCTGTCTTGAGATGCAAGTATTTTACCAAATTACACATAGAAAAAACATACTTCACTAACCCGAAATGGAAATAAATGTGTATATTTTTCTGGAAAACAAACGTGGAAAAGTCGGCCTTAGAAGGTGCAAGTAGCACATTCACCTTGTGACCTTCTTTGTTACAACTATTCATTTTTTTAATCAAAGAAACTGATATTAAAAACTACATAACAACTGCATGCTATAATAATTTCATTAATTCATTGTACTTATCACAGTAATACTATTTGCTTAATAGTCATCGAAATACCAATAATACTTGATAAGTGTGATTTAATTTCATTATATTATTATCAAATACTATTCTACATACTTAAAAGCAGACCAGAAAGTCTCAAATAAACTGCATATATTAATTTGTACAGGTAAACATTTGGAATTAACTGCACCATTAATAATAAGTGACCTAATGTAGAAGCAATTTAATAAAGTAGACACACATTAAAAGATTTAAAGTTTTATATTGAAAAATAAATATTTAACTTTCTACTTGATATCATTTTACCCAAAAAACACAACTAAAATAATGTATGTATTATTTTTTATTACCCACTGTATTTGAAAACCCAATAGGAATAAGTCTTGGTAACAGCCATGAAATCAGTTTAAGAAATTTCAATGTTTGTTGATTGATTTAACATTGTAACGTTAATAATAAACTGTCATGATCTAATCGAGCTTCATTTATCTGGCGACGAATAATCGAAAATTGATAAAAAAATTCAGATAAAAATCGATAGAGTTGTAGGTAAATATTTGACTATTGTATTCACAAACTGAATTTATATTCGATAATTCGTGTGATTTTTAAGGAATTTTTGGTCTGTTTTCGTACGGGATTTTGTTAAAAAATTGCAAGTAAGCGAAATTACAATTACAATAATATTAATGCTCTTATGTAGGCATTGGTATCTAATTTTATTGGACATGTCTCGAATTTTATTGCTTTATTGTTTAATTACAGAGTTTATCTTTACGAGTATTCTACTCTGTAATATTACTGCAAATAATAATTTACGCTTATTACATTTTTCCTTAAGGCACTTTTTATTTTATTTTCAAAAAGGTAGTGTAATATTAATTTTGGCATGATGAATGATGGAATATTTATTGTAATTCTTCTAATCTATTCATAAGGTAAATCAGATTTATCATATATTTTCATAAAGATAAAAATGTCATCTCACTAAATAACAGATAATATTAAATAATATTTTGAATCATTGCTATTTAATTAATTTTCCATTTTGAGAAAACCTCGTTATATGCAACATTTCAATTATCCTGCGATTAACACTAATAATAAGTATTATCTAATAATGCAACGCAGTTTATAGGTATTACAATATAAAAAATGCATGTACTTAACACAAACTACTTAAATCATTCATGTTTTAAAGCAATGAAGCACGTTTTGTTTAGTAGGTGTCGAGTGGGCTTCAACAATGATATAAGTAATCGTAAACAAACACAATAGGTCCGTTTATTAGCAGAAAAAAAATGTATGCAATTTAATCGCATTACTTATTAAATAAACAGAATTCGTAACAATCTGATTGCTTTGATACACCGATAAAATATTCACCTATTACGCCTAACAGTTTGATTAATTTTATTTGTAAACTCGCGACGTTCCTGAAATAATATATTACATAAAAACGAGTATAAAATTGGCAATACTGATGGTGTACAATTAATTTTAAATATGCTAAACAGGCTTTACATGGGCGTTGGAAAAAAAATCGCAATGAATACAAGTGAAAGCAGCTCGAGAGAGAAGTGTTTGAATTTAAATTCAATTGCATCGTCTCGTTTTTCTCTTACTACCTCTCGAAAGGTAGGTAATTTACATTCAATACAGTTAATTCTGCACGAGAGGTGTTTACGAATCCTACCTAATCCCACCTATTTTAATATAAAAATATTTTTTGGTATTTATAAACGCTAATCATTTCGTTATATTTGATATCAAGCATTATTAATTACAATATTTATTTTTCGTTTAATTAAAGATTTGTTTGTTAGCGAAAATTGAAGTTCACAAATATTTGCATTCCCGCTTTAACTAATTGATAAATATTATTCTGGATTCAACTAAGAATGATTCAAACAAATTCTTAAATCAAAAGAAACTAATTTTGGTAGTTAAGCTCCATTTGTTATAATATTCATTAGTATATGCAAATACTTTATTCATAATACTACTTCGTACTTTCCTATGAAAACAAATGCCCGTCATTATTAAAAAATCCTTTTTTTGTGTTCCAGAAAAGACTGAATAATTCAATAACATTCCGCAACTAACCATGGAGCACCAACAGCTCATCGAAGAGATGCCCGTCGTAGAGAGGATGTCGACGCAGGAGAGGCTCTCCTTGGCGAGGAAGCGCCGAAACCTCCAGCTGAAAGTGTGGCTGCAAAAAGAGAAAGAATACGGCAGGAAGAGCGGCAAACCACAGAAATCGAACAAACGCGGCATCAATTTCAACGATAGCGTCGTTCTGTTGGAAGCTGCAGCAAGAAACGACATCGAAGAAGGTGCTATACATCTAAATCTCCTCTAACGTGATTAACTTTTTCCCCATTTTTAGTCCGTAAGTTGCTACTGAAAAACGTCAGTCCGGATTCCTGCAACGAAGACGGTTTGACAGCCTTACACCAATGCTGCATCGATAACAACGAATCGATGTTGCTGCTTTTGCTAGAGCACGGAGCCAACGTTAACGCCGAGGACAGTGAAAAATGGACGCCATTACACGCCGCTGCCACCTGCGGACACCTTAAATTAGTCAGGTACTACCCTAAAAAGAAAAGTTCTCAATGACAATTAGCCACCAAAAGGACCAAATATTGGTGACGGATATCTTTTTAGTAAGAGTCTTCTGTCGTTCATCTGTCAATGTCAAACTAACGCAATAAATATTTGTGCATCTCACATATGATTTAAACTTAATAATAATGATGATAGATAGATAATACTTGCGGTTCTTTCAGGATTCTGATTTCGAGAGGGGCCAATCTGCTGGCGGTGAACGCGGACGGCAACATGCCCTACGACATCTGCGAGGACGAGGCCACCCTGGACGAAATCGAGAGCGAAATGGCGAAGAGAGGAGTCACGCAGCAACTCATCGACGAGACCAGAGCGGCCACCGAACGGCAAATGTTGATAGATTTGAAGAAGGTAGCGGCGGCCGGCGGCGATTTGGAGTACTACGACGCCCAAGGGGCGACGCCCGTACGTTAGAATTCATAAAACGTTACTAATAAAAAGATTCGCGTCTGTCATTTTGACGTTTTTGACAAACTGTCAACTGTCATTTTTTGATTTTAATTGTATGACAGTTAGCACTAAAATGGCGGTTTTGTGTAATCGTAGAACTTTTAAAAAAAGATCTTTTTTATTGCAGTTGCATATAGCAGCTGCGAATGGATACATATCAGTGGTGGAGTTTCTATTGGATTGCGGCGTTAGGACCGACGTGAAAGACAGAGATGAATGGCAACCCAGCCACGCGGCAGCTTGTTGGGGACACGTAAGCCTACTTATTATTTCAAAACTATTTTTATTTGTGATAATCTTTTTTTTTAGCCCGAAGTATTAGAACTACTGGCGCAAGCCGGCGCTAATTTGAACGCGAAGAACAAGCACGACGAGACGCCCTCTGGTAACGAACTCGCTCTACTAGATGTACCTGTTTTGTTATCTGGCGATTGGTGTGTATTTCAGATATATGCGAGGACCGCGAAATAAAAGAGAGAATATTGGAATTGAGGACCGAGCAGGAGATTAAGAAACAGAACGAAGCCAAAAGGAAAGTCAGGAGGTCTCAAAGCAATACGAGAACGCAATCGGTCAGGCGGACCTCGTTGAGGGATAAAGGTCTGACGGCCAGAAGGGATGCCGTAGAGGAAGCCAGATTGAGGTTACAAGCTGAAACTAATGTATGTATACAAATCATTTATGAATATATTAGACGGTTCAAAATAGATCATAAAATGTATCCGGTATTGGCACAAAAATTACCCTCCTTCTTAACTATCGCTAACTTCATGTCATGTCTTAATGGCCTCAACTAAACCGGCTGGTCAGTTTGTAAGGGGAGTTTTTTAAACAACCGTTAATTTTTTCTCCAATATTTATTGAACAATTTTAAGTTAGGCTATAAGATATTAAATGCTTCCGAGCCAATACTTCGATTTGTAGTCCAGAGTAGTCGAAAAGTGAAATTTTTTCACAATATAATTTACTCTCATTAAATTTGCTATGTGATTGAAGTTCTGATTAAATCGGTTATTTAATGCCGTGCACGTATAAGACTTGGGTTTGTTAAAATTCATTTAATTATTTACAATCAGTGAATATATAGGCTACGTTTACACGATTTTTTTGCGTAAGTAATGTTTTGAATTAGTATATTATTTCGAAATCACTATAAGACGAGTGTATTAATGAGTAATTTCGTTCTTTTGAATTTATTATACACGATTATAACCCGTTCTTATTCGTAATAATAAAATCTTTACGAATGGTTCTTAAAATACATTTGAAACGTAGTCCTACTAATACATAAGAACATCGAAGAAAGTTTCTGTATCAGGCGAAATATTAATTTTAATTAAATAACACGGTCGATTTTTATTATCGCCGTGTATGTATTACGTTGATATTACAAAAATGTTTCCTTCAAGTGGCATTTTCGTGAAATATCGACGCTATGATTAAAACCAAGCGTTCGCCAGTTGTTTGTCTCTCTTACAAAAACAAAGTAAGTACCTATCTATAAACGTACCCGAAAAAAAAAAATCACATGCATTCAAATTTAAAACAAACAGCAAACAAAATTAAAGCGAAATAAGAATGCGGTTATATATCGTACAACAATGCGAAAACCTTTCGTGGTTCATTAAAAAATTATTCAATACATGTTTGAAGATACTTAGTTTATTGTTTACGTTACCTCTCAATAGTTCGCGTTATCGTCTAAGAGTATTTAGTATTTAAATGTTCCCTGTAGTCGACTGGATTTGTTGGAAGAACAAACGCTTTAAAGAACAACCCGTTGAAATATTATCCTATAACAAAGTAAGTACCCCGACTATTATCCCAGTACATCTCTCCTATCCTATTCATTTCATAACGAGTGTATAATGAAGGAATGCGTTTTATATTTATGAATTTTCTTTCAGACTGTAGAACATATAGACGTAGGAACGCCGTACAATCCGGCTGCGATACCGAAATCCATTTTGAACAACAACCATTTATCGGAAGTGAACTCGAACTCAAATAGTGCCGTAGAAGAGAGGAGCCTTCAACTGATAGAGGATCGCAGGGGCCCCGAAGGGAAAGACAACGATTCGGTGGAAGAGATAGGAAACGTTAACGAAAATTCCTACACGACAGACGTTAATGGTAAAGGTGAGTGTTTGCGATGGAAACATCAATCGTCACGCGATTGCGAGAATACTAAAAAAATGCGGAATTTTCGATGCTTAAATACAGGGTGTCCCGCATAAGAACCGATTTTAGTAAGTTTGTATCGAGTTAAGTTGGGTCAAACAACATAGTTTGAGCTCTTTTGGGATTGTAGAGGGTGTTTTTATAAATTCGAACAATTAGTATCTTCAGTAAACGATTCCAACAATTTGTTAGCGATATCATTTACGAAAACAAAATGGTATTCGAATTGCTTGAGAAGGAAACGTTCCTCGCATTCTCCACTAACTTTTTAAGTTTTGTAGTTGTAATAGAACGATTTTTTTTCCAGTTACCGTTCACGTCGTGGTTACAATCAACGGGAACGGTACGTTGGCCGATTTGAAAAAGCAACGCATGCAAATACGAAATAACAACGCCGATAATAACGATTATATGGGGACTCCTCTAGGCAGTATCGCCGGTACGGACGTGGTTTCCGATCCAGCTTCGTCCGGTATGCTCCGGTTAACGGGCGATACGTCCGACGAAAACGTCGAGTACACGGACTCGCGACGGTGTTGTATCTTAATGTGAGAGAAAATATGATTTTATTTTGGTGTAGTAATTGTAGAGAAAAATTAGAAACGTTCCAAAAATTATAGTATCTCGAGTACTTCGGTTCGGAAGTTGTTGCAAATTTGTGATATTTGTGAACTAATAATTTTTATGTTATTATTTCCGAACGACTATTTTTTTTATGTACAAAGTAAACGAGTGATAAAACAGCAATAAAATTGTACGCGCGCGTAATTTTTGGAACAAGTTTAGCTCGAAAATGCAGTATTTTACCTATTTTTGCAATTAACAATTTGGCTGCCTTGTCCAGTTTAGAAATTTAAAGTAAAGAAGACAACGTAGAGAAACGAAGCTACTTAGCAGTATTTTAATTTCCATAAGGTTGTGAAACTGGCAATTTTATTGCAAAATTTCCTTTACTGAAATTGCTCAAATTTTGTTTTTAGCTCAGATTTTTACATTCATTTCGAAACAACTTTTGCTATGAGGAAATTTCGCAGTGGAACTTGTGATACGTTCCTTATTATACATACTTCCATAAATTCCTACATTGAGTAGTTTTAATAATACATAATAGCCGTCCTAGCATTACTATTGCCTTTTTTATACATTGTATTTATTTTTTGTTACTGTACATAATAGGTATTTTTCATTGGTTTTTTAAAAATATATAAAAATACGCTACCTATGTAAATAAATTATTTTATTTAGTTATTTAATTTCGATGTTAGTTTAATTTTAATTCGATTTTGTAGTGCAGACTTTTGAATCGAAAAAAAAAATTAAACTTGTCGAGTTTTATTTTTAAGAATATCAGTATTGCTCATATTAAGCTTTTTTCTAATTACTTAACACATTCAGTATTTTTTATTTTTAAAACATCACATTTATACATGTTGATTTTTTAAATTTGAATGTCACATGTTTAAAACTATATCGGTTTATTGCTGTAACAATAAACCGATATACGTTATAAAATGTCGCTATTTCATCTTAAAAGTTCAATTACTTCGTAGTTCTGTACTTACATTGTGATATATTTACAAATTTTATGAATGTTTTCGAGATTTAGATTCTATTTGTACAGAAACGAATAGTATTATAGTAAAATGCATAATTTTCAAAAGGATAATCTGTTAAATGTAAAATACAACTAACGCTTTGTTTATACTTAAATTGTTTGTTCCGTATTTTACGATTAAAAAATAAGTAGCACATTAAATCTTCAAAAAATTTTACACATGTATAAAACGAATTTATATTTATACCCACAAATTGTAGGCTTTAAGTTTTTGTCTTTGTCTCTTGTTATATTATTACAAATGGATTAATATATTTTTTTGAAAAAAAAAACAAAGATTTTTACATTGACTTTTCCTAATATAAAAATTTTAAAATCTAGGATGAATTTAGAAAAACCACATACAAAACGACTGTTTAATATATTTTTAACAATATTTACAAATATCTTGCACAAAAGTTAACAACTTTGAATAAAAACTGAACACTTGAAATTAAAACTATGCTTCTAAGAAAAAAAAACAATAAATAGGTAATTATTATTTACAATTCTGTTAAATTTCATTGTATAAATTTTAAACTTTTCTATATATATAAATATAAAACTATATTGTATTTAGCAAATATTTCAGTCCACACTAAAAAAATTATTGTACATTTCCTTATACAGCGAAGTAAAAACTAAAGAAATTCTTCAACAAAACTTAAATCACAACTTCAATAATGCTAAAGCCGACCTCAAAATTCGAACTCGCATTTTCCGAGGTATGCCGTTGCAAAAAACGTGTAATATGTCAAATTGGTCATAACTATGATTTTTCTACTATCAAATTACGCTTTGTTTGTGTCAAACCAAAGCCGCTGTCGCCGTATTTTGAGGAATTTGATCTACAACATTCTCCACGTGCCTGTATTTCTTTATTCGTTTCCACTCGCCGTTGTTGTAATTCATCTGGAAGTGAGTTTCCACCAACATAGTGAGATAGGTATCGTCCGGCTGAAGGACGTTCTCTTGATCCTCTGATAGTTTGATTGTTACTATATTACCCAAGTGTGGACAAGGGTTGTCGCGAGATCCTGCCATGAAACCCAAAATAAGCGCCTTTTCGGGCCGGGTAACTTTGTTCGCCGTCCGGAACATATCCTGAGCTTCCAACATTTGTTCCCTCTAAAAAACAAACAAACCATAAAGCAAATAAATTACTACAATAACAACGAATAATCACCGTGAGAGCGAGCCCTTTTCTTTGCAAAACATTCGTCGTCGGTTGTGGCTGTATTCTGATATGAGTGACGGTTTGTTGAGGCTGCACAGGACGTTGGGCTACCACCACAGGAGTACCAATAATTTGAGTTTGCACCTACGGAAACAATCCAAACATTTAATCGCTTTCGTTTGGGAATATTCAAAACGCTACCTGTTGAACGGGTTGGACATTTTGTTCGGAGGTGATAATGGTTCGTTGTCCGGCAGGCGTCGTGGCCAAAAGCGGCGGTACTTGTCGCATAGTGTGGATGAATTGCTGCGTAACGGCCACGGCCGGTTGGGGCGTCGATACGGAAGCTGCTGTCGAGACTTGAGTAGCGGAAACCGGAGCCGGAGAAGCGGAAGTCGACGTCAAAGGCGGTGGCTGAATAACAGCCGGTTGTGCGGCCAACGTTACCGGTACAGTGGTTACTGAAATTTACAGAAATAATTTAATACGTTCGGGTAATCGAGGATAGATAGAGTACCTATGGATGAAGTGCCGGCGGGTTGTGGGGTAGGAGGCGGTGCATAAGTCGGAGTCGGGGCTAAGCCAGCGGCGTAATCGGGCGTAGCACCAGCGGCGGGCTGAGGGGGGCTTTGCAATGCTGTGGTTTCTGTAACTTTCTTAGCTTCCTCGATTTCTTGCATCTTCTTTCGTTTCTTTGCTGCTGCATAACCGAGGGGTTGATCGGCTATATCCAGTAATTTAACACCTCCTTCTTTTCTACCAGCAGGACCTCTGGATAGAGGCGGTCGGTTTGCGCTGCTATTTAACGCAGGTCGAAAACCTGATGTAGGTACTCTGCTTGGAATACCTTTTAATGGAGCTACAATAGAAATAGTACATTAATAGCTCAATCAACTGCAGTATAATTTAAAACTTACTGGTATCTGTCATTTTCCTAGGCATGCCTCTAGATCTTACAGGTATAACTGGAGCACAGGATTTTTTATTTAAATTAGAGGCAGCGTCCAAGGATTTTTGCAAGAGATCGGTCCTCAATAAAGCAGACTTTGGTTTCTTCTTTATCGTGAAATGTTTCAAAGGATCAGGTCTATGGCCAACCTAAATTTAACACAGTGAATTACTTATTTTGAGTATTTAGAAATACGAATATATGACTTACAACTGACACTAACGCAGCTTTGTTCAAATAGTGACATTCCATAGGAAGCATCGTGTGATCGTTCTGTTTACGTACAAGTCTTCGTAAATCGGTAATCAGATCATTGAAAATAGGCCGGACTTCGTCCACATCCGAAATTTCTGTATTTAGAGATCCAGTGGAAGGATATGTTTTCAAAGCGTCTGCTAACATAGCGACCCACAGCTCGGAGTCGCCCAGAGCGACTTCCAAAATTTGCTCCAATTCCGTTTTCCACTGGAAAAAAAAGGATATAACCGTGTAAAAACAATGATTGTTTGTTTTGAAATAGGTACCTCTTCCAGGTTTCTGCGCGGGATATGAAAAAAACTGAGTAATAATTTTAACTTGACCTGCGTCTGCAAGTCTGGAAAACAATCTTTAATGTTCCTCAACACTTCGGCATTCAATTGCGAACATATCGAGCCCCCGGTCCAGGAATCGTTCGATATTCCTAGTTTATTATGAAGCCACAAAGATGTATCGCTATCACGTACATTCGCCATTTTCTAAAAATGACATACGATTTATCTTGTCATTGTCAACTTCGTTTCAAAGTAGTTCAAAGGCCACTCAGGCTGGCCAACACACAAAGTTGTTTTACCTCTCCGTGATAAATCTGGAAAAAACGTTCTGTTGTCACCTGTCATTACTGTCATCAAAATGACATAACACGAACATAACCTTAAAATTTAGTCTGGAAAATAAAAGAAACAATGAAATAATTAACAAATGATGTGCCTTTTAAATATATCCTTTAATTTAAGAAGCAGATTTTGTCACGTTCTGAAAAATGCATCGTTTCACGCCGGCCCTCCTTCGAAACACTTCTATGTTAATTATCCGAAACACATCAAAATTATAAATAGAGAATATGCCGCTGTGCAAGCACTGCTTAAGAGGTCCGGATTACAAAATGTAACGCAAATTTGCAACAATAATAGCGTTAGTAGAGAGTATCACACAACATCAAAATGCTGTCAACAACCTGGCAATGGAAATCCCGGAAATAATCGAAAACCCGATGATGAAGATAAAGACAAAATACCTTCCCTTTTAGCCAAGGCATTTCTATGGATGCTCACTGCTTACATGTTCATTGCTATTATTTCATTGATGTTTCCTAACACGAATCAACCAGAAGTCGTACGATATGTTTCGTGGAACGAATTTTTGTACCAAATGTTAGCGAAAGGAGAAGTAGAACAAATCATCGTTAGACCTGACATAGAAATTGTAACAATAGTCCTTCACGATGGTGCAATTATTAAAAAAAAGCGAGTCGAAAACAGAACTTACCATATGAATGTAGTTAACGTGTACAAATTCGAGGATAAAATCCGAGAGGCAGAAAGAAGGTTTGAAACGAAAATATTAATTCATACCCGTTTCTAATTTAATTCTCAATACAAATACATTTCAGATTAGGCATAAACGACGGTGTTCCGATCATTTACGAAAGAAGTACAGACACAGCTGGAAAACTGCTCATTTCGCTTCTAGTTGTCGGCCTTCTCATTTCCTTATTAGCCCGAAGCAAAAGTATCCGTCCCCCCATAAGTATGGATACTTTCACCCAGCTCGGACGCGCTAAATTCACCCTAATCGACCCTCTCAAAGGACCGGGAAAAGGGGTATTACAATCACTACTATTCATACAAAACTTATTTATATTCGATCGATCAACAGGTTCGGTTTTCCGATGTGGCGGGTTTGAGAGAAGCCAAACTGGAAGTCATGGAATTCGTGGATTATTTAAAACGCCCCGATCATTACAAGAGTTTAGGCGCTAAAGTACCGCGAGGAGCGCTTCTGCTAGGCCCCCCCGGTTGCGGGAAGACTTTATTAGCTAAAGCCGTCGCTACCGAAGCTAACGTTCCGTTTTTATCGATGAACGGTTCGGAATTCATAGAGATGATCGGAGGCAAGCTAATGACGAGAAACTAAAATAGGCCTAAATTTAATTTCTCTGCGATTTTTTTAGGTTTAGGAGCGGCTCGCGTGAGAGATTTGTTCAAAGAGGCGCGCAAACGAGCCCCTTGCATAATCTACATCGACGAAATCGACGCTGTGGGTCGCAAAAGAAGCGGTCAATTAGGCACGGAGCAAATCAGCGGCGAAAGCGAACAAACGTTGAATCAACTTCTAGTAGAAATGGACGGAATGGCGAGCAAAGAAGGCGTAATCATGCTAGCGTCTACAAACAGAGCCGACATATTGGACAAAGCCCTGCTACGACCCGGTAGATTCGACCGGCACATTTTGATCGATTACCCAGACATGATCGAGAGACGGCAGATATTCGAGCAACATTTGAAAGGCATCCAACTGGAGAAGGCTCCCGATACTTACGCCAAACGTTTGGCCTATCTAACGCCCGGATTCAGCGGCGCCGATATAGCTAACGTTTGCAACGAAGCGGCCTTGCACGCGGCTCGATTGAAGAAAACCAAAGTCGATCGAACCGATTTGGAGTACGCCGTCGAACGGCTGGTCGGGGGCACCGAGAAGCGCACGCACGCCATGTCGCCGCAAGAGAAACGGATCGTGGCCTATCACGAATCGGGCCACGCGCTCGTCGGCTGGTTGCTGGAACACACCGACGCTCTGTTGAAAATCACGATCGTCCCGCGAACGAGCCTGGCGCTCGGCTTCGCCCAGTACGTGCCGAGAGATCAGAAATTGTACACCAAAGAAGAGCTGTTCGATAGGATGTGCATGACGCTCGGCGGAAGAGTCGCCGAGGCTCTGACGTTCAATAGAGTTACCACGGGGGCTCAGAACGATTTGGAAAAGGTCACCAAGATGGCTTACGCGCAAGTGAAGGAATTCGGTATGAACGATTCCGTTGGATTGATAAGTTTCCCCGAGGAGGAGAGCAAGGAGCTGGGCAAGAGGCCTTACAGCAAGACTTTGGCGAATTTGATAGACGCGGAGGTGCGAACTCTGGTGGGTCAAGCGTATAGACATACGGAACAGGTGTTGGTCAAAAATAAGGATAAATTGGGGAAATTGGCGGAAACGTTGCTGGTCAAGGAGACTTTGAACTACGACGATGTGGAAAATCTGCTGGGGCCGCCGCCGTTCGGCAGGAAGAAACTCATCGAGCCAGCCGAATTCGAAGAGAATTTGAGAAAAGATGCGGGGGATTATAGAAGCGGGACGAAAACCGAATCTACGCCGACAACAAAGGTATAAAAACAAGCTTGTATAGTATTTAATAAAAATGTAGTTATATTACATTTGTAATTTTTATTCTTCTTTTTTTTTTTTTTCGTTCTAATTTTATTCGGTTATTCAGCTAAGATTAACTGATATGGCGGTGTATAAAAAATTCGTTCTTTTAATTTCCGCAATAAAATTTGAACTTTTTGAATAATAATCAATAAATATTTACCCCTTTACCAATTAAAAAAAGACATTTAGTACCCCGATTAATGACGTATAGTATCGGAGCAACAGACGGGCTGTTTTGTCAATAAAAGACGATTTAAAAGTTAAGAAATGTCGCTTTTAACGAAAAATCCTCCAAAAATTGTGGAAGAGCCCCAAAGCGATAAGAAATTTGGATCTTCGGCGCTCAATGAACTATGCAGAGGTCCCAGGTAAAATTGCAAAAAAAACAAAATATCACTTTACATAAAAACGATTAACAAAATTTTCAGAATGACCAAGGAATTCATCAAAAAGCACTGCAAAGAGCACAAATTGTACCAAACGCCGCAACTCAACGACGTCCTTTACCTCCATTTCAAAGGATTCAGTTACATCGAGAACCTGGAGGAATACACCGGCCTGAAATGCCTGTGGCTCGAAAATAACGGCATCAGAGAAATCAGCGGATTGGACAACCAGATCAATTTGAGGAGCCTCTTTCTCCACTACAATCTCATCAAAAAAATCGAAAATTTGCAATGCTGCCCCAATTTAGACACCTTAAACATATCTTACAACCAAGTGAAACGGATCGAGAATTTGAGTAAGTTTTGGATTTGAAAACCAAACATCTATTCAACTCGTTATTACTTGTAGACAACGTAAAAATCCACACGCTGAACATGTCTCACAACTACGTGGAGAAATTGGAGGACTTCGAACATTTGGCCGAATTAGAAGAACTCTCTGTATTAGACCTGTCCAATAATCACATAGATGAACCGTTAATCGTCGAAGTACTCGGCCGCATGCGCTCCATAAGAGTGGTCAATCTAATGGGCAATCCTGTCATTAGAAAAATCCCCGCTTACAGGAAAACCTTAATACTGGCCTGCGTGAGTTGAAATTTAGAAATTACACCCACTTAACCTGTTAATTTTCGCTCTATTTCAGAAAAACTTGCGCTATTTAGACGACTATCCGGTGTTCCCGAGAGACAGAGCTTGCGCCGAGGCATGGTAAGAATTAGATCTCATATTTCATTCAAATCAAGCAGTAAATAAACTTCATTCGAACCACAGGGAAAGAGGTGGCGTCACCGAAGAGGCGGCGGAACGGCAACGCTGGGTCAACGCCGAACGACAACGCATAATGGACAGCGTCAACGGCAAGTATTCAATTACCCAATTTATCGAAACGGGTGCGATTTATCGATTCCCCCCAGCTTTGATTCGAATCCGCGACAGGAACATCGAGCGCAGGCGGCAGCAGCAATGCGACAGCGGCCACGGAACGTCCGTGGGAGACTCCGAAAGCGAGGCCGAGAGCCTCAACGCGGACGTCGCGACGTCGAACCGAAACCGCAACAGAAACGCTGAGGAAGCGGACGAGGAAGAAGAGGAGGACGAAGGACCGCGAGAGTACGTCGAACGACGCGAAATGGAGCTGAGAGCGGCCAGAGACAACGCCGAAGGGAGGCCTAGCAGAAGGAACAACGAGCCGACTGATGAAAGCGAAGAAGGCGAGGAGAACGATTCGGAAAATGACGAAGAAAACGCGGAGAGTTCGTCGCTATCGTCGTCGTCAGAAGACGAAGATTTTATGAGGGATAGGCAAATCGAGGATCCGAAGTTGTACGAAGAATACTCTCACAAAATATTCGATTTCGAAAGCAAAAGTATAACAACACAAAATCGTAATTATCCTAATTAATATCGACCATTTTCAGCTTACAAGAGCCGAGTCTTAATAGAAGAATACGATAAAACCGTATTTAAACCGAGCACCAGCGGAACCCAAATCAACCCATCGCCCGATGTCGACGACACCACGACGAATCCACCCGAAGACGACCAAACGCAAACTACAAGCGACGAAACGACTACAGCACCACCCGAAAGAGACACTGGATTCAACGACATAGTCGACGCCATGGCCAAAATGGTCGGTATTGATCGCACCAAAGGAATAATCGTCCCCGAAACCAACCAAAAATCCTCACCAAACACCGAAGAAATCGAAGCAACCAACGAAACCGAAGAACCATCTCCTCGACAAGAAGAAACCGAAGCCCAACCAGCCGAAACACCTCAAACACCCGAAGTGGCTATAAACATATCCGAACAAGTGAACGCTTACATCGCTCACCGGGAGCAAGCCAAGCAATACGCCGCCGACATGGTGAAGAAGAACGCCACCGGCTCCGCTACGATGAGTTTCGAGGAGTTCATCGACGCCCACGAGGAGTCGAAGAGGAACGAAGGCAAAGTCGAAGAGGAACAGCCGCCGGAGGAGCGGCCGCCGCCGTCGCCTCGCGTTGAAAACCCCAATCTGCAGATGGCCAGGTTGCTGTTGGAGGAAATTCGACAGGCGGCCGGTGATTCTGACGACGACACCGACGCTGATGAATTCGAGGATACCGTAGACGAAGCTAACGATGTGGACGAGGAAAGGGAGAAGTCCATTCAAAGGATCGTGGAAGAGTACAAGGCGAAACATCAATCGGATGTAGCAGAAGCGATTGCTGATGATAAACCGAAGGAGAAATCTGATTTCGATTTGAGAGAGGAACAATTACTTTTGGTTAAAAATTTGATGGAAGTTGGCCAACATCAGGAAGATGTAGTAAGTAATACAGTTGATAAATTGACGGTGCAGATTGATGATGCTGTTGGTGCAAATGAACTGAAGGAAGATACCGCACAAGAATCGGAAATTGAAGCACCAAGTAGAGAGATAAACGAGGAAAATGGTCTACCAATAATTACACTCTCTATTGAAGAAGAGGTTCCTAAGCAGGATATTACCGAAGACAACGGTGATAAAATCGTTGAAACAGAAAATAAAATTTGCGAAACACCTTCTTCCCTGAAAACCGAAGATGAAAATCTCGACAACAACGAAGAAGATAAAGAATTTTACGATGCACTTGAAACCTTGGACGAACGCGCAACCAAATCCGAGCCGTCAAATAATGAAACATTGACATTGAAAGATGATTTAGAAACTAACGAAATAATGGAAGTTAAATCGCAAGAATACCCGGAGAATCTTCCGATTGATCCGATACCGTCAACCAGCAAAGTCAGCAATTTAACTAGAGAAGAAGTGCAAGAAATGCTGAGAGCAGAGATCGCCAAACTCAACAAAACTGATTCCATTCAGGATATTATCGGACAGAACGTTAGAGTTAGGAAGGTAAGAGAATGGATATTTAACCGACGTATTATTAACCATTTTCCTCTAGAATAAAAAAGTTTCCGAAAACAGCGACACCGAAAGCGACGATTCGTACGAGATGCTTGAAAACATATTCTACGAGGAACTGGACAAAAGCGATTACCTCAAGGCGGACATACCGATCGATTTCGATCCCGATGACACCACCAACACCGCCAAAACCAAAGAGGAACTCAAGAAAATCCTAACGTCCAAGCCTAAAGTAGACGAAAACGAAGACACCAGCTACAGGGAACTCTTAGAATGGGACTTCAAGGTAAGTACCGAGTCGAGAAAGTTTCGATACAACTCATTTTCGTTCGCGCAGGACCCGTTCATAAAAAGATCGAACTTACCGACCGTTTCACCGGCCAAGCGAGAGGAAGAACGCTTGGACATTTTGAACACCATCAAACTGAGCCAACAGTACCAAGAGAAAGGAACCGATGCCGAAATCGAGGATATGATCGACGATATAGAGGTGATGAGGCGCGCCAGGAACCTCTCGTTGATGAAAAACAAAGCCGAGTCCCAGTCTGGCGTACTGAAAATGTCTAAGAGCGTTCCGCTGTTCGAATCGAAGCGAACCGACGTCGATGCGACGACGACCAGCGGCGAGAAGTTGCCCGATTACCCGTCGAAGCCGAGGCAGCCGGAGTCGATGAAAATTTGCACGAATTTGGCGCAGATTAGAGCGGAGATGGCGGAGTTTACCAAGCAGTTTGATGAGTTTAAAGAGAAATTCGAACAACCCAAGAACGATTTCGTAAGTGAATGGTACGAATGAATTTTATCACGTTTATGCTTGCATTTTTTAGGTGAAAGACTACAATGAAGCCGTGGAGAAGGAAATGGAAATCATACATAAAATGATAAAAGCTCGCCATAAGTTGGTGGATGAGAAACGGAAGCGAGCGTATACGGAAAAGCGCGATGTAACCAAAGAACAGGCGAAAGGGGACATCACGATAGAAGATTTTAGAAGGCACTACCGCGATTTCGGCATAGAAGTTTCGGAACCAAAGCTCGATGATAAATTGGTCATCGAAACTGACATGGAAATGTATCAAGAAGAAAAGGAGGTGGGCGAAATGAAAGAAATCATTGAGGAGCAAACTAAAGACGAAGAATTATTCGAGGATTGTCAAATGATTCCCGAAAAAGATGAAGAATCGAAGAAATTTGAATATAAAGAATCAACTAATGTTAAGGAAGAATCAAAGGAGGATGTTGTTGATGGAGAAGGCACAGAGGATACTGATGTTCGTCTAGTGAGTTCCAAAGAATCCATAGAAGAATTTAAAGATCATGGTAATGAGAAGGGTAACATGGAAAATGAAGAAGACAGTGAGAAGGGTGTTGATGAACCTAAAGTTATTCATAGAGTAACGCGATCTTTGGAAATGCAACTAGCCAAAGAAAATGATTGAAGCGATTTTTTTAGGTTACGATTTTAGTTTGTATAAATGAAGAAACCAATAAAAAATTCTCTTCACTCGTTCACTTCATTCCTTTTCATGTATTCCTTTTGATGATTTGAGATGTGTCACTTTTGACATTTACGTAAGTAAAGTTCAAAAAGTTACTAGATTCTAGGGTCTATTGGTACAACTGCTCAAGGCCACTCGTAACGTTTTATTGCGCATTTTGAAGGTTATGTTTTTAATTTTGTTGTGAAGTGAGAGTGATATTTATTAATTTCAATAATTAAAAATGTCTTTGGCTGATGAATTACTAGCCGATTTGGAGGAAAATGACTACGACGATTTGGAGAAGCCCATGGACATGGAGAACAACATCGAAGTAAAGGAGGAAAAAGAGGATATAGACTTTTTGCCGGAATTCGATACGACCCAAATTAATTCGGTACGCGAAATTTGCAAACTTAGAGATTCAGAAAAATTACAAAACATTATAAACCAAATAGAAATGTTCGGAAACAAAATACGAAAGTCGATAGAAATTATAGGACCGGTGGAATCGGACCCCGAGTACCAGTTAATCGTCGAAGCGAACAATTTAGCACAGGACATCGATAACGAAATCATAACTGTGCACAAATTCGTGCGAGACAAGTACCAAAAGAGATTTCCCGAACTCGATTCTTTAGTCGTAAGCCCGTTGGAATATTTACGCACCGTAAAAGAATTAGGCAACGATCTAGACCAGGCCAAAAACAATGAAATACTTCAACAGTTCCTAACTCAAGCTACTATAATGGTCGTATCCGTAACTGCATCGACTACGCAAGGTTCTCTGCTATCCAAAGGCGAGAAAGAACAAATAGACGAAGCCTGCGACATGGCAATGGAGCTCAACAACTTCAAATTGAGAATCTACGAATACGTTGAAAGCAGAATGTCTTTTATCGCCCCCAACATCTCGGTAATATTAGGCTCGTCTATCGCGGCAAAGCTGATGGGTGTAGCTGGGGGGTTAACGAGACTATCGAAGATCCCCGCTTGCAACGTCCTGCTCTTGGGCCAACAAAAGAAATCCCTATCGGGTTTCTCGCAAACCACCATGTTGCCCCACACCGGGTTCATCTACTACTCGGAAATCGTGCAAAACACACCGCCCGATATGAGAAGAAAGGCTGCCCGACTGGTCGCCACGAAATGCACTTTAGCCGCAAGAGTGGACGCCTGCCACGAGAGCTCGGACGGCCGCATTGGCACCCAATTAAGAGACGAAATCGAACGGAAACTGGACAAACTCCAGGAACCGCCTCCCGTGAAATTCGTCAAGCCCTTGCCGAAGCCCATCGATCAGTCCAAAAAGAAGCGCGGCGGGAAGAGGGTGCGAAAAATGAAGGAGCGATACGCCATTACGGAATTCAGGAAGCACGCCAACAGGATGAATTTCGCCGATATCGAAGACGATGCTTACCAAGAGGATTTGGGATATACCAGGGGTACGATCGGTAAAGCGGGCACGGGGAGAATTCGTCTGCCTCAAGTCGACGAAAAAACCAAAGTTAGGATATCCAAAACGCTGCAGAAGAATCTGCAGAAACAGCAAATATGGGGAGGAAGTACCACTGTGAAGAAACAAATATCCGGTACGGCGTCGAGTGTGGCCTTTACGCCTTTGCAAGGATTGGAAATTGTCAATCCGCAAGCCGCTGAAGTTAAAGTTAACGAAGCAAACGCTAAATATTTCTCAAATACGTCGGGATTTTTGAAATTGGACAAAAAATGAAACGCTAAATGTCCGTTTCTAATTGTATTTCTATGTAATTATAAAAATAACTTAAGTAAACTTATTCGTTAAAAAGATTTTTTATATCTACTCGTTTCTGTTCGTCTTGTTTTTGGTTTCTGATCGGTTTCGACATATTATTGTAATTTAGCTTATCAAAGTTTACTTTACCATAAAATGGTTTCCTAATTCTTTCAGTTACACTTTTCCTAGAATATGCTCTATCGATAGCTTTTAAAGTATTTTCTTCAGAGAATAGTTTTCTTCTTGGCACATGCCTTAGGGAATACTCCCAGTTACCAGAAACTTTTTGATCCATTAAAATTGCTCCCACTTGATTAATAGTAAGGCTTTTTCCTGATCCAGCTCCCCACAGAAGGTGACTATCCAAAGGCAATTTCGCCATTTTCAGACCTTCTCTTTTAGCTTTAGCTAACGACAATGGTTCTTGATTTACCTACGGTTAAATTTAACGAATATTAATGTGTAAAATTTAAAAAAATGTAGCAAAACGTACTTTATCAACTATACCACCAACGATATATACAGTATCATGATCGAACTCTTTTACTTCTTCCCTAACATGTGGAGTTAAGTAAACCAACTGTTCTTTAGGAAACACGTCCAGGTAACTACACTCGTGTATGTTCAAAGGGAACCACGGTTCCTCCGCAATTGGGATAAACTTTATTAATTCCTTGTATAAATCGCTATCCTTATCAGCATTGCAAAAGTGAAGATCAAAAGGATCTGGAACATAATTTTAAGCGGTATTACTCCAGTAATTACCGCATATGCAATTTAATTACCGTCGCTCAGTCGATTGTCAGCAAACAGCAACATAAGTTGTTTTGCACAATTTGTATTTTCCCGTTTAGTCATATCTCCGTGATACCCTAAATCTACAACTAATTTCTGACCAAACTGGATTGCTTTGATAAGCCTGTTGTTGTACATGTGATTTATAGTTGTGTCGTAGAATCTCAGGAATATGTTGTTGTGCTGTAAACTATATGAGGAAGCGAATTCTTCGAGAGACATTTCAGGCTTTGTTGCTTTCTCCTCCTCTTTTTTGGCCAAGTACTCTTCGTACATCTTTCGCTTTTCCTCAGATTTCGCCTTAAAAATACAAGAAGTTTAAAAAGCTTCCTAACGAGTAAAATCTCGACACTAACTTGTCTGTTTTCATCCTTTTTCTCCAATTTAAACAGGTAAGTTAAATATTTCTGGCGTGCAGATCGAGAAGATTTAGTTAACAATTCCCTCCAATGTTTGGGCTTTAGATAAGAATTATCAGGCACCAATTTACCATCTTGCCGCATTACTTCGGTTTCCAGAGCTATTATTTTCAATTTGTGCACCAGTTCCTCATCACCGTTCGCAATTTCTTCATAATTCAGGTCCCATTCGGGTTGTTCTACAATTCAACAGAGAATTATAAGTGAATACTACTAAAAAGTTTTTATACCTGTAGAATGGTGTCTCACTGAATTAACAGCCAAGTTTCCTTTATGCAAAATTCTAAGATTAAACTTTGTTTGTAGTTTTGGAATAGTTACTATATTTTCGCCTATTTGCTTAAGACTGTACGTAATTCTCCTTGTGAAAAACATTTCGTTAAAATGTTGTTTGAAATTAGAAATAAAAATTAGGTTATTTTATTTATGTAAGATAACCTCATTTAATCTTCTTTTTAAAATCATTGCTAATTGAACTACTTAGGTCATATTTGACAGTTCTGTCATTACTGTCGTTGTCAAAAATGTCAACCTACTTCTGTCATTAAAACGTTGAATTTTGTATGCTTGTAGCTTTATCAATTTTAAATATTAAAATAAAATCATATATAAAATTCAACAAGATGAACGAATTAGAGAAGCTAGAATACCTCTCTTTGGTCTCAAAAATTTGCACAGAATTAGACAATCATCTTGGAATGAACGATAAGGATTTAGGTAAGTTTCAAGTTAACAATGTTTTTATACGATACTCACGAGTTCATTTCTATTTTAGCTGAATTTATTATACATCTCTCCGAGAAAAACAACACATTGGAGTCTTTCAAAAAGGTGCTCTCAGAAAATGGCGCCGAATTCTCGGATTCATTTGTTTCTAACTTGCTGCGAATTATCCAGCACATGAAACCGAAGAAATCCTCCAATAAGGAAGAGTTCGATAAAGTGGAAAAAGAGGGACTAGCTTTTAAATTTCCCGGTCTAGCAATACCTAATGAGAAACAAAAACCTTTACAATTAGAAGAATTTGATAATGAAAATGAAAATGATGAAATAGACGTTGTAGCTGATATGATGAAACAGCTCGAGGCCGATGCACCTTCTCAAAAACAAACCAAAGAAAGGTCCAGAAGCCCCAGCATCGAAAAGAAACCGAGAGTAAGATCTGGAAGTAGATCGAAGGAACGAAGAAGATCCAGAAGCAGATCGAAAGATAGACGAAGATCTAGAAGCAGATCGAAAGATAGACGAAGATCTAGGAGCAGGTCTAGGGACAGAAGGCGATCTAGATCTAAAGATAGATATTCTCGAAGGGAAAAAAGGCATAGAAGTAGGTCGAATGAAGACTACAAGAGGAGAAGAGGAGACGACAGTTACTCGAGAGATAGAAGGGAAAGAGGTAGGTCCAAAGAATCGGAAAGAAGAGACAGGAATAGATCGAGAGATGATAGAAAAAGGGAACGAAGCAGATCGAGAACGAGAAGGCGAGAAAGGAGCTACGAGAAAAAATTCAAAAGCGAAAAGGATAATCCTGAATTCGAAGATGATCCTACTCCAGGAAAGGTAAGATTGATACACTATTTAAACAACTACATTATTAATTAATGCGCATTTTGTAGATTTATAATGGAAAAGTATCGAATGTCGTTCCGTTTGGTTGTTTTGTACAATTAGAAAGTCTAAAAAGAAGATGGGAGGGTTTAGTGCACATTTCTCAGCTAAGAGCAGAAGGTAGAGTTACCAACGTTTCCGACGTTGTCTCCAGAGGAAGCAAAGTTAAAGTAAGTTACATTTTATATTCCATTTAAACTTTATTACATCTCAACGTTTCTCCATTTCACCAGGTAAAGGTATTAACGATAACCGGCCAGAAAGTATCCCTTTCGATGAAAGATGTCTGCCAAACGACGGGAAAAGATTTGAATCCTCTGTCCCATGCCACTGCGGAACGAGAAGATAAAGACCGTAACCCCGACAGGCCCACGAACAACAGCACGTCAGTGTTGAGGCTACCGGTCAGTATCGACGAAGGTGAAGAAAATTCCAGGAAAAGAGTAACCCGGATTTCCAGTCCGGAAAGATGGGAAATTAAGCAAATGATTTCCTCCGGTTGCATAGACAAAAGCGAATTGCCGGAATTTGACGACGAAACTGGTTTACTGCCCAAAGACGAAGACGGTGAAGCTGATATAGAAATCGAACTGGTCGAAGATGAGCCGCCATTTTTACAAGGTATGTTTTTTAATGAAGAGAGTAATAGATAGTCTAGATATTTTATTTTTTATGTTATTGCAGGTCACGGTAGAGCTGTTCACGATCTAAGTCCTGTAAGGATAGTTAAAAATCCAGATGGTTCGCTAGCGCAGGCGGCCATGATGCAATCGGCCTTGGCCAAAGAAAGGCGCGAACAAAAAATGCTGCAAAGAGAACAGGAAGTGGACTCTCAGCCTTCTGGAAAGAACAAAAACTGGATAGATCCTCTCCCAGAAGACGAATCTAAATCGATGGCGAGAGGAATAGGCCTTCAGAGTCAAGATTTACCGGAATGGAAAAAGCACGTTATTGGTAATTATTTCCCAATCGCTCGAATGATTTCGGAGTTTGTACCAGTAACAATTTCAGGTGGTAAAAAGTCATCTTTCGGCAAAAAAACCAACTTGACGATCATCGAACAAAGGCAGTCGCTTCCCATTTACAAGCTTAAAGAGGAATTACGGAAAGCCGTAACAGAGAATCAAATATTGATCGTCATCGGTGAAACGGGCTCCGGAAAAACCACACAAATCACCCAGTATCTAGCCGAAGCTGGCTTCACGGCCAGAGGGAAAATCGGTTGCACGCAGCCCAGAAGAGTAGCCGCCATGTCAGTTGCCAAAAGAGTAGCCGAGGAGTTTGGATGCAGATTAGGCCAGGAAGTTGGATACACCATTAGATTCGAAGATTGCACCAGCCCCGAAACGATGATCAAATACATGACAGACGGTAAGTTGTACGTTTTATTTCAAATTCTACAACATATTTACGAATTGATTTTTTAGGTATGTTGCTACGCGAATGCCTCATGGATTTGGATCTTAAGCAATACTCTGTAATAATGTTGGACGAAGCCCACGAACGAACGATTCACACCGACGTATTATTTGGACTATTAAAGCAAGCTGTTATGAAACGCGACGAGTTGAAGTTAATCGTAACTTCGGCGACGTTAGATGCAGTTAAGTTTTCGCAGTATTTCTTCAAAGCTCCGATATTCACGATACCCGGTAGGACGTTTCCAGTCGAAGTTTTATACACCAAAGAACCGGAGACTGATTATTTAGACGCTAGTTTAATAACGGTGATGCAAATACATCTCAGAGAACCACCCGGCGATATTTTACTGTTTCTGACGGGCCAAGAAGAAATCGATACAGCTTGCGAAATATTATACGAAAGAATGAAAAGTTTAGGTCCCGATGTACCCGAACTGATCATTCTACCCGTATACTCCGCTCTGCCGTCGGAGATGCAAACTAGAATATTCGAACCGGCGCCTCCTGGCAGCAGAAAAGTTGTAATTGCCACGAACATCGCAGAGACTTCGTTAACAATCGATGGGATTTACTACGTGGTCGATCCGGGATTCGTCAAGCAAAAAGTTTACAATTCCAAGACCGGAATGGATTCATTAGTGGTTACGCCAATTTCGCAGGTAAATATTTAAGCTTAAGCTAGCGTTTTTATGTAGTAGAATGTACTAAATATTGTGTATGTATTCTAGGCGCAAGCGAAACAACGAGCAGGCCGAGCGGGCAGGACCGGTCCTGGTAAATGTTACAGACTTTACACAGAGAGAGCGTACAGAGACGAAATGCTTCCGACGCCGGTGCCCGAAATCCAGCGAACTAATTTGGCAACGACAGTACTTCAACTGAAAACTATGGGTATAAATGATTTGCTGCATTTCGATTTTATGGACGCCCCTCCGGTGGAATCGCTCATAATGGCACTCGAGCAGTTGCATTCTCTATCAGCTTTAGATGATGAAGGTTTATTAACTAGACTAGGAAGAAGAGTAAGTACTAATAATAAAGAATAGAATTACTAAATAATAATCGTGATATTTGCAGATGGCTGAATTCCCGCTGGAGCCGAATTTGTGCAAGATGTTGATCATGTCGGTAGCCCTCCAATGCTCCGACGAAATATTGACTATAGTGAGCATGTTGTCTGTTCAAAACGTGTTTTACCGTCCGAAAGACAAGCAAGCGCTGGCTGACCAGAAAAAGGCCAAGTTTAATCAACCCGAAGGCGATCACTTGACGCTATTGGCGGTCTACAACAGTTGGAAGAACAACAAATTTTCGAACGCATGGTGTTACGAAAATTTCGTACAGATCAGGACTTTGAAAAGGGCGCAAGACGTGAGAAAACAGTTGTTGGGTATCATGGACAGGCACAAATTGGACGTGGTATCAGCGGAAAGGAACACGGTGAGAGTGCAAAAGGCCATTTGTTCCGGGTTTTTCCGGAATGCGGGGAAAAAGGACCCGCAGGAAGGCTACAGGACTTTGGTTGATAGTCAGGTTGTGTACATTCACCCTTCGAGCGCTTTGTTCAATCGACAACCGGAATGGTGAGTTTCTATAAATTTATGCATTGATCTATTTACTAAATTAATAATTTTTTAGGGTTATCTATCACGAATTGGTGCAAACTACAAAGGAATACATGAGAGAAGTGACGACGATTGATCCAAAATGGCTGGTGGAATTTGCGCCTGCATTCTTCAAGTTTTCTGATCCTACGAAGTTGAGCAAATTCAAGAAAAATCAAAGATTGGAACCGTTGTACAACAAATATGAAGAACCCAATGCGTGGAGAATTTCTAGAGTTAGGAGAAGACGAAATTAATTCAGTTAATTTCACAAATCCAAGTAGGTTTACATGGTTTAAAGTGTTTTGAATTGAAAACGATTACAGATAGGATATAAATAAAACGCCGCGAGCAAAATCGCGAGGGTACTGCTACTGAGTAAAAAAAGAAATTTTAATTTTCTATAAATTAGTTTTATTTTTTAAATTACCTTTTACCAAAACGATTATAGATGTATACACAAAATCACATATTTTATATGTACATGTTTTTACTTAAGCGTTATTTGCATTTAGCTGTTAGGGAAACTTACAATTCAATAACAGTACGACAATTTTCATCGATAAATTTCGAATCATTGAAACTGAAAGGCGAATTCTTCCAATTATTCAGTCGTATGATAATTGAGGGGGTAGAAAATGCACAGCTTTTTTATCGAATGAGCAATTTTATACAATTACATTTCTTTTAATCATCTTATACTTCAGCTCGTTTCAACAAAATTCTGAACCACGGCGAAGTGTACTTAAAGCAAGTGAGCATTGTAAAAATATAAACTTTTTTGAGCCAATTTATAGTCGCTCTTTGCTTTAATATTATTTTAAGTTTTCATTGAGCCAAATAAAATAGTTTATTTCAATATTTCATACAAAAAACTTTTGGTTAAATTTACATCGTTAAAAATAATCAAAAAAAAACCTTGTAGCGAATATATTTAAAATGAGGCTATTTGATAAGAAAGCTCGATTATTTAACGAATAAAAATATGCATGAGTACGATTTAAAACAAATATGGACACTTTTAAATCCTGAGGCTGAATAAAATTACTTATTTACAATTAAAAGGAGGAAAAGTTTAGAATGCACTCTTCAAAAACACCATTCTTGAACAATATATGTGCGTTCTAAACTTTTTTTTAAATAAATACAGAAATATTAACAAATACAATATTAAATATTCGATTCGAACGCGAATTTCAAACAAAAAGAAGCCAGTTAAAACGTGTTAACTTCTCTGAATGTTTACATATAAGACTTATGTACGAAGGCATTTTATAGGCTTACGAATGTTTTAGGGTGTATTAATAAAATTAACCACAAAAATTGTACAGGTAGGAGACGAATATAAATAAACTTAAAATCAAAGTTCTTTCAACAGGGCCGACTTGGCATTTTTTAACTTGTCTAACCTCTTCAGTAAGTGTGTATTTGAAGTTTCTAATTCTTCTACTCGATTCAAGGCTTCTCTGGCCTAAAACAGAAATTGTTTAATAAATAATTAGATATTAGTTATTAAAAGTTACAAAACTATTAAATTAGTTCAACATTTTGGTTCTGGGCTTTGAAATAAAAGTAAAGCAAGTTAATAATTTCTTCAAATAAACAAACACATTAATATCGAACAACAAAGCGTCAAGTAAAATTCGTAATCTCCTAAAATAAATAAAAAAAAACATGAATGAAATACATGTTAATAAGGAATAGAAGCTTCGTAATTAAACCATCACACTAATCTAACGGTTAAATTCAAGTGGGTGCAAATTGAAACGCAACTACGTTACAGCAATGAATTCTTCGACTATTTGTCCTAGTGATGACAAGTCAACCTCTTATGTGCCTGTCTGAGAGCTACATTAGAGGCCTCGGTCAACATCAGCTGTTGATTCGCATTCTGCACCTGCAGTACAACGACACTACATTTACCAATCACCAAACCACGCAGACGGACATGTAACTGGGAAACTCCGTGTTTTTAACGAAATACTTCTAGAGATGAAATAGAATTTAAAATATGTTCAGTATATTTTTAACGAACTAATTAGTCATCTTTCTATGCACCACCTACTTTACTATTTATTTTTAGGTATTCAATCGCCTCTAGAAGTATAGCTTTACAAATTTAGTTTTCTTTGGGTTACACATATTGCCGTATTCAGAAGTATATTATAATCAAATGGTTTTGTAACCAAAGATTATATATTCGAATGGCAACGTTGCTAATAATCGTTTAGAAAAAAAGTTCTCAAAAATTGGACGTTACTGAAAGCGCTTAAAAATTGTCAGTATTTACCAGAAAAGCGTCTACATATTAATTGCTATCTGTAGAATCTATTTCATCTGTTATATCTGTTATAGAATCCGATTCGTGAATACTAAAAGAATCAGAATCCTGCAAATAAAGAAAAAAATACTCGTGCAAAAAAATATCGTCCACAAAACGAGTAATCTAAACAAAATAGTAATACCAAAGCGAGTGTGCGAGCAATACATTTCGATTTACCTCTCTTTGCAATTTCCTTTTTTCGGTCTTGAGAGCCTCCTCGGATTGCTCGGACGTCTCCGCCGCCGTTTTGTATCTGATCACCTGGCTTTCGAGACGCGCCACCGTCGCTTGGAGCGTCGCGGCGTCCTGCTCGGCCTTCTGCGCTCGAAATTTCCAATCGGACAGCATTTTACTCGCCTCTCCTGCAACGACATTCGCTATTTTACACTCGTTTTCGCGATACAATAAAAACAAATCGAATTCGTTTATTCGATTTTGCTCACTTTGAATGTCGTCGTAATCGCAATCCGACGAAGGTCCGTTTAGAGCGCCGCCCGAACTGGGTTTCCTCCGTTTGCTCTTCTCTTCTTCTAACTCTAATTTTAAATGGCTAATTTGATCCTGCATTTCGGTTTTTTCTTTAAGGAATCGGGATAACCGCACGTCTGGAAAAACACAGCGCGTTAAATAGGAGGCGTTTATTATCGACAACAGCGCTTACCCAAACTTCCATCGCCCGCGGTCTCGAGCAAATTGGCGTTTTCCGCGCTGACTAAAGCCTTCCTGGGCGGACGGTGGGTGCCGTCCTCGTCGGCGGGCACCTCCTCCGCCACTATAACTAAACCTTTCTCCGCTATGAGCCTATCCCTTTCGTCCAATTCGTATTTGACGAAGGCGAGATCGTCCTTCAGCTTCGCACAGACGCTCTTCAACGTCTGATACTCCCTGCACTTGTCCCGGTGCTCGCGCTTCAACTGGGAGTGCTCCTCCTCCAATTCTTCCAGTCTGAAACGAATCCGATCGAATGATTTTTCTTTGCGAAACCGTCGCGATATACGCACCTATCTTTGAACAGTCCCAGCTGATACGTCTGCGCCGATTTGTCGTTATCTAATTGGGCGTTCGCTATCATGGCTTTCCTGAATTTCTCTTCCACCTCTTTGAGCTCGTGCTGGAAATTCAACTGCGTTAATATGACGTTATTCTGCATTATCGCCCAGGTGAAACGGTATTAAATAAGAGATAACGATTGATTAATCGGTGTAACAATGATCCGTCGAAAGCGGTATTTGGATCATCATCAACAATGCGACGGTCGTAACTGCTTAAATAAAACGCTCTACTAATTTTACGAGGGATGTTTCCAACAAGGTCGTGGGAATTGTCGAAGCGTTTTTCGAATTTTATTAGAATCTTCGATCGGGTGATATTCATCGACTTACTCTCAACTCCCGGAAGCTTCCGCCGCCGTCCTCCAAGGAATCCTCCGAACTGCGCCGGCTCGACAGGAACCGGCCGGTGCTCCTTGGCGTCCGCACCAAGGAGGTCGGCTCCGAGGACAGCATGTCGAATTGCCTGTCGGCGTTCTCCTCTTGCTCCTTCTGCTGGCGTTCGAGTTCTCGCATGCGGATTTCGCGCGCCTCCGCCCTCGCCTGTCGCTTCGCCCATAGCCGCGCCTCGGCCTGAAAGAACCAGAAAGATTCGTATTTAAACAGAAATGGCTTCGTCGACGGTGTATGAAAGATGTTGGATAGGGAGCGGTCGAGCGTCAATTGCGCCAAGTGCGGGAGGGATGTTTTATGAAGGTGGTATAAATGGTAGGGAATGTTCGTGAAGTTTGGTTCGTACTGAAGAAATTGTTCTGTTATTACGCGGGAATTTCTCTTAAACCGGGGCGATGGTGAATTGGGCGCAGGAATATTTCAGGTAGAAAAGGGAATTCGTTGGATTCGTTGTAAACTTTAGAAGAAAATGAAGATTTTTGGTAATTTTTTAAGTTTTATAATTATTAAATTGAAAATATGTACACGAAAATACTTTGCTGTAAATAAAAATTCTTAATAATCACAAGAAATATTTGTAGTTATTTTTCGGAAACTCAATTTACCTATAGAATTAAAATCTATAAACCCTTTTGCGCCCAATTTACAATTCACAATTATTTCCTCCTCTTAATCGATTAAATAAATTTATAACGATTACACAAAATTGACACGAAATTACTGTGAATAACGTTGCTATATCCAATTTTGTAAGTACTATAAAAAGATAACGTGTCTACTACATTTCTATTTACGATTTGATTTAACGATAACACCCGCCTTCCATCATTCTAAAGATAAAAACATACCTATCATAACATCGAAAATTGTCGAAAAAAAAAAATTCATAAATATACCTGTGGGCTAGTGTCGTTCATAAACGAACATATCACGTCGTTTTCATCGGAATTTTCCCCATCGGATCCGCTTTCCCCGACGTAATCCGACGTTTCCGTCGTCGTCGTACCGCAAATAAAAACCTTATCACTTTCCCCGTTAATCGAATTACGGTTGTCATCGTCCATTTTTCAGGCGGCAAATGCGGACAGGATTCGAAACGGTTCGAGTGTTCGTTTCGTATTTTTCAAGCGATAACGCGAGCACACCTCATGGAGTTATTTTAAAATTTTTAATCGATAATATCGATCGATCGTCAATTTACCGGCGCTGTTGTAAGCGATACTGATAATTCTCAATTATCAATAGGATAGAGGTTGTAGAATAAGTTTTTCGCATTATTTTTTTTTTTCGGATGATAAGAGATTTAATAAAAATGTTTACATTCTCGTATCGTCGTAAATATTTATTATATTTAACCTACAGATGTCGCTGGTTTTTGCTAAGTACATTTTAAATTAAAACAAACTTATTTGCAAAAAAATGGAATTTTGCAAAATATATATTTTTTTTAATTTATAGCGTTGACGCATCATAACATAAGGTACTTTCAGTAGGCAATAAATTTAACGAAAAGTAAACTCTTATCCAATTACGGCCTGCAAAAAACCCGTCATGTAGGCAATAATAAACTTAATTACTGCGCATATGCAATTAAAAATTATCTATTCATGCGGTTTTGCTTCAAGGTATTCCACAAATTAAACCGTTTCGGGTTTTTATACAAACTTATTTGCCTATTTCAACTTGTATTACTACATAGATAATCGCATCTGTTCCAGATTTAACGTTCCAATTCATAGCGAATTAACGCCGAAAATGTAAAAAATAAACGTGAACGAACCGAATTGGAATGTTTACGCGTAACCCATAAAACGAAATTTAATCGGCAAAAGGCATAAATTTTTAACACCAAACACACACAATTTAGCGTACTCACATGTTTTTTCGACAATGAAATCGCCGTCACCAACAGAACGTTGGCTTTGGGGTTTTCGTAGAGGCAATCCGATATCGATGGGGACCGAATCAGGACGGTAAGGTGGCCGATGAATTTCGACTTCTGCACGCCGACCATTTTATCGACACTTCCGTCCGCGGAAAAGCGAGCATTTACACCGAAAAACACCATGTGAAATACTGATACAATCCCTCCTATCTGTTTGCAGATGTGATAAAATTCTCGCTCGACGTTTAACTACATGTAGCGAGATTTATTTTTTTTTCTCACCAATTTCGTAACCGCTAATTGTATGTAGACAATTAGTTTAGGCAAATTCGTCGGTATTTACCGGTTTAGGAATGTCGCAAATAGATTACCAGTAGGTCAAACCGTTAGTACAGATATTTATAAATTCGTCTTGTTTACGTTCACGAATTATCGGTGTGATACAATCGAAGTTTCGCAGCGATGAAAAGCGATGAGTGAAGAGCGCGGAAATGCCGCAGAAGAACGAATGCATTACCGGCGACCTCCGGAGGTCATCGTCGTACGCGACACCAGTCGAGATACTCCCGAGAGGCGCTCCTTCCGACCCGGTGCACTCGCCTTACACTGAGGCTCTCCCGAAACTATTCGTATGTACATAAATACCTTCGGGCGAACCCCTCAATATGCATATATGATGCTTATTCTTCGAGAAGGAGACGAGTTCAACGCCCAAAATACACGTGGATTTAGGTGCATATTTCCAAGAAACCGTCTAATAGACCGGCATTCCGGTCGTATAGTCCGATTGCGGCGCGCCGGGACGCCCGTCAGCTGATTTCTTTCGATTTATTTCAATACAGTGAGGACCAAAAGTCCGTCGCCCCCTTTAACTTTTGATTGGTAAGAGCTTTTGTCGCGAAATTTGGGGTGTTTATATTGGAGTAAAAATACTATTTTTTTGACGTAAAAATGACAGTTGAAACTTTCAAAATGACAGTTAGGCGCCATTTTGAATCTTTTTTTCTTATGGAAAGGGGGGTCAAGTGACACCTCGTTTTAACTATGTTAACGACTAACTTACCTATGTATATCTAAAAATGCTTAGTAAAGAAGTTAAAAAGATAGTATTTTGTACATATTTGCATGTAAAAGACTCCAGTCGTTCTGACCTAATAACAAAAAAATCTCCTTTTGATTTTTAACTTTAACACCTTGTAAGTTTTTTACTAAGCGAGTCTCAACGTTTTTTTGGGACATTTAAGTTATTAAAAAAACTCCTAATTAGGAATGTCGTAGGCTCGTTTCGTCATTTTGCGCATTTCGTCGATGCGAAAATCCTCGAAATTCGTCTAAAAATTCGGCAACTGAATCGAAAATATTCAAGCCGACAAATCGTGAACGTATTTTTTTCCGATGAGTATTCCAACGATTCAATTGCGATTACTAATTATTGCCGATCGAACCTGTTATTGGATCTTCGTATATTAAACGAATAAATATGCAGTTGTTATCGAAACGAAGCGTTGTCCTAAAGTACCGAAAGAGGCTCAAATTTGAGCACTTCCGCGTTTAGTAAGAAGTCTTCGGAATGCCGTGTGGAAAATGAATCGGATTTCTACACGCAAGAATAACTACAACGAAATCCCCCAAAGACAACGATCTATTTCCGTACCGACTCCCTCTATTTTTTTTTTTCGACGAGCGGCGCTAGACCAGACAATCCGCACTTTCGACTATCGGAAATACTTATTTAGATCGACTCCTTTACGTTTCGGAAGGGTTCCGTGTAGCCTACTTCCGCGGGATTTCCTGCACCCGAAATAGCTAAATATACGCGACCCATCCGGAAATTTCCCCGTCGGAAAGATCATTTTTCCATCAATCGATCATTAGGAAAATCCGAAACGACTTTACATAAAAAAATAAATACAGTGAGCCGGATTTCACACAGAAAAGAGCCGTATTCATCTCCAATAGGAGTTTAGAAGTTTATACCTAAAGGTATATTTGTTGACAGCGACGTCACTCGGTACTAGCCAATCACAACGCTCGATTCTCTCTCAATTTTAATACTATAGCCAATGAGAGTTCGAGCTGATTAGTGACATTATGTCTTAGGGTATATGCGAAAATTCCGCGACAAGAGGACTAAATGGAAGATAATCTTCCGTATATTAATTCGTGCGTTTAGATGACAAACGAGAACGGACGAACGGATCTCCGGGCGTCTAATTTTAAAATCGGGAACTCCGAAAGGCGCGACGTCCGCCGTCCAGACGCCGGTCGACGTCTCGACAACGACGGGAGTTTTTTGTTTCGAAACTCAGATAGCCGGTAATTAATGCACAACGAGTTGTTATTATTACGTTAAATCTCAGATGTGTTTTTTTTTTCGATGCACATCATATAACGGAATGTAGGCTGCTAATGTTTTTTTTAGAAAGTTTCCTTTAGATAATATTATGTAATTTTATGTTCGCTCAAAAATAACAATCTCGACTGTATGTTAATCTAGTCGAAAAATCGATTAAAATCGTTTGTAAAGATCGATGCAATAATATACAGTTAAGTGCAAAATTGTATGCAATATTGATGCAACAAAGACAGCTTCCATTAGGCTCATATAAAGGAAAAAAGAAATAGTGATATCGTGGGCAACTTTCCATGGGCAAATTTTATGGCATAAAATTGACCATATTGCAAACATCCATGTGAATTCTTCACAAATATAAAACATGAAGCATTCCCCAAAAAAAGCGAAATTTCAGGACAATAAAAAAAAAGCTTCGACATACCTCTTTAGCGATTTGATCGAGAGCTTGATCTTCGGCGGCTGATTTGGTCGCGAGACGTCTTCTCCCCCCTACACCATCCATAGCTCGATTGTGCACCATAAAAAATTACACCAGACCTGACGACAGATATACAAGACACATAGAATAGGACAAGACATGCATTGTGAACGGCGTTAGTTTATACTACGAAACACATTATCGAATACTCAGTAATTACGATTTAAAGACATTAAATAGCAAGCGATTGTAATGAATATGAAATACCTTAAGCTGAGGATAACCCAAAAAAACGATAGAAGCAATGGGAATGGCGAGAAATACTAAATAAAACAAAAATGAATTTAGTAAAATATATTTTTATAGTTTTAAGTAACAAAAAAATATATTTTTACTAGTGATGAGTGAAGAATTTAAATGTCTTTAAAATACAATTGAAGCAATAAACCTCATTAACTGTTGGTTTTAAAAATAGCAAAATCTATTTTAAATTACTCATGTAGTTTAGAATCGGAGCGGTCTAGGTAATCATTAACTGTCGTAAAGAAAAATTATCTTTGTTTCTACTCATCAAAAGAATGTTATAAAACTTCGAAAGAGGAAAAATAATACCAAATGTAGTATCTATTATTAAAAAAGTTTACATAAACTCGAATTATACTAACTCTAAAAACCTGCCAGAAATCAATAAATTTATTTAATTCGATTATCTTGTTACTGAATGGATCGAAAAGAGGAAGGCTTCTCATATACGAATAAAGGATAGAATTTTTGTTTACATGATTAATCACCGAGCAGTAATTGAAAGTTTATAAAGTCTGAGATCACAGTTTAAATATATTTACATAAACAGTGAAAAAAATCACAATAAATTGATAACTGAATATTTAGCAGGTGTTCAAAACTAAAGTAAGTGGGTGTGATATTTCCTGGCTTTTGGCCAAATTAAAACCACTTTGTACTCACTTATATCTAGTAATCCTCATCTGATATCTTCCATTCTACAATACATTACTAATAACTCCTTCGGCTCGATTTCAAACTCAAAAATCAATCAATCTTCAACAATCGACCTTTGAAGGGTCTCAGGGGTGTAACGATGTTTTCAAATTTAAACGCTTTGGTAAATCCACGGAATCTAATGGACAATCGTACTTAACACTTCGTTGGCTGGAATGAAGAGATGAATTCATTTATACAACCGATTTCTTTCGAAAATAATATAATAATAGGCGAATTTATCGACATGTGTAATATCATGACGACATTTCTTTCAGTTTGCGGAGCAGAACTGCCAATTATTGCGAAAATCCCTAAATTAGAAATGACAGTTGTCAATTTTTTTACAACTCTATTGCCACCTTAAAATGAAAAATTATAAACATGCAACAAATTTTATTTTGAAATGTAACTGTATTATTAGATTTATGATCGATAATAAATTAGATAAATGTGTGTTATTTTGTTAGTACGTGTGTTTTTGTTTAGTTTATTACTTTATTTGAACTAAAAAAGAAGAATGAAGGATAAGGGAGAATGTAGCTACAAGTAGGTCGTTTGAATCGTACGGGTACCAAACTTCACACTGCCTAGATCAAAATTGTTCAAGTCAAGTAAACACTTTTTTTCTTCAGTGGACTATTGGTTAATTTTGAATCATTTGTTTTTTTGTTTCAAACTATTTAACTATTTGTTAAATAGTCTCAAAACGAAAAGGGTTACAAATACAAACCATAGCGTGTAAGACAACTGTCAACAAAATTTTTAGTAATCTTATTTAAACAATTTGATTTTAGCATCGTAGGTACCTAAGAAAATGAACCTTTACTAATTGTAAACAACGGCCGGTTGTACCAAATTGATATTTCCGTACTTTACTCATTTCTCCCAATCATCTGAACACCACAAAATGAACAAATTCACAAACGAAGAACAGTTACAAATAGTCGTTTGGCACACCAACGGATTCCAGGCTCCCGCGATCTTGGAGCTCTTCCACAAAATGTTCCCGGACCGTCCTCTACCGACGCGCTCAATAATCGCCCGCATCATGAACAACCTCCACACGCACGGCTGTTTCTCCCTGCGAACGGAGACCACGCGGCCGCCCAAGCGCCCGCCCCGGCCCAACCCCGACCGCGAGCTGCACGAGCTGATGGTCTGCGCGGCCGTCGAGGAGAACCCCGCGCGGCCGACGCGCGACCTCGCCCGCGAATTGGGCAAGTCCAGCAGCACCGTGGCCGACATTCTGCGGCGCAACGGCTACCGGAGCTTCCGCCCGGACCGATCGAACGAGACGTTTCCGTGCGACGAACACAGCCGGATGGAGTTCTGCGAAGCGATGGTAGAGAAGATCAACGGCGACGAACGGTTTCTAAATAACGTTCTCTTCACCAGCGACTCGTCGTTTTCGTTGGGCGACGGTTGCGGTTCGACCAATTCTCGATGTTATTGGTCGAGAGGTAATCGGAAGGTTTCGGAGACTCCGCAGAAACTCCACGTTTGGGCGGGTATTTTGGGAGATAGTATTCTAGGACCTTACTTCGTCGAGGGGAACAACCTCCATGCCCAAACATATTTAAAGCTGTTAAAAGATAACGTTATTCCGGCTTTACGCGATTTAGGCGTACCGTTAGATTCGATTTGGTTCCAGCAGGATGGACGTCCTGCGCATAATGCGGCGGTTACTAAAAAGTTATTAACCAGTTTGTTTCCTGGACGTGTCATTGCAGGGTTTCGCGATTATCAAGGAGACTGTGAGATGAACGTTGGCTGGCCGGTGAGATCGCCGGATTTGGCGCCGTGCGATTTTTTTTTGTGGAAGTACGTTAAATCGAAAATTTACGCCTATCAAGAGGAGAAATTGAATAATTTCAACGAGCTGCGGGCGAAAATCGCTGATGTATTAAGCGGAATTAGTCCGGAAATTCTACAGAATGTTCGAATAAATTTTTACAACAGACTTGGTTATTGTTTGGCGCAAAATGGTGGGCGATTCGAGTATTTGTTATAATATATTTAGATTTATTAAATAAAATTGTATTAATTTTCAATTTCACCTTAATTCTCACCATACAATCACCTCTGAATTTTTTTGGCGTTATTTAGATACACCCTGTAAATGCAAATTTGCAATACAAGTCGAACAAAGAAAGATTATTAAAATAACAATGGTTAGAGTGAGAAAGTTGCAATTCCACAATAATAAATTAGTAAATATTGACAACACACTCATATCAATAAGTGACTCACTTCACACTGTTAAGCTAATCATCACGATACCTGCACAATAATCCGGTGGTCTTTGAAATTTTTCGTACGAATTACTTTTCGTTATGTCAAAATGCTTCAATCGCAGCTAAAAATGACTTTAACGAAAAAAACGTTAGTCGTGAAGAACATAGAAAAAATCGAGAACAAGAACGAACTGGTGCACGATGCCATTCGGTCTCTCCAATCTGATCTGGACAGCATTTTAAATTCCCACCCGAGGAAATTGTCGTTGCAAGAATTATACGGCATCGTCGAAAACCTGCACAGCACCCACAGAACGCTTTTATATCAAAAACTCGAAGATATATTAGAAGAGGCCTTGTCCGACAAACTCCAAAAGCTCGCTAAAAACGATGATAATAACAACAGCAATTACACATTAACAGCCATCAAAACGCTATGGACTGAATTTTGTAAAAACGTTTGTACGATTAAAAACATTTTTCTAAATTGCGATAGATCGTCGCAAAACAGTAATAAGTATAATACGGTTCACCAACTTACCACCGGTTTATTTAAAACTATAATAATCCAAAATCCGAAAATAAGGAGTCGCCTAACAGTAGAAATATTGACTCTAATCGAATTCCAAAGAAAGGGAAACGATATCGATACGAATTTATTAAAAACGATATTAGAAATGCTAACCGACCTGCAAATGTACGATGAAATTTTCCAAACGGAATTTTTGTCCAATTCGAGCGTCTTTTACGAAGACGAAGGCAACATTCTAATAAACTCCATCGATATGAGGGCCTACTTGAAACACTGCCAAGCCAGAATCAAAGAAGAGCAAGAGAGATTCGAACTATTTCGAAACACTCACACGTTTTCCAGCGTATCAAATATACTCTACCAACATTTACTGAAAGATCATATGCAGGACATCCTCGAAAAAGTTTACAAACTACTAGACAAAGCAGAAATCACTAACGCGGAATTAGGAATCCTCTACAATTTATTTAAAAACGTACCAACAGGTTCAAAAAGCCTGGTCGAGTATTTCGTAAACTACATCATGAAACGAGGAAGTCAGATCGTCAACAAACCAGATAACGAAAAAACGATGATACAAGACCTGTTAGACTTCAAAAGCGAGCTAGACGACATAGTAGAAAACGGCTTCAAAGACGCCGAAACGTTCGCAGACATCATAAGAAATTGTTTCATAAAATTCATAAACAGCAAACAGAACAAGCCGGCCCAACTGTTGGCCAAATACATCGACAACAAACTGCGATCCAAGGACCTCTCCGACGATCAACTGGAAAGCGTCCTCGACAAAGTGATGATCCTGTTCAGGTTCATCCAAGGAAAAGACATCTTCGAAGCGTTCTACAAAAAAGACCTGGCCAAGCGGCTGCTCTTGGGCAAATCCACCAGCCAGGACGCCGAAGACAGCATGATCGGCAAGCTGAAGCTCGAATGCGGCGCCTCGTTCACCTCCAAAATCGAAGGCATGTTCAAAGACATCAACATCAGCCGGTGCATGAACAACTCCTTCAAGCAGCACCTCGTCCACGCCTCGCCCGCCGTCTCCTCCGACCTCTGCATCAACGTGCTCACCAGCAGCTTCTGGCCCAACTATCCCGCCTACAAGGTCAACCTGCCCGTCGAGCTGGTCAACTACCAAGCGATCTTCCAGAAGTTCTACTCGACCAACCACAACGGCCGCAAGCTGGTGTGGCAGCCGAACCTCGGCCATTGCATCGTGAAGGCCTCCTTCGACGGCGGCAACAAAGAGCTGCAGGTGTCCCTCTTCCAAGCCATCGTTCTCCTGCTGTTCAACGACTCGAGCAAACTCACCTTCGGCGAGATGCGCGAGCTGACCAACATCGATCCCGACGAGCTGAAGAGGATCCTCATATCGTTGGCTTGCGCTAAGAGCCGAGTCCTGGTCAGGCAGTCGAAGGGCAAGGACGTCGAGGCGGAGGACTCCTTCTGCGTCAACGACAAGTTCACCGATAAATTGTTCCGGGTGAAGATCAACCAGATACAGCTGAAGGAGACTGTAGAGGACCAGCAGGCGACCGAGAGGAGCGTGCTCACCGATCGCCAGTTTCAAATCGACGCGGCCGTGGTGAGGATATTGAAGAGCAAGAAGAAAATCAATCACAACGAATTGATTTCGGAGCTGTTCAATATGCTGGATATACCGGTCAAGCCGTACGATTTGAAGAAGAGGATCGAATTGTTGATTGAAAGGGAGTACATGGAGCGGGATAAGAACGATCCTACTAATTATATTTATGTGGCTTAATATGAATAATGGTGTGTTTATTTTCTGTTGTATTGAAATTTTGTTATTGAGAAATATATATACATTGTTTAATTATTGTAGTTTTTTTTTATTGTAAAATTCTGTTTACTGGCTATGATGTTTTAAATGCTTTAACTCTATAGAGTACTACATTGCACTGCACTTTATCTACTCTTATACTCTAGCGTATTGGAAATTTTTAAAACCTACTGGGCTCGTTATATCTAAAAATAAACAATTGTTTTCGTAATGCTAAGGTTACTGAAAAAAATAATTGTTCATTATTTGACAAAATAGAATATGTCATAAACCAAAAATTCGATCAAAAATTATAAAGTTTCGCAGTTCGCTCATCTATACATAAAAATTTCAGTAAACCATCATGATTCCATCATATATATCGAGACTTACGACGAACTTTTCAAAAATATCGAGTAAGTAGTCGAAAAGCTCTCGAGCGGGAATTTCGGAATAAATGAGAAATTTCGCGCTTTTTCAGCAATAGGATGCAAGAATTACCACGATCAGACCGACGAACCGACCGGCCCGAAAGTCATCACCGATCTACCCGGGCCCAAGTCGAAGGCTCTACTCAAAAATGTCAAATTTCAGGTAAGAATCATTTGGTGCCAGTCATTTGGTCTCTCTTAGAATAATTTGCAAAATTTGCATTATCTTGCAAAGTGTATTTCCCAAATTTAAAGTCCACATTGTCCACAAGTATTTCATATAAGCTATCTCATTTGGGCCATGATTTATACCAGATAATGTCTCATATTCGCACTCTGAGCACCATATTTAAGTTCTAACCGGTGAATTGCATTCTATTCTAGCAGAAGATTGAAAAATCTGATATCTTCGGAAATTACGAAGATTCCGTCGGAAATTATCTGGTGGACGCGGATGGTAATACATTTTTAGACATCAATTTGCAAGACAACCGAGTGCCGTTCGGATACAATTACAAAAATTTGGAAAAAGTTTTGTTTGCTTCGGTAATTCATTGTTTTTTGTTACCCGGCAACTTTACAGATTTAACGAATTTTTTTATCAAAAAAGCGAATAAAACTGTAAAGTTGTGCATTTGCTTTAAGACCCTAATAAAATTGTTTGTTTTTTAATTAAAGAACAAGAGGATAGATGAAATCAAAATGGGAGTGTTTCCGGGCATGCGATTTCCCACTAAAACTGCTCAATCTTTTCAAGAGGTATGTAAATCAACGTCTTATCATTCAAATAAATATACAGTGTGTCACACCTCTGTTCTCTTATCAATTTAACACGTCTATAAACAGTTACTTATACTCTTATAATAAAATAATTAAATAGGTCTCGCCGAATATGCCTGGTTTATATTTATGCCCGAACGAAGCTGTGGCATTAAAAGAAAGCATGAACGCAATGAAATATTCCTCCGAAAAGCACGATAGCGAGATGAAATCGCAACGTTTGTTCGGCTCGATATTTAACAAGAAGGGTAACTAACAAAAATATAAAATGGCAGTTTTTACCGATACATTTTTATTAGTTTCCACCAAATATTCCCTGCTGTGTTTCAAAGACGCCCAATCGCTTGCGCCCAGCAACGAAGATTTATCCCGCGTCGATTACCCCATGTACAAATATCCCCTAAACGAGAACATCGAATACAATAACAGCGAAGATGAAAAGAGTTTGGCGATGATCGAAGATCAAATCTGCGTTTGCCAGGAAAAGGGTAAATTGTGTATATTACAACGTAAAGTGGCACTAAAATATGTCTGTTTAGATCGACCAGTCGCCGGTATAATAATCGAGCCGCTCCAAACAACCACCAATCAAGTCTTATCGACCAAATTCATGCTGAAATTGGAAGAAATCGCCTGCAAAAACGGCATTTACCTGATGTTCGACGAGATGAGAACCTGCTGCGGGGCGACCGGTCGCTTTTGGATGCACGAACACTATCCCCTGCACTGCCAGCCGGACATTTTGTCCTTCGGCGGTAAAATGCAAGTGTCCGGTTTCTTTCACCGCGCCGATTTATTGTAAGCCGCCCCGAAAATGCCCAATCGCGTACCTCACAAACTGTTTTTTCCAGCCCGTTTTACAACAACAACAACCTACTGACGACCGAATCCATCAGCCTCTCCAAATTGATCTTGTTCGAGAATATAATTGACCTCATCGGCAGGCACAATTTGATGAAAAACGCTCGAATCACCGGCGATTACATCAAGAACAACTTGCTGCACATGGAGAAGGAATACGAGAATTTGATCAAAGCCACCAGAGGTTTGGGCACCATCGTGGCTTTCGATGCCAGCTCGCCCAGAATGGCGGAGGACTTTTTGAGGCGATTGCGACAGAAAGGCGAGAGCGACATTTTCCACGAAATCGCCGCATCTAACTCGTTGATTTTAGGTATACTTTGCGGTAAATGCGGCGCGTCCGGAATCGCCGTCAGACCTTCATTGACGTTCACCAAAAACCACGCCGTTATATTCATCGATCGACTCCTCGACGTTATCAAACAGACCTCGTTGAAACCGACGGACACCGAACACGTCGTGCCCGTTTTGCCGATGCACGACGAGAAGGCCGTTTTGGACACCATCAGCAAATCCGGAAAACTCCCGCCGAGCATCGCGCAATCCGATTCAACCGGCTGTCTCAAACAAATCGACGGCAACAAGAACGAATTGGAATTGTTGAACACAACCCACCGAGATTCGAGCAAAGTTCCGCCATCTCTATCGCTGATAAACGAAGCGCAAAGAGCGCTGGAGAACGTGCAAACTAAAAAAGACAAAGGCAACATGAGCATCACCATAAAACTACCGAAATCGCTGAAGAAGGGCAAGAAACCGGCGTCGAAGACGAGCCAAGGAAAGGTAACCAGCGAATCTATCAAGAAGCAAAAACTGGACATACAATACCCGAAGAAACCGTCGGGGCAAAAGTGCAAATCCGCCGGTATGTCGGCGGAACCGCCTCGAGCCTCGTCGGCGCCGATGCGAGCGATGCCCAAAGCGCCGCCGTCGGGCGGCGGCGGCGGCGGCAGCAAATGCGGCAAAACCAGCAAGGACAAGTGCAAACCTTCGGCGCAGGCGTTCAAAATAAAATGCCTGAAGTGCATGAAGAAGGGCTCGGGCAAATGCAAGCCGGGCAAGAACGCCATAACGATCAAGTGCTCGAAGTGCAAGGAGAAGGGCGGCGGTCAATGCGCGCCCGGCAAGAACGCCATAACGATAAAGTGCATGAAATGCAAAGAGAACGAGGGCAAGGGATGCCAACCCACCACAGGCGCCATAACGATCGTTTGCGCCGAATGCAAAAAGGAACAACAGTCGAATTGCAACGGGCAAAGCAGGAACCTGTCGTATTTGGTGTACCGAAAGAGTTTCTACCACGCGAAGCGGTTCTACACCACCAAATCCACCGATCTAAAACAATCCACGAGAAAACTAATAAAGTCATCTACGGCGGAGAAGGATGCGGATAGAAACTGCTCCAAACGTCATAGAAGTTGTGTACGTAATAAATATAAGTTAAACAAACTGGATATAGATCATTATAAAATTTCAGGTCGAAAATTTTTTGCTCTAAACAAATCTAATGTGTTATTGAAACAAGAACCGAAAGCGATAATGGCCCAACGGAGGAATCGAGACACCGACGCGATCTATGACGATGCGAACGCGACTGGCAAAAAGGACGAGAAAAAGGATGAAAAGAAGGATGAAAAAAAGGACGATAAATCGCCCAAAGTGAAAGCGTTGGCGTTGAAATGGATTAAAAAACGCAATCCGGATGAGGGCCCTCAACTAGAGGTATTGTACTGTAAAGAAACCAACCAAAAAAGCGACGGAACGAAAGATAAACCGTTACCAAATAAAAAAATCGATAAACCTCTAAAAGAAATAAAAACTCCGGAGGTAAAAAAGAACGAGCCAGTCAAAGCGAAGGAAACTCCGAAGAGCCCCAATTTAACACTTAAAAATAACAACCAGAATAACACCAATAAAGTAACAATGGTACTTAAAGGAAATAAGAAAATTTCTAAAAAACCTTCAGGAAAAATCAAGAAAGAGGGACGCGTTTCTAGCATAACATCATCCTCGTTAGAAGACTCCAAGATAGAAGAGAAATTCAACATGCCAGTGGCACCCTTGGTAGAAGTAAAACCGGAAGGAAACGAAGCGAAGACACTAAGAGAACTAAATTTAGGAAGCAAACAAACGAATCTAAACCAATCGGATTTACCGACTAAATTGCCAGATATAAAAGCAAACGAAAAATTAGACAAGGCGGAAAATGATACAAAAGTAGACAAAGCAAAACCAGAAGTGACTAAAAACAACCCAAATCAGCTTATAGAAAAACCGGTAATATTGACCGATGCTCCGCAAGTAACGGAAAAAGACCTGGAAACGAAGGAAATTTTAAAAGCGAAGCAGGCGTTTAACGAAGAAATAGAAGCGCTTTTCAAAGCTAAACCGCCTCCGAGCAGCGATCCGAAGAAACAAAAGGACAAGAAAGGTGGCGACAAGGGTAAAAAAAAGGTCCAAATAACGACTAAAAAGAAAGTTCCCGAAAAGTGTAAAAAAGTTGTCAAAAAAGCCAAAAAGGGCAAAGCCGGCGGTAGCGGCCCTTGTGCGCCACAAACTTGCCCCAAAGTCATGGAACTGGTATTTTTCATGAAAAGTAAAAAGGGAATACTATGCCCGAAGATATGCAATACCAAAAAGGTGAGGACGAGATATCAAGTGTTGAAATCCAAAAGGAAGTGCAAAGGTTCATGGCAAACTGATTGCTTTTGAAGTCGATTGTGAAGCATGTGAAACGAGTAATTAGTTAGAATTTTATCGTTGTCTTCAATAATGTTGTGGAGATTAGGTGCAGTCGCTGATACACTTGTAGTGGTGTGCAAAAATATTCAATGGAAATTCAAAGTAGCGACATTAAAAGTCGAGTATTTGTCAATTTTATAGGCTTTTCTGACCAAGTGTAATGACTTGTACATTAATAAAAATATCACCAAAATATCGACATTTCGCAATTAATTGCTTTAGAGTCCTTTGACATTCTTTCTAATGTGGAGAAAGATGGACATTTCGAAGAGTAAAAATAAAGTTTGCTCTTCAAGTTATGAGAGATGCCCCACTAAACTTTCTTTATGAAATCTGGTTAGTAAATCAAAACGATTTATTACGAGTAAATTTATTTTGCTAAATTTTAAAAATCTTAAGTACATGAACAATCGTTTGGCTACAAATAGTCACGTCCGAAGCATTATCCATTAAGGAACAGTGGAGAGGAGTACGATGTGAGATATACAGTTTTTAACCGGATATATGAAAAGAAATAAGTCATTAGAACTTAAATCAGTTTTCTGTTGCTGAAAACATTCAATATTTTAGGAAATATAGATCTTTTAAATTGAAATCACTTCATAAGAATATGTAGTTTTATAAAAAAAAAATGAAAAAGTACTCCTCTCCATTCAACAATCGATAAATAGTGTAATTTCATCACGCTACAATCGAATTTAAAACGAACAATTTTATAACGATATGTTAAACGAAAGTTTACAGTACGGATTCATCATTGCTTAATTTCAAGTTAACTATCACATTTTTATTATCGTATATCATAATATTAATTCAACATGGATAACGTTTTATAAGGAAATTTGTTTTTTTTTCAAGCCTTAAACGTTCTAACGACGCGTACAACGTACTGCCGACATATCGGACATTCAGCCAATTTCTTACCGCAGGCGATACAAGTGGCTATATGACCGCACTCCAAGAGGACGCAATCCAGCGGCGCGTCCATGCACAATTTGCACAGCTCTTGAACCGGCAATTTCTCCGGTTCTTCTGCAATTCAAACGCATTAAACCAACCAATCCCTCTGCACTCTAACAAATCTACCTTTCCTGAGTTCGTTCGAGTCCTCCCACAAACGTTCGGCCTTCTCCACGCAACCCTTGAAATCCACCCGATTTAGAGTGAGTAGTTAGTCCTCGATGCAATCTTAGATCCTTCGATGAATCCGATTAATCGAATATAGTACACCTTAGGACGATCGTGTGTGTTGGTTGACGTGGTCGGTTGCGGGGAATGCGCAGGCGTCGCAGTCCTCGGGGGATTCTGGGGCGACTGTGGAGTAGAAGGGGCCGGCGGGGATCTGGCATTGTTCCTGGATTCGTTCCTGGACGCTCGAGCCTGTCCTGTTGCGTTGCTTGTACTGTCATTCGTGATAACTGAATCTATAAATATATCAGATAAATTGATTACCGACGAAATTTTACTCACTCCATAGGAATGTAATAATATTAACGGTTCAATTCGAACTTGTTTTACAAAGGTGAAGATAAAATAAATGGGATTTTGGATGGGATAGTACATCGATTAAAATACAAATGAATTACACGACGAAATAAATAAATACTTGAAATTATTTGTGTAATATAATATCTCGGTAATAATAACTGTTGGAATATATGTTTAATATGCTACCTCCTTTTTTGCAAGACCTGAATTTTCGAAATAAACAACAGCACTTCATTTCGGCGGATACATGCAACTATGCATAGAACACAACTATTACAAGGAATCATTTGTTCTAATTATCTTCACCTATCTAATCTGAACGGTTATCTGAAATGCTATCAGGAAAACATATTACAAGGTTGGTATGAATATTGATGCATTATATTAAATTGGCTGGCAATCGAGTGATAAATCATAATTTTTTTTTCGAATATGTTTTAATAACAATTATCATGTAAAACTTACCCCACAGCTCGTTTAGCGGTCTCAGATTAGGTAGGGAAACGGCGAAATTAGCTGTCAATTTCTCCATTCCTTTTTTAGGTTTATCTGGTACTTGTTTGTTACAAAGTAGATCTACTAACTCATGTTTTTCTAAAAGTTGAAATTATTGAACCGTTTATTCAGTTTAATTCCTGTTCATTTTTCCACTTTTCTGTGTTCTAACGAATCAACAAATATTAGAGTAAAAATGTACATAAAATAAAGCCAAGAAAGTTATGATAAAATTTTTGAAAAACGAACAGGACTGGGACTATTAGAATATGATGAAATAAGAGTATATACCAACTAAGCCGTAGGTGGAAATGTTCCTTTTGTTCAAATAATCTTGTAAGTCTTTGGATTTCAGTTCCATTAGTTTCAATCTATCCGGAGGGCGTTTCAGCAAAATATGACACTTTTCACAGTATAAAATCCTAAAAAATATTAATATTTATTAGGGTACATAATTTGCAAATATAACTACGTTAACAATTTATGTGCATTTAAATAATATAGTTAATAAATAATTAGGAACATAACATTTAGGCATGAGAAAACTTAAAAAAAACTCACCCTTCTCTTCTTTTCAAACATTTATTGCAATATTTGTCCTCGCATTCGCCACATTTGATTTTCCAGTTGAGTAAATTAAAGTCGGACCCGCATTTTGTACATGGCATTTTGATTAATTTTCGTTGGGTTTTTTTTATTAGTAATTTCACTAATTCGATATTATTCTTAAATTGGCCTACTAGCTAGTTTCTCTATTGTAAAGTATCATTTTTTCGACAATAACATTTTGTATATATGATGCTATCTTTTATCTTTAAGTATGAAATTACACTATTGTTGTTTAAACATAATTATAAAAAAATTTATATTGACATAATTTAATCACAATTATATGTCACGTTAGTCACGTCACTCACGTCACATAACTAAAAAACGTCAAAATAAATGTCATTTTCTTCTTCTATATTGTCAATGAACGTAACATTACTTGCCTTTAATTGTAAAGTTGTTCAAGTACTTGACATGTCACTAGACGTCTTGTTTTTTAATAAAATTTTAGATTTATCAGATCACTTTTTTCAATGAATTAAATAACTTCAAAAGAACTAATGATTCGAATGTCCTATAAAATATATTTTTTTTACAAAAAGAAGAAGAATATTCAAAAAATTTCTAAAACACATTTACTGGAAGTTAGACAACACTTAAAACAAAGAAGTTTCCTTGAACTACAGTGTATAATAATTTTCCCAAATATTTGTGTACATTTATCTCATAACATTTATTTTTGCTTATCTTACTAACCTGTTTTTATTATTTTACTTTTTATAACAGCGAACTAAATAATTTAAATATAATATAAACGATAAGGAGTGGCAAATATACACAGGAATATCCTGTCGAACCATATTATATTTAGAAACCTAACACAAACTTGTAGAAGGGATTATCGTACTTATTATCAAACATAAATTGTAAGGTTTCGCATGGAATGAAATAAAACTAGTCGAAACCTTATTCACGGGGGAACACAACGTATCAAATAAAAAAAAATGGCAGAAAATATTATAGCTAACAGTGTTGAAACAGGCATCGGTCGCCGGCAAAGTATACCGATTATTTATACAAAAGGCACTCATTATGAAGTGGGATTCAATGTTGTAAGTAAAAATTTATTATAAAAAGTGTATAATTTTAAGTTTTAACGGCTTATTCAAACTCATTATAATTACTGAACGGTCCTAAATATACCTACTCTTTTTTCTGACTATTTTCACCCATTTTCCCAAATTTGCAGTAATTATTAATTGTTTTGTTAATTATAAAGAATCGATTTTACTATTTTTATTATTAGTAACAACCTAATTTTGTGTCATTTAGTAATTGTTATTAAATTTGTAAAATAATAACATTGCTTGTTCATTAACCTCCTTTGTTATCTATTCAAAGTCAAAAGAACCGTAATTAAGTAGGTACATTTCATTATCTTATCACACATTACTGGACTTAATTGCAATTGTAATTATTTCAGTTTTATCGAAAAATTGTTGTTAAAAAGGTCGCTGTAGTTACAGAATTACATTTTTTAAGTAACTACATAGGTCCAGATTTATTTACTTTCCCATTACATTGTTTTAATACACAAACAAATTATATTTGATTTTATAATACACTTTGAATTTTTAAAAATGAATGAAACCCGTTAAAATGCAGCGAGCTTGGCTAATAAGCTCCGGAGCTTACCTATAAAAATAAATGCGGTAACCTTCCTTGATAGGTTTTCTCATTAACGATATTGCGTAATTTTAACAATACAAACAAAAGTGGGGGTTATCATCATAAAGGTACAGAAAAGAACAGGAGTTTGTCAGATATCGTTTGGCGGTCAAGTTTGTTTTTTATCGTTAAAATGCCCGGTACAGAATCAATCGGTCGCAGGCAATATATTCCGGTTATCTATACGAGGGGAACTCACTATGAAGTTGGATATGATGTCGTAAGTATTCCATATATTTGGAATTAATTTTTATCTATTTTTGACTATTTAGAAATATGCGATATTCTTTGATTTTATCTATGTATTGGTATATAAACATGAGCCCTTTTGGCATTTGATTATAATTTTTATTTGCTGCATTTTGTCTTAACTTGGCTTTTATTTTTTCTAATTTAGCATTCAAGTAATGTAATTTAAACTAATTTACCACCCCTTCATTACTATTGCTCAATCACAAATGTGACTAAATAGAGAATGTGTTTGCGTTATACACTATTGATAGAAAATATCATTGAAGTATAAATGTATATTTCTTTTAATTCACTGTAAGTGCGTAAATTTTTGTGTAAAAAACCCATTCAATTGCAAGCGATATATCTAAATTAATTTGAAGGATATGTCGTGTTGCTCATATGTATAAATTTGAATTAATTAAGTAAAATTTTCGCATTTTCCGCGTTAATTATTTGCTCTAAACACAACCCACTAAACTAGTAAAATACCATAGGTATATATTAAATGAAGGTTGATTCAATTACTAATGGTTATTAATCAATAAAAAATGAAAATGGCAAAAACTCCAAGTTTATCGGCTCAATTAAGAGCCAATTAAATAAACCATCATCTAGATCCTGTCAAAGTATCATAGTTATGCATGTTTTTCATTCAGTATTACATTTATACTGATCGAATTTAAATAATCCTGACTACTAATGTCGGTATTTCTTCATTTTACATTACCTAGTAATTGATTTGTTTACCTCTATTTATAATTCGATTAGTGCATAAAATGAAATAACCACTTAAGACAGCACAAGGGCGGAATGCTAAAAAAAAACGTTTTAATGTCCACAATCTAAGGTAAAAAATTAAATTCCGCTCTATTAACATTGATGATAATCTGCACTTTATAGCTAATAATACTTACGTAAACCAAAGCTTATGTTAAAGGAATTATATTAATTATATTAAAGGAATTATATTAAAGGAATAATATTTGTTTTCATGTTATAGATAAAAATAATTCAGTTTTATAAAAATCTATTTTTAAAATCTTTGTTGGGAAAGAACTACTAACTCTTTAAATGTTCATACTGGCATCAAAAACAAACCATTAAGAATTTAAAAGTATCGAACCATTCGACCTCTTGTTCTAATCCTAAATTCTAAATTCGTATAAAGATTGACCGAGATATTCTCAATTACCTAGACAATTATGTAAGTAGGTAGGTACATACCTAATTACATTTTTATTTATCGCCAATTCAATTCAAAAAAACTAGGTTTGCATTAAACTTAATGACAAAAAAAATCATAAAGTCCAATCCGATTTACTAGACATATCCAATGATCGATCAAGTATAAAAAATTGATACTTAATTTATGATCCCGTTTTATTACAATTAGAAATTCATAGATATTGTTGATTATTTCTCTACAGACTGGTATTATCTAATTTAAAATTAAAATCGAGTAAAATACATATCTACTATAAATTAGCAGGAATTTTATACACATAACAATGAGCCAGAGTTTCTTTGTTTGTGCATATTATTGAAATTATAATTAGGTATATACAAGAAAAAAAATCTTAAAAAATTGCATACTGTTAATTTTGTCGCACCTAAAACAAATTTAATATTCTCACGTATCTACTTACGATAATTAGATAAATATTACACAATCACGTTGTCAGTGACAATAAAATTGAAGCAATTCGAGAAAATTGCAGCGGTAAATTACGCTGGCTGATTGAAAACGAGTTCCCAAAAATTTAACGAATGACCGTTCATTAGCTCGCCTTGATTCAAACAAAAATACATTATTAAACTAATTGGAGTTTTCGGATAGAAATACAATATTCTAAACCTACAAAATACATTTGCATAGCATCATCAATTCCTGTGCTTCTACCTGGAATTAATAAGAATTCATTTCCGGGTTGAATAACAAAAAATTGTACTAAAAATAAAAAATTTGAATTAAATGCTATTTTCTGACATTGACTCGTGCGCATTTATTTTTTGTGCATATCAATTTAACATAAATTAAGGCTGTTAAAAATTTAACAAAGGTAGTTAAGTAAATCATTTAAAAATACCACTCTCTTAGAATTTCAGTTCGAAATTATTCAATAATATCAATTCTCAATACCTTAAAGGTGCATGTTTTATACATTCATTTTTTTGTAAACAAATTCTAGACATCAATTTATTTGTTTATAAACAGGAACTGTAAATGGCATTGAAAAATGGTCTAGCGCGTGGTTTTACCAGGCGAGCTCAAAAAATGAATGTACACATCGCACAAACAGTCTGTTATTAGGAAAATATTTTTGAAAAATACATTTTTTGTTGTTTGCATAGAAAACAAACTGCCCTTTAATCTACTTATTCTTATTAATCCTCCTTAAAAATATTAATTTCAGGGTAGAACATTTTCCGGGCTAATTCACAGCTTCCTAAATGGAAACAAAACCGTTGACGAAGAATTACTACCAGCTTATAACACAGCCGAAGGAAAACGAGCCTACGACGATACATTAAAATCAGTCAAAAAGAATTTTCCTCAATATATCAGAGAATTAGAAGGAGTAGCCGATGGAGCGAACGTGCCATTTTACAAAGTACGACAAATCATATTATTCCAATGTTTACCGACGAAAAATATTCCTACATTTTCCAGCTCTTTTTATTACACATGGACGATATAATGCCATCGCCTTCTCAACCACAAACGATTCATTTACAACCTGTAGGATGTTCATCAATTTGCGTAAATCAAAAAGACCAGGTTAGTATTGACTGGATTCAAAATCCATATGATTTGTAAATTTTCCTTGCAGGAAATATTAGGTCACACCGAGGACGCGCTGGCGGATACTCTAAACCACATTTACTTCGTATCTGCTCACATTCTACCCGAAAAACACGACGGAAAATGGAAATTCAAGGAAGAAAAATTCACATCGCTTTGTTACGCAGGCCATCTACCAGGCTACACCATGAGCTACAATCACCACGGGCTCATATTCTCCATAAATACATTGAGCGTTAAACGCACGCTTCCCGGGAAATCCCGTAAGTTCCTTGATTGATCCCATGAGTCGATTTGTTCTTATATTGGAGCGATTTTCAGCGAGGATGTTCATAACTAGAGCCCTTCTGGGGGCGGAAAATTTCGTCAAGGCCCAGGAGATTTTGCGGGACGCCGGTTGCGGCGCCGGAAACGGATGTTCTGTCAACATGACGTTCCTAAATCAAGAAGGCGATCGCATGTTTCACAATGCGGAAATGGCGCCTTCGGATAAAAACGAATCGCAATTGAACGTGTTCACTGCCAGTCCTGGAGAATGCATCATTCACACCAACAAGTATACCTTTCTTGTTAACATATAATCGTAACAGGGAATGATTTGAGTTAAATTTACAGGTACTTGCGGATAAAGATTGAAGAGACTAACGAGGAAATGTCGAAGAGTAGCGTTAATCGCATGGCGACGTTCAAGAATAATTACTCGGAGCCGAAAAGTAAAAAAGATGTGGTAAAAATGTTGAGCGACCATTCGAACGATAAATATCCAGTGTTCAGAGACGGGCCGGATGATTTCGTTAAAACTGTAGCCGTAGGTGAGTGGATTTATTTTTTTTATCAGGTGAAAATTTCAATTTATTTAAATTGCAATTATTTTGCAGGTATTTTCGATTGTAAAGAAAAAACGTGGAGCCTTTACTCAGACAATCCCCAAAACAATGAGCCTCTAGTTGTGTTGCCTTTGGTATTAAAAAATAAATAGAAATTTGCAAGGTTAAATATAGATCGATTTTATATGGTAATACACTTCATGAATATACTGCAATAATAAATAAGTAAAAGACTTTATAGTATGTGCAAATATTGGAAAAAAAGACATCTAATTAGACTTTCATAAACTAATATTAAATGTTAGTATGCTGAATTATCTTAATTATATTAATAATAAATACAATATAAAATGTTACCTTTAGTTTTATTGCATAAAATAAATTGTTATAATTTTGGAAAAATCCAAAAAATTCCTCTACTTTTAAATTTTAAATTGACACATGTCACGTGTCATTCGGAATTTAAATTGACCGAATACTCGTAGAAGCTTAGACTACAATTATTAAAAAACGTCACAAAGAAGAAGTACATAACCTAATTTATTAGAATTTATAATTATTTACCGAATAATATGATTAACCTTAATTAACAGCCATGGATTCCAAACCGCCTTGGAAAAAAATCCTCTACGAAAAACAACCGTACGCAGACAACTACAGCGATAAGAAAATATTCCTGCAAGACTTGAAGAAAAACATCGACTTCAAGGAAGTAACATTCCTCGAATCGTTTCTTTATTCATTACTGTTTTTGCAGGAGTTTTGCAATGTCGTAACGTTCGTTACGATATATTTTTATCTACTAAATGACTGGATAAACCCCAGTACGCTCCTGAGTTTTACTAGTGTTGTAACAGTTCTAGGATTCCTGTATTACTTGCTCATTTTCAGCGAAAATATCAAATTGAAGCTCGGAAACGATCTGAGGACTATCATAACGTTTGTAGTAGTCGGTAGGTTGTTTTCGCCTGTTTTACATACACTTACAGATACAGTCAGTACGAATTCCATCTACATGACCACTTTTCTTATGCTATTAGTGCATATGATATTTTACGATTATGGAGTAGGTGCTGCCTTAGTATCAAACAGTATATCCCTTAGCACGGCCATTTTCGCATCTATTTGCCTAGCTTCCAGACTTTCTTCCCCTTTCGATGCTTTCGCTCTAATGACAGCAGCTATCGAAATGTTTGTACTATTTCCCATATTGTGGACAGCCCTAAAGCACCCTATTTATTTCGTGTGGTTTTATTTTATCATCGATATTTATTTATTGATTTCCATCAGTAAATTAGCTACTTGTTTATTCATGTGCGCTACCATTTTGATATGTATAATTTGCCCTACGTTGTACGTTCAATTGCAAAAACATAAAGAAACAATCTACGGACCATGGGATGAAGCGGTTGTCGACGATGCAGATAACATTATAAATAACATAGGAGTGTTGTAATTAATTTCATATAAAATAAACTCGTTTAATAAGTGATAAACTTTATTATTTTCTTACTTAGCTCTTACAAAAAACCTACTTATGGGTAGCTTGTTGTTTACGCATCTGGGTGAGGATGTTGGACAGTTCCTCACGCTTCCTCTTGGCTCTGATGTGGGTGCCAAGACGGCGCTTCAGGAACTTCAGGGCCCTCTTGTCCTTCGATACCTTCAACAATTCCATGGCTCGTTTTTCGTAGGGAGCATGTCCGACAACTTCGCGGATCAAGTCTCTGATGAACTTGGAGTGCTTGGTTTGGATCCCCTTCAACCGGGCCGGTCGAATTTTGTTCAGTTTCGATTTCTCGGAAATCTTTGTGGTCTTATGTCCTTTCTGTAAACCCACTGCTATTTCGTACCGCGGCGCCATCCTAAAAGGAAATTTACGTGGATTAATTAATACACCGATTAAAGGGATTTTAATGGCACTTAAAGAAGAGGAAAACTCGCTTTTATTTAATAACTTACTTGAACTATCTGTTAAAATTCTACAACGTGCTGTCTTTCTGTCACGGAAACCATAAAAAGAAAGATGAAAACACGAAATGCGAACATGGCGGACACTTCCGACATCCGGGTGAAAAAAGTTGGAAAACCCTTGTTGAAAACGATTGGAATTATTTTATTCGATGCAAAGTAGCGAATTAATAGGATTTATTTGATACTGGATATTATAAAAGGCGAATATACGAGCATAAATTCTTTTTTAGAGTGATTATATCGGAACGTACCTGAACAACTGACGCACGACATTGACATTGACTTATCCGTCGACATTATTGACGTTGACAGTTATCACAGCTGACAGTGACGTGTTTTTAGATTCTTATTGTTGATTGTTGGTATTTTTCTAGTATTTATCCCAAATTTTGTTGTCAAGTAACGATTTATTATTTTCACACATTCGCAATCTAAAATGGTATACGTAACAGGTATGTAATTCTAATATATATGTTTTTAAACATTTCCTTTATTTACTAATTTTTAGGTGGTCAAGTTCAAGAGACCCCTCCAATTACTCAGCGCATTTCAAAGTTTTTTGATAATGTAGTTAACTTCGTCATGCATTTGTAAGTTTGATTATAAACAACTCAATGCACAACATCGAATTATCCAAATAATGTTTTAGTTTCATCACACTGATTCCAATCGAAATGAATTCCCAAAGCTCGAGTACTAGAAGCAGTAGTGGAGGAAACACTACCGGTCGCGGAGGCGGCGGCGGAAGTGGCGGCAGTTCTTGGGGAAGCGGAAGGCCTTTTGGGTGAGATTCTATACTAAATAAAACTCATACATACAAACATGCTTAAGTAGTGGTTTTAAATTGGTATTTTATTTTTTAGATCCGGTGGAAATGGAGGAGGTGGTAATGGGAGATTTAGAACATTGAGAGATATCAACCCTCCTACTGTTGGTGGTTGTCCTGGTGGAGCTTGTGGAATGTGAATATATTAGTTTGTGATTAAATTCTAATTTACGAGTTATGATTTTTAAATTTTATATATTACCATTTATTTGCAATTTAGAAAAGGGAGTTATTATACGTTGCAAAATTTACTAATAAAATTGTATTACTTTGTATGGATAGTCGGCGGACCTATCGCTCACCCCAAACTCTCTCCTTTACTACCCATATAAGTGGAGAAGTATACTAGAAAAGGAACGATAGATCCGCCTACAACATATTTATCAAATAAAACAACAAATTATAAGTATATTTTATATTTTTAGACTCAATCTACAAAAAACGTCATCACTATTATATTTTTCTGACATAGCACTGCAGCGCTTCACTGAAACAAAATCGTCTTATTACATACCTATGAACTAAAATATTTTCTTCAGCATACAAATACTTCCACAATAATTACCTATTCTACGCAACATTTACATAAAAACGCAATAAATTAGATTCTTACCAAAACTTAGCAGCAAGGTAGACAACACGGTGTACAAGGTCCTGGACAGGGCAAACAAGGACCGCAAGGGAAAGTCGGTGGCGATAGGAAAAACGGTATCGTGTTAACTGTTTGTTTTATAAATTGAAACGGTAATTGGGGCATGCAGTACGGTACGTATTCGAGTCTAAAAGTATACGCCATCGCTAAAAATTTTGATGCTAGCCTAAACGTTGCAAAAGATTAAATGAATTTACAATTATTTGTTTATAGTGAGTTTTGTTTCCCGTTTCCCTGGTATCTTACTCTTTCAATTTTTTTATACACTTGATTTTAATTGGCTAAAAACACCCCTTAAGAAGCGGTACCCTTAGAAACGCATTGATAGTTACAAAAACAATGAATTGGTAAGGAACATCCAGTTCTAAAACAAATCCCCTCTGCAAAACCGAACTTCAAAATTCAAGTCCCCCGTTAATAAAATGTGCGATTGCGATGGCGAAAAATACAACATCTCATACTGCGACCCGTGCTACCCGCAATTCTGTTGCGTCCCGGTAACCACCTGTCCCAACGTCGAACGAAGGTGTCCCATCAAACCCGTCCCGGTGCCCGTCGTTCCCGAGTCCGCCTGTCTGACGCCCCTGATGATCCCCTGGACCTGTTGCCAGCCCTGCCCCATGGGCTACCTGCAAACGCCGCCGCCGAGGCCCTTCAAATCGTGCACGCCCTGCGCCACCGTCATACAACCGTGCCCGCCCTGTCCCCCTTGCATGCCCTGCTGCGATCCGCCGCCCACCTGCGGGCCCTGCCCGCCCTGCTCGATGTGCCCGCCGAGGCCGTGTCCGCTGCCTCCTTGTGCTTGACTGATGTGTAAAGTTTTGGGTCAAATAAATACATGCAGTAGCTGCAAGATGTTGGTTTTATTTTTTTTTGGGGGTGCATTCGTTATTGCGATGGGCTAGATTGTTGCTTCGATTGAAATAAAATGCTTGTTGAAGAAGGTATTAGGGAAAATAGATCTACTCTCTATACTGCTCTCTACTCTTTACTGCTGTCTACTCTTTTCTGTTGTCTACTTTTTACTGCTCTTTACTGTAGTCTACTTTCTATTGCTGTCTATACTCTACTCTATCCTACTATAAAGCTTCCAATTGTGGATCTTCGAATGACAATTACTGTCTGAAAAATGTCTGCAAATTCATGATATATGAGCTAGCAAAAAAAGGAAGAAATAGGAAATCCCAAAATACTTTTTTTCTCATTAATAAACAAGAAGAAAAACAATCTATAGTAACGAAACTATCAATTTAAAATTCCAAACTAAATTCCTGTCACACACAATTACCAATTAGTCCCTACCAAACAACTTATCAAAATTTCAGTCTTCGGTAAGTACCTTCAATATATTCATTCTTATTACTTAGATTATGGAATGGGATAATTTTTAGTAAAAGATCCGTACAAAATGGCGTCGGTTCCCTTCTGTCCGCCCCCTTGTTCTCCTTGTTATGCGGGGCCGAATTTCATGCCCCCGGCGGCGCCCTGTTGGACGGGCGCCTGCCAGGCCACGTGGATGCCCACCTGTTTTCCCATTAACGCTTGTTGCTTCACGTGCCCGCCGCCGCCGCCCCCGAAGCCCAAATGCGGACCCAACGGACCGAGGGTGAGTTTTGCAAGAATAAAGTTGTGCTTTATTTATTCGTTAATGTGTATATCTAATGTTTTCAGTCTCTTCGATAAAACTATATATCCTGAACGTATATATCAAGAAAATAAGAATTCCGTGAATAAAGATTATGTTTAAGTAATTATCAATGTTTTTAATTCACTTGATTCTAAATAAAAAAATTTAAGTTCTGTAGAAGTTTTATTTTTACTTCTGAGCGAGCTGTACAAACTCAAGTTAAGGGGGAAATTTGGTATATAAAAAAACAACTTTGGTATAATAAATATGAACAAATACAACAAATTCACAACAGATGAGTAGCTTATTATTATACAATTTATGGTGTCGTTAGCTTCAAAATGCTAATGAATTTATTAATTTTTAAACGCCTCGGAACTGAACAAATCAAAACAACAAATTGACCAATAAATTCGTAAATTTATTTTCCATCAAAAGTACATTTTACCCCTCTATAGGTACATACGATATATCAAATAAGTTGACTTTTCTTCGTAATTTCTTGATCGACACAAACTGATTATACCTGGAAATAAACACCTTATTAGACCTTAATTCGTTTGCTTGTAACGTTGAACTTTACCTGACAAGGACACATTCCGCAGGGTCCGCAAGGACCCGAAGGATAAATGCAGGGCACAAACACGTTAGGGCAGCTGGGCGGCAACAAGTAGGGCAGGACCACCGTGGGCAAACAGAATTGGTTACAGCACGGCGGACATGGAGGTTTCGGTGCTACTGGACAATCTTGGCATTTACCACCCATTTTTCGAACGGTGAATTATTATTATTATTAAAAAAAATTAAAAGTAAACTGAAATTTGGAAAATTGCGACCGAAATTTTTTGATAAGTAATTTGTTTTATGTTACCGAAGCAACACGATTTCTACAATAACTTATTATATACCCACCTTTAAGTACACACTTTCAATTTTTTTCATCGAAAACATTCATATATTTATCTCTAGCAACGCGTCAAACAAACGAACATTACCTTATCATTAGTAACGCGCAATCATTCATTTATAATCCCCATTTTCGGCCCAACCACATCAAAATCGCCCGTGTACCAAATTTTATAAAATTATTTCGAATTCAAACCGAACGAAATAATTTGAATTGAAAATGCCTTGCTGTCCACCGGCCTGCGGTCCCTGTTGCACTCCATGCTGCGCTCCATGTTGTTTCCCCTGCTGTGTTCCATGCGTATACGTGCCCTGCGTATATCCCTGCGCCCCATGCTGCACCCCTTGCTGTTCACCATGCCCGCCCTGCTAAGGTGTAAGTGTGTAGAAACGATGGGAAAAAATTGCACAAATCTCTGTCACCAGCGGGCTCCGATATAGTATTAGTGCGTTGTATAGGTTTTGAAACTATGTTTGAGAAATTTTATACAGCGTTGTCTATTTGGACAGTAAGAACCTCAATATGTATCGAAATTCAAATAAAAGGAATTATAACATAATGCGGTAGTTTTATTTACGCTATAAAATGGTATGAATAAGTACATCAAATTATAGAATATTGACATTATCTGTTGTGTGTCAAGTATTCTATCATAAACTAACAAAGATCATTGGAAAGGTGTTAGGGGTCTTATGGTGTCATTTGGGGCCCATCAGAATTTGATTCTGGATGATCTGGAGTGTAGGAATTTTATCTATGGTAAGCAAAGAAAAATATGGGGATTAAGGGTTACGAATTCGTAGCAATTCTACTGTAAATAAGTAATATTCTCATAGAAAAATAGTGTATTGAGTCCTAGAGAAAAGGTAAAGTAGATAAAAGATAAAGATAAAAGACCCAGAATAAATGAACTATATATTATTCGGTGAAACACAATAACTTGAAATTAGTCGAAATTATAAAATTTTACAGGAGAGTTATTTTAAGTTTGGATTAGTGTCAAAATTTTGAAATTTACCGAAATATCTTCAGTATTTAAAAGTATTTTTTTCTTGCTTTAATCATAAAGTAATACTGTTCTATTCTCCCTTCTTGTATAGGTCTCAAAGAGAGGATCCTGGTGGTATTGATAACGCAATTTCGACAAAAACTTATCCAGTTTTGGCATCAATCCACAGAATTAATTTATTCACTGCCTACTTCGTAAATAGAAAATCGCCCATCTGACATGTATTTTATCTGAATAAAAAGTAAGTAAAGGGACGGCTGAGATCTTCCATTGTTCGCCATGGCAACGGCCCGAATCAATTATTTATTTATAAACAAATTCATGTTGTAGGAAATTCACGACGTGCGGCCGTTGAAATTCTAAGTGTCTACATTTGTCTCGTGTTCGTCCAAAATTGTACGTGTACAATGGCTTGCGAAGGCCCTTTAGTCGACACCCTGAAAAATATGATATGCAGCTTGGAGGGGTAAGCCCGAAATAATACAAAAAATATCTAACTTAACCAATAAATTCGGAGCACAGGCCACCATGTCCGGACTGTCCCGGGGTCCCTTACTGTCCAGCACCCCAATCACCGCCTCACATAATGTGCTGCCACGTCCGCCCGCCACCCATATGCGCCCCCACGTCCCCCGAGCCCGTCAAACCCCTTCGATTGCCCTGCCAGGATCCCCCAGTAGTAAGCCCCTCTAATTCCCACACCAACACATTTCTCTCTACCTTAATTATGGCAAATAACAGCGCAAGATGACCCGCTACGAGGGCGACATGGTGCGCTTCAACAACTTCTACAACAACTACAACATCGACTGGCGCGCCGACTCGCCCTGCGACTTCGACCCGAACTGGGTGGATCCCCGGGCGAACATGAAGTGCGCCATCGGCGTGACGGTGGACGGCAAGTGTCCCTATTTTCCCAAGTGCAAGAAGCCGCCCTGCTGCGACAAGGGTTGCCCCACGGGCTTCCAGCCCGTCCGGATGAGATTGACGCCGCCCGCCGACCGGCATCCGTGCGGCTTGTGGTGCGGCGAGCTGTACAAGTGCATCGTGCCGCCGCGCCGTTGCGTCAAGGGCAAATTCGTGCCGGCCCTGCCCTGTTGCCGGTTCTGTTGCATCCACACCAACGATCACAAGTGCAAGGCTAGCTGTTTTAGTCGCTAGAGGGCGCGCGCGGCCCCGAAGGGGCTCGATTTTGAAGCTGGGGTTCCGTTGCTGCATTTGGATAGTTTCAACAAGTTCGAATTGTTGGAGCCGGGTCATTTGCGGCAACGGATTGAAAGAGGTTTTTTTTTTGGTGTAAAAAATTTACTGACTTTATCGGCTGAAATCTTCAATGTGATTGAATGTAAATGTGTTCCGAGCAACTAAGCATTTTTTTATGATTGATATTGATTGACTAGGTTTGAAAGGGTAACGATATGGTACAATATTTTTGAGGCTGAGACGAGTTTAAATATTTTGATCGAGTTGTTCAGAGATAACAGCTAAATATTCGTTTTAATTGCAATACTTTGATAAATTAATTTCTGAATAGCTTGGTTCAATTTGTGTGCATTGAAGATATTGTTTTTTTTTATTTGTACATAGATTTGTGTTGAATAATGCGGTTAGTAGAAAGTTATTTTGCACAATTTTATGTAATTTCGCGACAGTTTTTTTAAAAAGTATTTTTTGTAAATTTTGTGGTAATCCCTTATTGTAGGTTGTAAATGTTAAGTATGAAATTGATTAAGTTACGGTTAAGTATTTTTAGGTTTTTAAAATAATTTTAATTTCAATTTAGTTTCTCAAAACAAAGGGTTATTTTTTAGAAGCTCAATAGAAGCGTTTAGTTATTAAAAATTTTATGAAAAATCGACGAATTTATGAACGTGCTGTAACCACGCACGTTTGTAAAGTTATCTTCGGTTTTTCGCCATTGTTGAATCAAAATTTTGATTGGTTTTTTTGGAATATTTTTTTCATTTTTTATCTGTAGCTTAAGATGTGAACGTTCTTTAGATTCTTACAAATTTAGGCAACTTTTTTGTTGTAAATGTATAGGCCTCAAAAAATAAGTCATTTTAACAAAGTAATTCATCACACAATCCTTTATGCGTTTCTCGAATTGTAAATAACACAAACATTTTTACCGTTATCATAAAATTCTCTCAGCCTCAATTTCATACAACTACCTAGAAATTCAATAATAGTCGAATTTTATTGAATTTTAAATTAGGTACATGATTTTTCTATTGTTGTTCTACAGGTATTCTGGTATAATCGATATAAATCCTGAAGAAATGTTCTAGTTGCTTGCCGAATTTTTCATTAAATGAATGCTTGTTTGGTAAATAAACATGTTCGGTGTAATATGCTCGTTTTATTCATCTAATTGTAAAATTAAACAGTATAAAGTATAAAGAAGTATAACTTTTCTAGAGCAATAACTAGTATTAAGGATCTTTCAGGATCTAATAAGCAGAATCAGCACTTTTACCTTCAACAGAAATATCCTTCGTCCTGTAACTAGGACTTCAATGTTAGTTAAAAAACCAAAAAGTTCACAACTTCAATAACTTCGTCCTGTAACTAGGAAAAAAACCAAAAAATATCTACTACTTCCTAATGGACCATAAAAACGTCTTTTCATCAAAATATCTTTATTTAGTTTTAAAACAAGCTTACATGTTCTCAATAAAACAGACCTAAACAATACCTAAACCGACTATCTCTTAAGATAAACCAGAGGAACCCGCAATACAAGGACAACACCACAGGCGATACTCGACTCACTTGCTCCAAGCAGTTTCACAGCAAAGAGGCGCAACAAGGAGCAGTACCGGGCCCGCAGGGTCCCGGAGCGCAGGGTCCCGCGCCGCAAGGTCCACAAGGACCGGCTCCGCAACCGCCGCAGGGACCGCAAGGGCCGGGAACGCCGCAGGGCGCTTGTTTGCTGCAAGGACCCGGCTGGAAGAATCGTCGTTAGAACGATTATACAAATCGATTTTAAGAGGGTTTAGTTTAGACTTACTTGGGTGGGTCCGAAGCCCGGGTAGCAGGGATAGGGCCCTGTCGAGTAGTACTTGGGTACGCCGTAGGGCCACTCGTAGTACGGGACGCGGATCGCGCAGATCGGCGTGCAGCAGGAACTCGAGCCGCACGGTTTGCTGCAGGCGCTCATTCGGACCATGATCGATGCTTTAGTTTCGTTGCGTTTTCGGGATTTTTTTGTATAAAGGATTTACTAAAAATTTTGGATTTTGAAAGGACCGAGGAAAATTTTTAACTTATGTTATGACAAATAATTCGAGTTGATTTGACATTGTCGCGGTATTTATACGAATTTTTACGCTAGGTTGTTGAGGAATAAATACAGAGGAGTCTTAACTTAATGCATAGACTATGATGAGCTTTTGAAAGCTTGTTGTAATAAATCTCTTATATAAACATAAAAGCCAATAGAATACCTCAATTTGTATTTCCAAATTATTTCTATTGGTTCATATCGATTTAGTACTCTACCAATACAAGAACATAAGACAAGTTACTATGGCGATTAACATTATTTGCCATTGTTTAGATATATTTTTTTGGTACAACACACGAAATTACGATTGGAATTTTTTCCTTCGAAATTCGGAAAAAATTCAACAAAATTCACAATGCCGTACGATTGTAGCGCGAAATTTTGCCAGGTGTGCTGCAAGAAGCCGTATTGTTACGGAATTTACAAATATCCTAGCGTGTTTTACAAAACTTGTTTTCCGCCCGCCCACATTATTCCACGTGTAAGTCTCAGATTTATCAAAACCCGTGCAAAAATTTATAAAACCACCGTCGATTTTTCCAGTGTGATACCGATTGGATGATTAACCATAAATACGAGAAATGTGAAGAATACAAAGTCGTCGATAAAGTAAGTATATTCCATGTTGTTTTAAATGCATATTTAACTGCGAACGAGAACTTCATTAGGTATACGGTAAATGTATTTATCTACATACAATTATTTCCTATAAGTTTCCAGTAAGGAAACAGCTCTATTGGGTTTTTTATTCAGTACTACCAACTGATTTGTGACGTCAAAGTCACCTTTCGCCATTATACAGTTGGTACAATTGCTTCCGTTTCCCTTTGTTTCCGTAACATAACAACGAAACAAACAAACAAACAAAATAACGTTTCCCTGGAGATTATTTCCTATATAAACAAGGTTTTCGCATCGATTCGTTCATTCATTCACCGAAGTCCGTCCAAGTCACACGCATCAAGTTTAGGCCCCCAAGTCAAAATTGTCCATTCATCAATCCCCATTTAAAAACTACAAAAAAAAAGTAAACCACTAACGAAGAAACCATGAGCTGCTGTTTCCCCGGTTGTTATCCCTACTCCTGTTGCTACTCCTGTTGTGCCCCGGCGTGCTGTTACCCATGCTATTACCCGTGCTGTTACCCATGCTACCCCTGCTACAAGGTAAGTTTGTCTTTAAAATCATTTAAAAGCTATCACTATCGATTTGAATTATTGAAATTTTTGAGTGCCATTTTCGCTGATATTTTACACCGAAATACATAAATTTTTTGAATTTAATTTTATTTTATTTGTCAACCTGACATTTTTATAAAACTATCGTTCGTTGAATTTAATCTATTCACGTTTATTCTGGTTAGTAATCGACATAGGTGCACTGACATTTGCCCGAGGGGGGCTCTGAAGCTGAGGGAAAGCGAAACGCCACTCGTAGAAGCGCTGTCGGTGGACACCAAATTTCGGTGCACGTGTCCTGGCTGGCGACTTTACGGGTGGTTTTTCTGTTGCAGAAGGCCGTCGAAGGGACGCCGATTGACGTGGCTAAAATAAAAATCTATGATACGTTGGAGGAGACCGCCAGGCGGTCGAAGCTGCGCCGCCAGTGCAGGCTCTATAGGCAGGTTTGCGAGGCTTGTAGGCTGTTCGTGCCGGTTTGTTCGTGGACTAGTTTTTTCGATACGGAAACCGTGGATGGCGTGAAGGATGTAAACGACGAGGACGATTATTACAAGACCGCGCACTTTCATTCTATAAATTTTTTGTACAACGTCTGCTTGGACGAGCTGAACGATAAGGAGAACTTTCCGCCGCACTTTTTGAAGAAGTACTACGATCCACCTTATCCGTTTTACTTGGGCAGGACTGACATCAGCTACGATGTGTACGCTTAGATTATTTTTTTTGAAGGGCGAGTGCGCTTGTCGTATTTCGATCGTAGAGGTACAGGATTATATCAGTAATAAACCGAATTGTCATTAGAATTTCAATTTTCTCTCGAATCTAAATAAGTGCACTTTCATTTACTACTTGGTAAAATGCAAGTGACTCGTGTGGTGATCGAAGGAAAAACCGTCGAAGACAAACTGTACAGTAAGTTGCTTCATAAGTGCACTGAATTTAAACATATCCTAACCAATTGGTAAATATTCAGTGCACTTATTTCCCAACTAATCCGAAAACTAAACCCGCCGTTTGCTTATAGGACACGCTCGAAGACGAGGACTCTGAACCGATTGAAGCAATTTACCAAGCAGTATCGATAGATGTCTCGGATATACTGCGAAAATTCACCGGCCCCGACAATATTATGAAGTATTTGATTGACAATCGCCCAAAGGAGTTGCTGGTGTATTATTTCAAATCCCCGATGAGCTACCTACCAACTAATCAAACCACCAACGGTTTACCGTTGAATCCATACACTGGGCATCCCTTTACGCTCCAAGCCGGTACTTTCCAGTACGTTCCGCCGAATAACGGGTACAATAACGTACCGAATGTCGTGTATACTTCCCAACCGGCAACTTACACGGAGTCCTACGCGTTTTCTTCCTACCCCAGATACGTCCCTTCTCCCGTTATCACCGAATTCCCGCAGTATCCTCAGCCTAGCAGAGGCTACGAACTAACGAGGTTCGCTCCGGGCGTTCAACAAACTCCTGCTAGCTTGAACTACCAGAGGACGCAGGACGAAGTGGATGGTGGTGGAGCTAGTGCGGAGAATTTCATCGCGAATGCGGGCGAAGATTATCCGGCGCAAGAGGGGGATTCTGGCGATGAAGATGTGAAACTCGCTATTAGAAATAACAGCAGGCTGCCGTTGAAGTTGAAGAGGAAGCCGAGGAGTTATTCGTTCAAGAGGAAGAGCTGGAACCAAGATGGGGTGGAGGTTTGTTCGGATGATGGAGCCATGCAGAGCATACAGGAAATGGATGATGACGAAAGTGTAGAGCTGGTGTCTGAGAACGAAGTTTGCTTAAATGTTACCAACTATAGTCGGCATTCTTAGCATTATTGTAAGGGTTATATTGTCTACTTAGGGTTATAATTGGGAGGGTTGGTAAGTTTTTAGGTGCACTCTTAAATTTCAATAGTTTATAAGTGAAATGTAAAAAAACTAAACACAAATGCTAAAAAAATACTATTTTTCTTTTCAGTGTTGTTAACGACTGAAACAAGACGAGAAATGATGCCGAAGAATATATGAAAAAACGACAAGAGAAGAAATAATCGCCTAAAAGACAATGAAAATGAAAAAGATGATGAATAAAATGTATAACCAACTCGGGACAGGAACAAATCTTCAAATCGACTGTCTTCCAACGACTTGCCAGACATCTCAGGATTATGCTACTGGGGAGGAAAGCATAATACTGAGACAGGAAGTAAAGGTAGGTTCTTTTTTTTGTCCTTTGTATTGCTTGATATCTTACCAGTTTTATATTGTTACAGGAGTTGCTGAGATAATCGGTTTGGAAGACTATGAACTACTAGACAAGAAGAAAGAAGATAAAGAGGACAACCACATGGAGGATGAAGTTAGAGGAGGAATCAAGAAGAAATGAACAAAGGACAAAATGAAGGAAGAAACTGAAGCAATTTACCAGTGGTTACATGGGTGACAACACGCGCGAAGTTCTCGTTCGCCGGGATTAGAAAATTTTCTAATTATTTAATAATTTTTTAGTGCTGTCAAGGTTACTAAAGAATGGTGAACGTTTAACATAACATAGTTAATGGAATTATTCGCATAAGGAAAGAATAAAGTGGTTTACAAAATATCTTTGTTTTAATTGTTTTAAACTTTAAGGTTTAATAATTGAGAAACTAAAAAAAAGTACTAAAAAAGAGGTCTTGTATAAAAAAATTGGAAATCGCTTTAGCTGAATAATCTAAAAAGCGATAGATAAAAAAAATTTAAATTATATTTTCAAACTAAAGTAAGAGGCCTTTAAAAAATACGAATTTACTGTCAATTGTCAAAACCATGAACTTGGCCAAATAATACGACTAGCTAAGGCCATAATTTTCAGAGGAAGAAGTCACCAGCTAACCTATAAAAATAAATACGAATGAATTGAGGCGGGTAAATGAGAAAAGATAATTTTCTTAGTTTAAAATGCAGAAAAGTATAACGTACGTAAACCCACCAGAATTTAACGAACACAGTTTAACAATAAATCTGTTTCAGATCATTTTTTAGCCGTGTACCTACGAAAAAAGACGAATCCGAGGCTCAAAATAGGTATGTCGTTTTTGCGTAGCAAACCAAAACAATGACAACTCTTTTTCGTTTACTTAACGTTAGAAATAAAATTTTATACGTACAATTCGTACAAAAGCACTCTAAAAAATTGCCCCAATTGAAAGATATTAAATCGCAAACTCCTACAAAAGCTGGAATAAAACCCGTTCGAAAGTAAGTCAAACGATATGTTCACACTGATAATTTAGTATTAATGTTGTAGATCAACTGCAAACGAAACCGCAGGAATTACTGAAAAAACATCACCATGCAGCAATAAGTAAGATATATTTTTTTTTCATTACGTTTTTACTACACACATTCCGTAGATCAAAAACCCCCATTAAAATCGCAACTCCCGAAACATCACCGGAAATAACACGAAAGAACAAGAGGTCTCGAATACTGAGCAGCGATGAATCCGATCAAGATGAAAACAAAGAAACTTCACAGGAAGCTGCCAAAAAACCGAAAATATCCCCCATAAAAACTGAAAAAACTCCTCCCAAAGATGTACCATCAATAAAAAAAAGTTCACCTACAATTAAAAACGAAAACAAGCAGGATATAAAGAAAAACATTATGGGTATAGTGACAATACATTTAATATTACCAAGTAATTAATAGACATATTACAGGCACACATGGGTCTGATGCAGCAAATGATGATAAAAAAATATATAAACCTGCAGTGAGTAATTATCATCCCATAAAAGATGCTACATGGAACTATAACGAGAAGTAATCATAAATTGCTCTTCGTTTTTGTTGATACTATGATGATTTTTATATTCGTAGGGTTCCCTATAGTGCCCTATCTAGGACATTCGAGGAAATCGAAGAGATATCAGCTCGCTTGAAAATCATCGAAGTCCTCTCTAACTACTTCAGATCCGTTATAGTCTTATCCAAAGAAGATCTACTTCCCAGCGTGTATTTGTGTTTGAATAAATTAGCGCCAGCGTACGAAGGTACTTTATAATAACGAGTTAAAATCAATTTAATTTGATCTCACGTAGGTTTGGAGCTCGGTATAGCAGAGACGAATCTAATGAAAGCCATTGCGCAGTCAACGGGCAGGACTTTGGCCCAGGTGAAAAATCATGCGAAAGAAACCGGAGACTTGGGTTTGGTAGCGGAAAAATCCAAATCCAATCAAAAAATGCTGTTCAAACCCACCAGGCTTACCGTCAGGGGCGTGTTCGAAAAGCTCAAAGACATAGCCAAGATGACGGGTACACAAATTATTATCTGTAGTTACAATTCGCTAATTTCGTTTTGTAGGAAACGCATCGCAAAGTAAGAAAGTTGAAAAAATACAATCGATGTTCGTGGCATGCCAAGATGCCGAAGCTCGCTTTCTAATAAGATCCTTGGCCGGGAAACTTCGAATAGGCCTCGCCGAGCAATCTGTATTGCAAGCAGTAGCGCTAGCCTGCACCATGACGCCCCCGGAACAGGAATACCCGCCCAAACAGCTCGATGTTTCTAAAGAAATCAGCGCGGATTCTTTCAAAACCAAGTACCAGCACAACAGTCTTATCCTAAAAACGGCTTATTGGTATGTTAAAGTACTACAATAATAATTTTCTTTACAAATTAATATTTTAGCGAATGTCCTTGTTATGATAAAATCATTCCGATTATATTAGAAAGCGGGCTGGAAAGTTTACCCGAGCATTGCAAACTTACACCGGGTATACCATTGAAACCAATGCTGGCACATCCGACGAAAGGTATACAAGAAGTTTTACGAAGATTCGACGGTTTGAAATTCACCTGCGAATGGAAGTACGATGGGGAAAGAGCACAGGTTAGATGTTAGATCTTATACAATGTAGTATCATTTTCCCAGCTAAATTCATTTCGGCTCGCAATCGCGATTTAAAAATGAAAATCGTCCGCCATTTTTGAAATTATCCAACTTGACGTATGACGTATTTTGTCGTTTTTCGTTCTTTTGCGTGGATCCGAATTGTTCCGAACTTGCACTCGGCGAACGCATCTCTAGCGGCCTTTTACTACGCCAGTGTCCAATACAGCGGGGGGTTTGAAAGGGGGCTTCGCCCTCGAACGTTTAGCGAATTCAACAACTAAAATCTATCGTTTCAGATACACATCGATGGTAAGAAGGTGAGCATATTCAGCAGGAACCAGGAGAACAACACTTCGAAATATCCCGATCTAATAAATCGAATAGATAATTGCCAAACTGACGAAGTGGAATCGTGCGTACTGGATACCGAGGTGGTCGCCTGGGACAGGGAAAAGAAGCAAATACTACCGTTTCAAATACTCAGCACGAGAAAACGCAAAGACGCCAACGAAAAGGACATCAAAGTACAAGTGTGCGTGTTCATGTTCGATTTGCTGTATTTAAACGGCGAGGCCTTGGTGAGACAGCCTTTCGTTAAACGCAGAGAACTGCTGCAGAAGTACTTCAAAGAAATCGAAGGCGAGTGGATATTTGCCAAGCGTTTGGACACCAGTACAATGGAGGAAGTTCAAGAATTCCTCGACGAAAGCGTGAAAGGTAATTGCGAGGGTTTGATGGTGAAAACGTTGGAGAAAGATGCCACTTACGAAATCGCCAAGAGATCTCACAACTGGCTCAAGTTGAAGAAGGACTATTTGGACGGCGTGGGCGATACTATCGATGTAGTGGTGATTGGTGGTTACATAGGAAAAGGCAAGCGTACCGGACATTACGGGGGATTCCTGCTGGCTTGTTACGATAACGAAAGCGAAGAATTTCAAAGTATATGCAAGGTACATTTACTTTTTTGACCGTTAATTCGAATGAGTTGTTGATCCTTTTTATTTCAGATTGGTACCGGGTTCAGTGATGAATACCTAGCAATACATTCCGAATTCTTCAAGAGTCATGTAATTCCCCAGCCGAAAGCGTACTATCGATTCGACAGCTCGCTGGAGCCCGATCATTGGTTTGAGGCGGTGCAAGTGTGGGAAATCAAATGCGCGGATTTATCTTTATCGCCTGTACATAAAGCGGCGATAGGAATGGTAAAACAATCTAGGATTGGCTAGAAAGGTTTTTGCTAAAGTATTATTGATGTAGGTGGATCCGGAAAAGGGCATCTCCTTGCGTTTCCCCAGATTCCTGAGGATAAGAGAAGACAAGACTGTGGAAGATGCTACTAGTTCAAGGCAAATAGTTAAAATGTATAACAGTCAAGAGCAGGTGAAGAACCAACAGCAGCCTGGAAATTTCGAAGATGACGATTTTTATTAGTATTTTTTTTATGTTAAAGGAATAAAAAATTGTACATCAATTAATTGAGTAATTGTTTATTTTTTGTTCATAATTTTCACTTATATTAAAACTGAGCAAAAAATGTGTTCACAGCGCAAACATAATGCCATATGAAATTATGTAATCAAAATATCTGTAAATCGGTAAAAGTCGCAAATATATCATTTCAAAATATGATGTCTTTGATACCAATATTTGTTCCATATTTTAATAACTATTACAAAACTGTTTATAATTCGGAACGATATAAATGTAAAAGTGTCTTTTGCTTATTTTCTAATTTTACAACACACAATCTTCTGTTTTTTTAAAGAAAATTACAACAACAATTACAAATAGGTGCGTTTATTTACCAAGACATTGTCGGACTAAAGAATTTCCTAATGCATTTATATGGTAGTTTACCGGGTTTAACAAAATAAAAAATACTAGTTTAATACAAAAAATTACGCAAAAAAATAAATAAATAAATTAAACAATTAGCTGCAGCGTATTTGTGAAGCCTTTAAAATGTGCAAAGAAAATGTAACAAACGTTTTATAATAAACTACTAAAAAAATTACATAAACAATTTATCAATCGTGTTTTAATGTAAATACTACATGTTTCAGCTAAATAGTACTTAGTGATTAACTACGAGTAGAAAACGTAGAAGATCTACCAAATATTTTTGTAATTTAAAACATTCATTACCTCACTTTTTGAAATTTAAAGTTTTTGATTTAAAAAATTGATTTTTTTCAACAAAAAAAAAAACAAACATTAGTCTAATTATAAAAATTTCTAACCCATAAACAATCGGTAATAATTTCAATAAAATATAAATTCTTAAAAATTCACAACTTGCCGTTCAAGCTCAAATAGATTGCGAGTAAACGAACCGATTACACGCAAAAAGCACCATAGAATAAACCTTGTAAGTAAGGTTAAAGTAGAAACAAATTCCCATTTCAAACAAGTAGTGGAAATTTGGAAATTTTTAGCGAATTTCGGTAAAACATTTTGCACATTCTAACAGGAAACGGGACCAAAAAACCTGGGGGCGGAGGATAAAAAGAGCAGCTAATTGCAGCGGGCTTTGTCCCCGGGCCCCCCCGTTTGTCATACATATTCTAACGGAGATCTTTTTCCCTTGCAACGCCTGTCCATATACCTTTCGAACAGTTTTTTAATCTCAGAAAACACCCATACCGACGATGTAAGGGCCGTAAGAAACGCCATATCTAAAAAAAAATCAAACATTTTCACTACAAACAATCTCATTTCTTCTACATTAAACCTTACCCCAACCGGTTAGAGCTTCCGTTTGAAATATGCTCTGCAACGGTGGCAGGTACACGACTAGTAATTGCCCGAGAACCGACAAACCGACGGCCAACAAGAACATTTTGTTGGAAAACAGGCCTATTGTAAAGACGCTTTTCGTTTGAGATCGGCAAGAAAGCGCATTCCACATGTCGAAGAACACGAAACAAGTAAAGGTCATCGTCGTGTCTCTGGCTGTGATTCCCTCGGAACTCAACTGGAAAACAAAACGGTTTTCATGACGAAATCGAGCGTCCTCTAATCTATACGAACCTCTTTTTGGAACACCCACAAAGTGCCGCCGATGATGAACGATGCAGACATCAGAACGTTGAAAATTAGTTTCTTTGTAATCATCGGCTCCTTGGTATCCCGAGCCTTTTGTTTGACGACGTCTTCTTCGACCGGCTCGACTCCTAAACTTTGCGCCGGCGGACCGTCCATTATAATGTTTATCCAAAGAATCTACGCAAAATTATTTTAACACACTATTAACCAGAGAAAATGCTATTGTATACCTGCATTGCGTTTAGAGGATTAGGTATATCCAAAATGGTGGACAAAGCAATCAAAGACAACGCTGCTATCGAAGTCGACAATTGAAATGTAACGAAATTCCTAATGTTATAAAATATACTCTTCCCTTCCTCTATGGCAGCTCTAAAACCAAATCAAACATCGCTAAAAAACCCACAATACATACTTTTTCCAAACGCTTACATAATCGTGTAGAAATCATCATCGACCAAAATCATATCGGCGGCTTCTTTGCACACGTCCGTCCCGTTTTTCCCCATCGCTATGCCGATATCGGCCTTTTTCAAGGCGACGCCGTCGTTCACGCCGTCCCCGGTCATCCCCACGATGTGGCCCGTCCTCTGCAGCGATTTCACTATCGACAGCTTATTCTTCGGCGACACCCTGTAGAATACGGTCACCCGGGGCACCGCCTCGTCCAATTCCGTTTCGGTGAGGCTGTCCAATTGCTCGCCCGAAAACACTTGCGACGGTAACGTTTCCAAGCCGATCAGTTGGGCTGCGAAAAATGAATTTCGATAGAGGGTTTTTTTACGAATCGAGAGAAGTACGATTTTTATTTATAAAACTATGTGTTCTTATGAAGGAGTTGATGAAATTTTTAGTTTTTTTCCGTTTCTTATTAAGGCCACAATTAATGTTTAAAGTTTGAAATATGTCACAAGTCATTAACCAATCGCATTAATACTTGTGGTAAAGATCGTTTTCTTGTTACAGTTATGATTTATTCGAAAAGTATAGAGCGAACTTATTGTTAAATAATATAATACGCCTATATTTATGAATTACTGTAAATATCTAAGATTCTAAATTATTGTTTAGTAGAATAATAAAGAGAAAGAAATAATATAACCCTAGATATGTCATCTGTCATTTGATGTTACATTTCACTTTTGTTCGTTTCTTCCACTCTTCCGAACTTTTCGTTCGAATTCTTTTTGTGATTGGTTAGTGACTTCGCACGTCACCTGTCAAAATTTTAAATTTAAAAGGGCTATATTTCCTAAAATATTGAATTTTTTTCAGCAACTGAAAACAGCTTCGAGTTCTAACGCCTTATTTCAATTCATCTATCTTGCTAAAGACCTCTCTCCATCAGAAATTAAACACTCACCGATGGCGACGGCTGTATCCATGGAATCGCCGGTGACCATTTTGACTTGAACGCCGGACTCTTTCAGAATCGATATGGCTTCTCTGACGAGCGGCCTCGGTGGATCGCAAATACCCACGCAGCCCATGTAGGTTAAATCCTGCAGGGCCTCGCCCTTCGCCATGGTAATCACCCGCAGGCCCTTCTTCGCGATTTCGTGCGATTCCGCCATGAATTCGGCGCGTTTGTTGTCCGTCATCGCTTGTCGATTACCTAAAAAACACATTACATATTTTCTAACGATTTGGAATTGAATTGTAGAGAATCGTACCGTTCCAATTATAGTGGGTGCATTTCGGCAGGATTTTCTCGATGGCCCCTTTGACGAAGAATATCTCTTGCTTGTTGCTGTCGTACTTTTCGACGCATTGAACCGCCATCATTTTCTGCTCGGAACTGAACGGGTACTCTTTGAGCCTCACGTAACGATTCGTTATGTTATCCATGCCGTGTTTCATGGCGGCTGCCAGAAGGGCTCCTTCCGTTGGGGTGCCCATTAGGGTGTCGTCTTTAATCTGGGCGTTGTTACAAACAGCACCAGCCTAAATTCAATAACCAATAAAGACACGTATTATTTACTAGTTGACGAGTAATTTACTTCTAATAATTGTCGAATGCTCTCTCTGGCTTTGTCGGGAAAATCGTATTTGGTGTGGAGCAAAATTTGCCCGTGATCGTTGTAACCGGCGCCGGTTATTTCCGCTATATAACCATCGGATGTAACCAAGACGGTAGCCGTCATTTCGTTGCGGGTAATCGTACCGGTTTTATCGGAACAGATGACGTTAACGCAACCCAAGGTCTCCACTGTGGGTAGTTTCTTAACGATAGCCTTCCTTTTAGCCATTCTCATCACGCCCAAAGCCAATGTAACAGTAACCACAATCGGTAGACCTACGGAGGAATAGCCAATGAGATTGTTCATGTGAAGTTCGTAGCGATTGTACCTTCGGGAATGGCGGCGACGGCTAAACTGACGCCGATCTGGAACATCTCCATGATCAGTTTACCCTGAATCCACCCAACCAACATAATAAACCCGATGATGGCGAACGAGTAAATGGACAACTGCGTGCCGAGCTTATCCATGGATTTCTGCAACGGCGTTTTGGGCGCCTCCTCCTCCAGCATCATCTTGAACACCGTACCGAATTCGCTGTTCGTTCCCGTACTGACGACGATACCCTGAAATCGCATCGACGTTTTCAACGTGAGATTACTCGCATAGTACAAGCCTGCTTGCCTTGCCGGAACCGTTCCGGACCAACGTTCCCATAAAGGCGATGTTGGTGTTCGAGGAATGGGCGCCGTTGGGCCTGATGACCGAATCGGTGTTCTTCTTGGCCGGTTCCGTTTCGCCGGTGAAAGAGCTCTCGTCCAACGTGAGATCGTTGGCTTCGAACAGCCTCACATCGGCCGGTACCCGATCGCCTACGTGCAATACCACCACGTCGCCCGGTACCAGTTCTCTGGCCAGGAAGCTGTCCGGAGTACCTTCTCTTAGACTAAAAAAAGACACGGGAATAATGGTCGATGAATGTCGCGGTGAAAGTTGTCGTTACCAATGGCATGCCGGCGGTACTAATTTGGTTAATTCCTGCAACGACTTCTCGGATCGGTACTCCTGCACGAAGGCGACCGTTACAACTATCACTATGGCTACTGTAATACTGATGGCGTCGTCGAATTGGCTCATGCCGGCCGAAACGACCGCAGAGCCTAATAGGAGGAGTATCAGCGGATTTTTGAACTGTTCTAAGTACTTCTTCCATGGCGGATCGCCGTTTTTTACCGAAAATTCGTTATACCTTCGAAAATATGAAGCGAATAACCACAACATCCGTATAGATTTGAATAGTACCTACCCTGATACTTTCCGTCTGTCGGTGGCTTCTTGCCAATTTAAACCTTTTCTAATATCTACTCTTAATCGTTCCGAAACCTCTTCGTAGCCTAAACTGCTGGCTTCGCTGGCGGTCATCCATAATCCAGTACTGTCTTTGTCCGTCTGAAATATAATTAAAATAGACTATTATAGAAGAATTTTTTTCAAAACATTTTTAACATATTGTGACAAGAGAAGTGTATAGATAATTACAAAAACCTGCGAATCTGGAAAGGCTGATATCTCAATAACTGATAGGTTTTTCAATAATGGCAAAATTCTACATGCAGTAATAAAAACTTAATTGTTCAAATGAAAGAATGTAATAATTCGAAACGAATGCAAAAATATAAATGGTATTTACAAAACAAACGTTTCCAATATTTTGAATATTTTCAGATAAGATAATGAAATAATTTGTACCAATTCGATAAATAGCAAAAAAAATAGTTCAATGCGAAATTACAGAAAATTTAGGTAATTGCAATTAAGTACGATAATTACAAACCAACCTTGATTTCTAATTAAGAATTATAGTAAATATTACCGCAATATTTCAAACAAATATTTTTTACAAACCAACTAATTGCGACCGGTAATTTTTCTTACACCGCCCGGAAAAATTCCAATCGATTTCAAACAGTCTCAAACAAATTACCTTCTTGTTTTTGCACAGTTTACCAAACAAATTCATTTTCCCGTGTCGAAAAATTCGAAACGCCTTCGAAGGAAAACCGTGTACCGCATCAATTTGGAGCACGAATAGATTTATTCATTGTTGATTAACCAGGAGTTAGAGCGTCGACAACTCCGATGTTGACTGACTTAAAAATGAAGCGTTATCGCCGCGCTTCCTATCGACTGCATAACGTTCATAATAAAGGTATGCAAATTTTCGATTTATGGCATCCTGAGTAAGACCGCTGCGTACCGAATAGTTCGATCCACAACCATATTTCACGCGGGAAAACACAAAAGAACACGGCGAAACATTCTTGCTGAACGTGTTTGTTATTTGCGAAACAGAAATTGGTATCTTACTCAGTAAATGTACACGATTTTTATATTTTTCAATGAATATAAAATCGTACATATCTAAGCGTAACAAATGTAGGTAAAATGTGCATAATAATTCAACTCCTACAAAACTGTATTATGCACTCCGATAAGAATCAAATCGTTTAATTGCGTGTAAAAAAACATAATGGGGTTTAGGCAAATTAGGCACGATTTTATAATTTTAAAATAACTGCATTAAAAAATTTTCCGTGATTTTCTGGAAAAAAATTATCAAACGAATTAGAACACGTGGATTCGAGCGATACAATTAACGAAATAAATCAATATGAAATCGATACCAAAACAACGTTCGAACAACGCAAACCAACCGTATAAGTTGCTGGAATAATTAAATTACATCACATCCTTTTAACGCGTTCAAAACAACAATTAAAAATTACAGAAAAAAAAGTCCTTACGGGAGTGGTTTCGGCGGTCGTTTCTTCTTTTCCCTCGTCCTGCGGTCGCTTTTCGAAAAACTTGAAGCATTTATCGAACATTTTCGATGTTATTCACATTATACGAAACGTCGAGCGCGTGATTCCAATATATTATCGTTCGAAATACTGATATTTCAATAAAAATAAAGTCCGAACCGGAGTACAGGCTTGAATGAAGAGCTAATTTTACATAACGAGCATGGAAAATAAAAATATAAAGATAGGTATTATTTCGCTCAATACTCGGTCATTACGATTTGTAGAGGGGAAGCGATATTTAAGCTTCGCTGATTCTCATTATTTTCTAAATAGGTGAATTAAAAATCGCCAATAAGGTCGACCGAAATGTAATTAATCACTCCGCAATTGCACACATTTTTTTATTCATTGTCCTCTTCGGTTTTTTAATATAAATTAACCTCAAATTATCCGACGTTAAATAAAAAGTTAATTACGATAGAAAATCGATTGAGACTTGTAAAATACGCAAAAACATCCGATAAATTACATAAAAATTATTATGATATACCTGTCGGATTATAATCGGTCGAGACATAAATAATCCATCTCGTCAATGAGTGGAATTAAAATTACAATTCTATTCGATTAAATTATTATCGCTCGCACAGCAACTAGTTTATGCAACCAAATTTGCATACTTTTTTTTAAACATCAAGTACAAATAAATTTAATGTAAATATTAAAAATACCGCATGTACAGTATTAATACAGGTACAAAAATGACCTTTCGCATTTTGATTAATGAATATTTTCATTCTACAACGAAGGATAAAATAATCCATATGAAAATGTCCTCGACGAGACCTCCTAGTACAGGTCAGCAATAAATCAATCGAAAAATTAATCTAATCTAGGAAAAAATATTTGTAATGCTATAGGAAAACAAGGCGAATGTAAGATAATGGATTGGAATTAATTGAGTTATAAACATTTCGATAAACAATAAACTAAGTAAAAGTAACCATTCAAAGGATCAACAAATATATTATCCGTTTATTAATAAACGCGATTAATAGTTTATATTACACAAGAATGTAAAATATAATGAGTTTACAATCCTGTTTAGGCGTAGTCGAAATAACAATTTATTTGCATGAAGATAGTATTTACTGAAATTATCAGCAATTTTCTTATAATCACAAATTTATGGGTTTGCTTTTCGTCCAATGGACTTTGATAATGAGTTAAAATTTGCGTATTTGCACAACAATCAAAGCAATAAAAGGAACTTACTGAGAATGTACCGAAATTTCTTCCATGATTTTTTAGCAGTTTCTCTCTTAGGCTCGGCATGGAAACGGCTTAAAACGTACTAATTATTGTATTGCGCTTATGGAGCAATTAAAATATCAATATACGATAACAATTATTATTAAAACCAAAATTAATTCCCCACCAGTAGTTTGACTGTTGATCGTAGTGTGAGAGAGTTGACAAAAATTTACAATTCCTCCTACATCTTACTACCCCAAAATGATACATGTACGAGGTGAATCAAACATCAATAATAAAAACGAATAGGCATGTATCTAATAAATCCTTTTTTACAAAAAATCGTGTAGAAAATACGCATTTTCATTGTTTCAATTTGTACAAAAAAATTAGCTAAAATAGGAAACAAATTTCAAGAATTAACAAGCGTTTATAATGTGTACAACTGGCATGTATGTTGTATGTAAAACAAAAAAAAATCCTATTAACATATTCCCACAATCACAATGGGGTATCGTTTGCGCGGGTATAATTATCTCTTGTATAATATAGATGTAATTAGAAGATGCAAAAATTATATTTCAATTAAGAGTTAATTTTCCACATTAACATGTACAATTTATGTGTCAAGACTGATATAATTCGTAACGTTGGCGCATTAAAATTGATAAATAATTCAATTTTATCGTGCACTTCCTAAAAGTACATCATGAATACGAACAAATCTAGTTAATCATGTCACTTACAGAGCTGCCTCGACGCTTCAAATCCATTCTATAGAGGGTGTTAGGCAAAATATTCCTGTTAATTCATCTAACCTTCTACAGCACGAATAATCCATTTATTGACATTTTACTCGTTTTCATATTTATGAAATAATACGTTTACGTTACAAATGATACAGTAAAAGTACCTCAAAAAAATCGTTTAAACTCATTATTTGGATGATTATTTTCCAACGTAATTAACTAGAATGCGTTATTGATGCTTTAATTTTTTTTAATGCGCCTAATTGGAAATGAGTAGTTATTTTCGAACTGTTTGCGTATGTTATTTAATCAGTAAAACAAAAAAGATTGTGTTAATTGGAAAGGCATAATAAGTATTGAGTATTTGAAAATGAAAACACACAGGAAATATAAATTGGTTTTGGATGGTTCTCATCTACGCATCAGCGGTCAGTCGATAATAAATAAATTGATTGAAATTAATTGTTTATTATAAAAAAATAGTACTTTTTCCACAGGGTGTTGTAAATTTTAAAATTATTACACAAGTGTGCAAAAGTGTAATTATTATTCGGAGGTAGGTGCTTTTATTTTGAATGAATTTTGATGAATTTTATACAAAAACAACCTTGAAAATCTACGTACATATTTGCTTATTCGAAATGTTAAATTAATTAAAAAACATTAATAATATAGCATTGAAATAACTAATAAAATGAAAGTAAACTTTCTATACAAGTGCTGAGTATACTATGATAAATGGATAAATATTTTCAAGGTTCAGGGTAAACCGTTTAAATGTCAAAGATAGTATTTGTGAATAATGCTATATTTATCTATTCACATCAAATCATCTAATACTGAGGGTATAGTTAATAAATCCACAAGTAGAAAAAAATCAAGATAATAAATTGCTTAACAAATATGTATAAGTAACATGTGTATTTTATTTAATAAAACAATCTATTCGATTAAACATTAAAAAAAATTGTATAAGTAAGAACAACCGATTACGTGGAATAAAATTTGAATTCAAACGTAAACAAAATGTAACCAGAAAGGTTAAAGGAACAAATTTTAATGTATGTAGCAAAAATAAAGTAATAGACTTAATTTCAACGGCTTTAATCATCAAACCAGCCGCTTAATGAAACAATGTTCAATTAGGGAAACGTAACAATCGATTGATAATTTGGGAAACCAGTTCAATCGATATGAAGACTGGAGAAGACAAAGCGATCTATTAATAAAAATCTCATCAGTGAGACTTACCCCGCAATGTATAAAGAAAGCCTCATCTTCGTAGGGAATTTTCTCATATCTCGACTTTTTCATTGCTTTCGACTAATTCCACCGGTTTAATTACAAAAAAAACTGAATCAATAATCACATCGTTACGCTAAAAACAACACACACGCGACTTCCAGCCAGACAGTTGTCAGCTGTCAATATGAAGTGTCAAAACAAATCTTCAATAAATTTTTTTATACTGAATAACCGCAAGAATAGAGGCATGGTAAAGAAGATTTAAATGAGGTGCGTTACGATTTTCCCCTTTCGAAATAAACTATTCAAATATGACCCAAATTTGTAAAAAAAGCAGCGAGTTTAGTTAAAAAAAAGCGCGGTATTTAAATAAATAATAGCTGAATTATTGTTATACTTTCACCACTTCTGCAATAATTAATAAACTTTCACAAATAGCAAAAAAATAGATTCACTCACCCACAATAATTTATAAATGTTTCCAGCTACATGTTTAATCGCAACGTTTAACTTATGCATAAATGAAATATTGGCGATGGAAATTTTAAAAATGAAGTAACGCTCTGAAAATTTTCAACATGTCATTTCTAATTTGGCATTTTTAGTGATTAAAATAAATAGTAGCATTCGATTTTATTTTGTACGAGTACAGCAGCATTTAAAGGAAATTAATTAATTCTCAAGTTCGCCAAGGCCTGAATAAGGCGTGTCAGGGCCTCCAAATAAACTTTTATTTCAAGAAATTGGTACACATCTTTTCTTCTCGGTAATTCAAACGAAATACAGTATTCGACAAGGTCTTGTTGTTTTGTTCTTTTTCACAGTGTTTTGTCAAATGCAATTTTAAAAATATATTAATTTCACTTAAATTAAACATCTTAATTGGCTTGGACTTCTTTAGGCGGCGACAGGGCTTCGCTATTGACTTGCGCATCGACGCATTTCCACAAACCGTACGTTTTCCCTATGGTCGTTTGCCACAATCTCAACGTACCGTCCTCGGACCCCGAAGCATATAACTCTCCATCGGGCGAAAATTTAACACAATGAACTAAAAAAAAAATAACACAAAATTAGCTACTAAAGTTAAGGTACATTTACATTCAAATTTTAAAGTTTAAAATTTGGCATTTGTCATTAAATGACAAATGACATTGTCATGTGTCATGCGGACAAATTTTAATTGAATGTACCTTATTTTTATAATTATTTAGTTTATTTTTTTTAAATTCTAAACTTTAAGCACGCGCTTAATTGAATGTAAATGTACGATTAATTGTGTTAGAAATAATTACCTGGTCCGAAGTGACCCTTGAACGATTCGATCTCTGTGCCGGTAGTGTAATCGAATTTATACACTTTCAAATCGTCACCGCCTGCTACGAAAATGCTCTTGTCCGGATGCAAAGACGCCGAATTTACTGTGCTAGGTATGGAGAACTCTCGAATTTTCGTAAGAGTATCAGCATCCAGGAATACAACGTGTTTTGAGTACGCTACAGTTAGAACGGTACCATCTTTCGATACCTCTAGGCTATTCGGGGTCGAGGAAAATTCTACTTTCTGAATTTCCTGAAAAAAAAATAATCAAATTGAGTAATTACGGCGTGATATAATAGTGTTTTTATTATTACTTTTCCTGTTAGTCTATTCCAAACCCTAAGTGTCTTATCATCAGCACAAGACACCAAGTGAGTATCGTTTCTAAAAAACATCACGTGCCTTATCCCACCGGAATGTCCACTAAAAACCTCCGGGCCTACGATAAATAATAAATCATAATATGCGGCATTAAACGAATTAAAAACACCCTTACTAGCATCGGGTTTATTCAGATCGAAAATCCTAATGAGCTTCTCGTTACTGCCGGTCGCCAAGAGCCCGGTATCGTAGGAAAAATCGACGCTCTTCACAATGTGGTTGTGCTGGAAGGAATGCAATTCCTCGCCCGAAATAGCGTCCCATACTTTCCCCGTGAAATCGGCCGCGCCGCTAGCGGCTCGAGTGGCCTCCGAGTTAAGGGCCACCCCCCAAACGGCCCCTTTGTGCCCCTCGAACGTGCCGATCCAATCGCCCGTGTCTCCCTGTCGAAGCATCGGCTTGCCATCTAGACAAATAACCTGTATCAGCGATTAAAGTTTTATCTCCGCTAAGCACATAATATGCAATACAAAACAAGTGCTCGAAAAAACAGGAAGACCATTGAAGTTAACCTTCAATGTTACTTTTAAGGTTCGATTTCAGGTCAGACAACTTGCCGCATATAAAACGACTTTAATGAGGCCAAGGTGCATGTCTTGTAAACACCGAAGGTTTCCTTCTTCGACTTACCTTTGCAGGCTGAAATCAAATAATATCCACTGTCTGTTACTTCACTAAAATCCAAATGAACCACTGGTCTCGTATGTCCACTGCACGTTAACGGCGTTTGTCTTAAGTTTGCCATATTTGTTACAAAATAAAAATTAATACTGCAATTTTTTTAACAAAAACACGACTACCTAGCGAGTACTGTCAATCAGTACTGAACTGACAGACAGTCAAGCTCGAGCTAACAAGACAACACCACACACCACACGTTCAAATTTGGAAGGATATTTTTGACAGCTATTCGATATGTTTGCAATGTTGCCATTTAAAATTCCTCTTTTTTCTCATGGACTTTTATATGAAATACTATTCAGTTACATTTAATTAAAAAACAATACATTAAAAAAATTAAGTTATATTATTATACAGGTACTTTAAGAAATACACGAAACTCTTACAAAAATATTATTCTCATAAAAAAGGCACTCAAAAAAACATCATAAGTGATGTAATTGTTAAAATTAAAAACAGAATTAAATTTTTTAAATCGGATTTCGATTAAGATTCAGCATCATCAGATTCGCTAAGCATCTCCTGTAAATGAATGTTCAAATAGAATATATTTTACTTGTGTTAATATCGACTGCATACCTGAAGGACTTCGATTAAATGCTTGGATTCGTCTAACATTTCTTTGCACACTTTATTTTCTTCTTGCAGTGCGCTTATATTATCTTTGAGTTTTTCTACTTCGTGTAAACTATCATTCAACGATTGCTCTCGGGTTTCTGCTAGTTTCTTCCAATATTCCAAACTGGGCTCCTCGGATACCAAATCTTCTGCTGTTATTGCCTGCTCTCCAGCTTGTACACTCTTATCAATCATTTGCAGTTTCTTTCGCTTCGATTCCCCTGCCTCCCTTAAAAAAATTGCAATGTTTACAAATGTATATATTTTTTTGTATTACTTTCTTACTTAAATATTATGGTTTCCTTCCCAGCTTGTAATCTGCCTATTAAATTATCATGTCCTCTAGCATCTTTTTGTAATTCCTTGAATGTTTTTCGGCATTCCGTTGTGTTTTCCTTTAAAAAAACTGATACAGTAAACAAAACATAACCTAACATTTCGTATCTTACCTGATCCTGAGATCCCACCGTTAAAATAACTTTCTTTTGCGTAAACATTTTTACATAAAAGTTATTTAAAATTTGTAATAGCTAAATAAGCTTCAGTAATTACTTAATGATAAGAAATTAGTCTGTAAACTCTGTAAACACATCTATTTCCCGCTATACACAATACACAAACACAAGCCTGAAGTTGAAGTCGTAACGATTTCTTCTTTTTATATAATTCTTTTTCTTTAGAAAAAAATTATGTATCAAAAAGTGGCAACACGGTAAGTATTTACTGTAGTTAGAGCACAATTTTTGACAGAAAATTGACAGCTGTCACAAATGTCAGTGCAATAGACATTCGTCAACACTCGACACGCGATTTGTTCGCAAATTTGAAATTGAACATTTCATAAAAAGGAGGAATTCCAGCTGGAAGGGTTTACATGTAGCTAATTTAATCGTACGATCCAATCAAAATGAGTACAATACTGGAAAAAATTGCGGCAATCGAATCCGAGGTAAATCGAACCAAATGCAATGAGTGTTATAACCTTAAAACCCGGTTTTGTAGATGGCCAGGACCCAAAAAAACAAAGCCACAGCGGGACACTTGGGTCTGTTGAAAGCTCGCCTGGCGAAGCTCAGACGGGAACTAATCACCCCCAAAGGAGGCGGTGGAGGAACCGGCGAGGGATTCGACGTAGCCAAAACCGGCGATGCCAGAGTGGGTTTCGTGGGATTTCCATCAGTAGGCAAATCGACTCTCTTAAGCAACTTAGCCGGCGTCTACTCAGAAGTCGCCGCCTACGAATTTACAACCCTTACAACCGTACCGGGTTGTATAAAATACAAAGGAGCTAAGATACAGGTACACAAATAGCTCATACACAGTTCCAAATACCTCACTAATTGTTTCGTATAGTTGTTAGATTTACCAGGAATTATAGAGGGCGCCAAGGACGGCAAGGGTCGCGGTCGACAAGTCATTGCGGTGGCCCGTACGTGTAGTTTGATATACCTCGTACTGGACGTGTTGAAACCTCTAGGCCATAAGAAGCTCATCGAGCACGAATTGGAAGGGTTCGGTCTGCGTTTGAACAAGCAACCTCCCAACATATACTTCAAGAAAAAGGACAAGGGCGGTATCAATTTGAACTGCATGGTGCCTCAATCCGAGTTGGACACGGACACTGTTAAAACGATATTGTCCGAATATAAAATCCACAACGCCGATGTAACGCTGAAGTACGATGCTACGAGCGATGATTTGATCGATGTAATTGAAGGAAATAGAATTTACGTGCCGTGCATTTACATCTTAAACAAAATTGGTGAGTTATTTCGGTTAATTGAGGTTTTGTAGTATAAATATATTTATTGCATTCAAGATCAAATTAGCATCGAAGAATTGGATGTTATATACAAAATTCCTCACTGCGTGCCGATTTCCGCGCATCATCGATGGAACTTTGACGATTTGCTAGAAAAAATGTGGGAGTACTTGAAGTTGGTTAGAATGTAAGTAAATCAATTCATCCAACTACACTATTCTACTACAAGTTAATTATTCGTAGATACACAAAACCTAAAGGACAACTACCCGATTATAACTCGCCCATTGTCCTGCACTCCGATCATACGTCTATCGAAGACTTTTGTAACAAATTGCACAGGAGCATCGCCAAAGAATTCAAATAGTAAGTTCGATTATTCTGCATTTTTTGCTTATGGTAATTTTCTCATGAATTTAGCGCACTCGTTTGGGGTTCTTCGGTGAAGCACCAGCCCCAGAAGGTCGGCTTGGAGCACATACTTTGCGATGAAGATGTCGTACAGATTGTGAAGAAGGTTTGATGATGATGAGTCGTCAGCAGCGAGTTTGTCGCAGTTTAATTCTCTCGAGCGGATTGAAGTTGTTGTGGAAAATTGATTCAAGGACGCATTGAATAAAGATTAGTAGAATTTATGCGACACACTCGGTTTGTTAAATAAGAATAAAGGCTAATTTTACATGCAGAGTGGTTTTATTGGTTAGATTCGTTGCGAATGTGGCGTGATTTCGGTGTAGTAGAGCCAATGGTTTGTTTTTCCTATATTAATTGTTTCTGTTAACTTTTACCAAACATGTTAGAACCGCATAAGCTAATCTCCAAAGCTACAAAATGTTAACAGTAATTATCCAACACAAAAAAAGCTAAACAATATTAATTACCTTTACCAACAAGGCGTGATTAGTCTCAGTAATGTAAATGGTAACTTTTAATGGCTTCAAATTGTTTATTAAAAATACCAACAAGTTTTTTCTGTTCTTTACATTCCAACAGATCCAAGGGCAATTATAGGCATTAATACAAATATCCTCGGACTAAAATTTAATAGGTTAGAAAGAAATTTAAATAATATAAATAAATTACCCTATCGGTTAAACTTTGAGCGGTGGTGCAATATGTTAGAACCTGCAGGAACCATGTAAAGAGAACCGCGTACATTCGAAAGTTACTTTCTTTACTTACATCCTGCATAAAATTGTAATTTAGCGTTTAATTTATACTTATTTGAAATGAATATGTACCGAAACGATAAAAAAAGCAGCAGACACAAACGTTAAAGTAGACACAAAAATCATGAGAATCCCCAAAGGATTGTTTATAACCATCACCGCTTTATGAATCCTGAAAGAGTTAATACGTTTATTTGGTTCCAGTTCAATGATAATTTTACCTTGTTATTTTATTATTGAGGTAGATACAGAATTTAAGTTTCTCGCTGATTCGCCTTTGATAACGTTCATCACGAACGCCGCTTTCTTCCTTAATTTTCTTCACGAATTCGTTCAGCAGGAGTAGTTGGAATTTTATGTGAGTAACATAGTGGGTGCAGAACATCAGGGGTATTAACATGGTGTAGCCAGTTAACATCGAGGACAAGTAATTGATGCCTTAAATAAAAGATTAAATGCAAAGAAAGTGGACGGTAGATTGCAACTACTAACCTTTTACAAACGATTTGTATCGCGGGTTATACTTTTCGAATATGAATTCTATGAAATTGAACCGCATTTCGTCTCCGTTGAAGGGGAAAAATAATAGAGAGGATAGAAGAGACATGAATAAATTCAAGTAAATGACGGTTTTTATTGCTTTGCATTCGTTCAAAATGCTTTGGTAAAGGGTGTCCCCGGCGCATTTTAAATTGAAGCCCATTTCTCGAACCTGCGCCGGGAATTTCACCACGGTCGGGCACCAGATACAAAATTGGAGTATTATCACGAACGACTATAACTTAAAAATTAAATTATACAGCACCATTTTTATATCATTTTCTCACCGCTGCTCCCAATGCGTACAAAACGTAATATTGTTTAATAAATTTCACGTCCATTTGTCTCAAGATTAACTCGTAATCGAACAGCAAACACAAGGTAATGTCGTTGATGAGTTTCGCTAACACGAACAATCTGAAAATCGTCGATTGCTGAAATATTTTAAAAGGAAGGAGATCCTCCAGGAACGATAAAGGATCGTTTTCTAAAAAAATGGCGAATGTTAATTATATTTGTAACATCTCGAAATGATTGAAATTTACCTTTAGATATCATGGGGATCTCGGAATTGGGCCACATTATCAATCGAGTACTCTTCACTGCACTCGCAAAGTTGATTTAACTCTCATTAGAGGATGATTTAAAATGCAAATCGAAACGATAGAAATTTTATTAAAGTTTTTTTTTCCATTTCGAATGTCTGTTGACACAAAAATTATTCTTAAATTAACGGTATCAATTTGAAACAATTATTTTTCAATATGAAAACAACTCCGATCCACTAGAAAGTTTTAACAAGAATTACGTAGAAAAGTGGAATATATTTTATTCTTTTCGAAAATATCTAAATTAAACAATATATAAAGATTGGGTACGCTTCAAAAAATTCTTGATCAATAGGAATAAAATTTACCTTTCAAAATGAAAAAAAGATAGTTTTTTTCGTATACATGTTACTTCAAATATACTAAAAATAAATCCTTAAAGATCAATTAAACATCATTCCTATTTGCAATAAACAATAAACATCCAGCAAAATATAGGTTTGTTAGTAGAAATACAACTTCCAGTTCACCACGAACAAATCAATAATAAGATACAAGAAAATCGATAAAAACAATAATTAAAACTTATCTATTGCTGTCTTCTATACTACAAATAAAACCAATGAGAATACTATTACAATCCTGCACGTATTTAGCCACAGTCTTTATCCTATCAGCTTTCGACGATTCGATTCCATCCTTAAGAAACCTCTCGAGAAAAGCTTTCGATGCATCGAGATAACTCGCAGGATCTTCACGCGCCTCCTCCGCTTTACTATCTTCCAAAATCGGTTCTCTCCCATCATCAACTTTCTCTTCAAGCACTCTCGCATCATCAACTTTCCCCTCAAGCACTCTACCATCATCAACTTTCCCCTCAAGCACTCTTGTATCATCAACTTTCTCTTCAAGCACTCTACCATCATCAACTTTCCCCTCAAGCACTCTTGTATCATCAACTTTCTCTACAAGCACTCTCACATCATCAACTTTCTCTACAAGCACTCTCGCATTATCAACTTTCTCTACAAGCACTTTTGCATCATCAACTTTCTCTACAAGCACTCTCGCATTATCAACTTTCTCTACAAGCACTTTTGCATCATCAACTTTACTATCAAGCACTTTTGCATCATCAACTTTCTCTACAAGCACTTTTGCATCATCAACTTTACTCTCAAGCACTCTCGCATCATCAACTTTCCCCTCAAGCGCTTTCGCACCATCAACTTTCCCATCGTTTTTACATTGAACCGTTTTCTTATAATGATTCTCCAGAGCGCCCAGCAAATTGGCGACGACGGGCACCTTCAACGGCAACGCGCCCACCTCGGCCTCGCTCAATCGCGCCAAATCGCCCACCGTCTTCACGTTCATCTCCTTCAGCTTGTCCATGGACGCCTGCAGGAACAGCGGCCCGGCCAAGCGCTTGACGATCGCCCGCGCGTCGTCCTCGCAGAGCGCCAGCCGCGCGTAGATCGGCTTGCCCTTCGGCGGCGGCGGCGGAGGAGCCGCCTCCGACGGCGCCTCTTCGAAGAGGCGCTTCGCCTGCCGCTGCTGCTGGTCGTCGTCGACGATGATCTTCTTGGACGTCAGGCACGGGTCGCTGAAGTTCACGCGCTTCCTCTGCGTATAAGAAGAGAATATTGTAAGATTGGGGTACTAGGAGAGGCTGGGTTGAGAGTCTGACCTTCGGGCAGGGGGAGTACCCGTCGTTGTCGGCGCCGTCGCACATCTTCCGCTTCAGTATGGAGCTTTTGGGCACCGCGTACGGGCTGGGGATCTCCCGCGAAAACGTCAGGATGTCGCTTTCGGTATAAGCCTCCGGTTGCTTCGACGCGCCGGCGGATTTGAGGGTTTTCAACGAAGGCGACGAAATGGTACCTACGAGAAGAGTAACATGAAACGAAGAAGCATCTTCGTCGTGTTAAACTTACCGAACTTCACGTTCATCAGCGGTAGTTTCTTCACGGCCAACGATTCGCTCATGAATCTCTCGAATTGCTCGTTGATGAGCTTCGATTCGTCTTAAAAATCATAAAATGTACATGCTAAATATTCAGTTACAAGCTTTCGTAGGTATTACCTTCTAATGTATGATCATCTTTCGTACGATTACCAATTAATTCCGGCTTCCGTTCGATCGCTGGCAATTCGTTTATCTTATCATCCGACGAGGCTACTTCGTTTAAACCGACTATTTCAGGCTTCTCTCCGAAATCCTCTAGCGAAAGGTTTTTCGAAGATATCGGCGAGATGTCTATCGTGCTGCTCATCAATTCGTTGTTCCTAGTAGGCGTCTCGGAGTTGATGGGCGACGAGGGTAAGAAGACGGTGAGTTTGCGAGGAGTACAAGACAGCGAAGAGGATACAATCGAACCGGCGCTCTGTTGGGTACAGGTCGATTGGGTGGCGTCGTCGTCGGTTTCGCAGACGGACATCGTGTCCATGCGGGAGGCGAACAATTCGGATTCGGTGAGAGAGGGCCTTCGGGGCGGCTTCGGGGACGATTCGCCCTCCGTCGAATCCACCGTGAGCGTGGTATCTTGGCTGGTGATTTCCCGTTCTTCGGTCACGCGAGATTTCGAAGCATCGAGCGTTTTGACGATCGAATCCTGCGAGCTCTCTATGACGTCTTCGGTGTCCTTGATGTTCGAAATGTTCGCCATGAGATCCTCCAATTTCTTCCGCTTGTGCGTCTTCTCCGCCGTTCCGGCCAAACTCGATTTGGGCGAGGTCACCCGTCTGATCGTCATTTTGATGTTCTCCTCGACGTTTTGATTGTCTATTTTGAAGTTTTCGAGCTTTCGTCGATGCGCCCGTTTCTTCTTCTCCGACGAATCGGGTGACTTGGTGTTGTTCGTGATGATCGTCGAGGCGTCGTCGCGCGATTTGCGCCCGTTGAGTTTTCTGTTGTCCAACGAATTGTACGGCTTGCCGTTGGCCTGTCCGATGGATCTCAGCACGCCGTCGGCCGGACAGGACTTCGCCCGGCGTCGCGGTTTTTTCGTTTGAATGGGAGTTTTGGTATCCTCCGCGTTAATGATCGGCCTGACTGGCTTCTCCTGCTCGATTTCCGGCGGGGTTTCCGTCGAAATCGGAGCGTCGGAGCCGTTGGAAACGGGCGATTCCAGCGCTTTACGCTTGCCGAGGAAGTTGAGGAGTTTTTTCGATTTACGCGGCCGTCCCGGTTTGCGCGGCGGCTGCGATTTCTGCGCGGCCTTGCGTTCCTCCATCGATTTGGTCTCTTCGGCTTTCTTCGAGAGTTTCTTGGTTCTCGTTCGGCTTTCGTGGCCGAAGTACTCGTCGACTCCCACTATGGAGATGTTCAAACGTCTTATCTCTCTGCTCGTCTTCGGCGATTTGCCGACGAGCGGGTCGTTCGAGTCATCGGAAGATTGAATGTGTTCAGGTAATTTGCTGGAATCGTCCAAAGGAGATTCGTTTAGGTTATTAGAAAGCGGTGGATTCGTCTCACCAACCACTGAATTATTTCGTTTATCACTAAATAGCTTATTCGTATCGCCGTTAGTTGATGTGCATTCGATTTTATTTGTATCATTAGACTCTTGAGAGAACAAATCGATGCTGTGTGGAACATCTTGTTCTTTAGATTCGACTCGACAGGTTTCGTTTTTACTAGCGCTTTTCTCTTTCCCGGCGAAATTAAATAAATCTTGGCTGACGCTTTGAGAGAGATCTTCGTACAGGGCCGGAATGTCGGGCCTTCTGGTTTTCAACACTTCCTTTTGGTGTTCGCTGAGCTTGTCCGGCTGGAGCTTGACCTCCGTATCGATCGCGACGAAATCTTCGGAGTTTTCTTCGAGCAGCGGTTTGGAAATCGATAATTTCGAGGTTTTAGCTTTTTTGCTGGTCTTCGAGAGCTTCTGTACTTCGGTAAGATCATCGGAATCTTTCCCGAACAGCTTGAAGGTGTTATCGGAGGCGGTTTTAACCATTCGCGCTGAACGTTTCGTGGGAACGATGAAAGTTCGTTTGGATTCGTTTTCGTTGAAAGCCATTAGGAGTTTATTTATTTGCGGACTTTTCGGGTCGTTGTTTTTCGAAGATTCCTTGTGCATAGTCACCAGAAATGGTTTCAAATGAATGGAGAACGAGTGGTTTAAGGCGTTGGAGGAATTTTTTAAAAACTGATGCAATTCTTCGATTATTTTAATACCGTACGAAGTGGATAGTAAGGATTTGATGCAGGAGCTCACAGACTTTACCACGAGTTCGTTTCTGTCTTTGTAACAGTTCAAAGAAGGATCCAAATACTGTGTCACTAAATGGCATATTTTAATTTCATCATCGTTTGATAGTTTAGCTTTGCTCAGGAGTATTGAAGACACGGCTGTGAGTAGATTCGTAACTGGAACAAAATGGAATATTAAGCGTATTTCAAAACACGAAATGTAAATATAATTAGTACCGAAATCTGAAGAAAACTTTGTTTCACATTGGGACATTGCATTTAATAATGATAGACCATTTGGAGTTATAGACGGATTGTTTTCCAAACGATGCTTCGTATCGTTGATTATATTAATTTTCTTACTCTCGTTATTAGATGTCAATTTATGCAGCTGTTTAATCCAACATACAATGATTTGCTAAAAAAAAATATATTAACGTATTTCATTAATACATAATTTATCCAAAGGTACCTTTTTCTCAGTCTCTTGGAATATATGTAAGTTACTCAAAGGCCACATGAAACATTCGTAGAAATTGGCAATTTCCGAGGTAATCAAATTCTGATTAATTGTCAGCGAGTCCATTAAATGCAGCCAAATTTTTTCGTAATTCGGAACGATAGCGGCTTCCATTTTTGTACTAATCAGACAGTTTACAACGGTTTGGTAAACCAACGTTTCATTTTCTTCGGAAAAATCGTTCAGGGCGCACTGTAGGATGTATTCGCAAAATTCATCTTGAAGAGATCTACAACAGTTTCAAACCAATAGATTAATCGATTGGTTAAACAATTCACACGATATAAATTACCCGACGTCTAAAGTGATAAAAATAACGAGAAATTGCTTTAACAACACACCGTCCATATCGTAACTGTTAAAAGACATGGCGGTTTTAAATATAATCTTGAGTAGTTCTTGGTTAAAAGGATTTTCTTTGTGCTAAAAAAAATGTGAATAAAACGATTACTTCAATACAAAAAAATGTTATTACCTTCAATAACGTATCTAAATGGTCCTTTATTAAAGAAAAATATATTTTTTTATCAGTCGTTGGGGAAGATATGATGTGATTGAACAAGGACTTCCAAAGACATTGCATCACCTGAAACAGATTACATAAAAAAAACTGCATCAAATATTACAAACAAAGCTCACCCTATCTTTTTGAATTTTCGTGGTCTCGTGATTAAGCAAACTGCACGATTGAATCACCGAGTTTACCAAAGATTCGTAGAAGTTTTTGAAGTTTGTTTCGTTAATTACAGGCCGGTCGAAACGAACACCGACATCAACACATTCGAAATCATCTCCATGTCCGTGTCCTAAGATACCAATCAGAACTTGTATACTTTTCGGTGTGATTTGTTTAACGCTTTTAGCCAGACCCAATTTGGAATTGTCCAAAGTCCCGAAAACGACTTCCAGGAACGGTTTTAAACACAAAACTGCTCTGTCTTGCAGCGTCTCCAGGAGGTAAACAAACACCTCGAATCTCTTGTAAATTATACTCTCTTGTTTGGAGAATTTCGCTCGTAAAGGCGTTACTAAAAGCGTAATTTGTTTGTTTTTGCATAAATAATCTTTGTCTAAGCCGGCGTTGTCGATAAATTCTTTCCAACAGTCGTATCCTTTCAGTCTTTGTTCGTTGGAAGAGTTTCGGAAAGCGTTTTCTACTATTCTAAGCAGGTTGTTCGTTAAATCCGTGGATTGGTGAAGCTTCTTGCCGCAGAATTTAACGAGACACATCCATATTTTATGCCAATTAGAGTAATTCGAATTTTGGAAATCAGTCATCGCAGGAATGTACCTATAAAGCATAATTAGAGATCCATATTGTAACTTGCATAAATACACTACCTGCTCTTCATTTTGTCAAGAAATGAAGCATATTCTTTTTCTGTTAAGTCTGCTGCTGATAAAGAAGCAGACAATAGTAAACCTACGTCAATAAGAGTATCTCTTACAGGAACCAAATTTTCTTCGGGCGACATAATTTTATTAATAACGTCCAGCAAAACGGTTTTGAGGACCCCTTTTGTCATCACACTGCATATTTTGTCCATGATAGGCAATAACTAAGAATTTTACATAAAATAGTTAATACGAAAAACTAATTTTTAGGCTGCGGTTCTCAGTGTACAATTCGTATTGTTAAGATTTACACTTGATGTCTTAACCGCAGCCTAAAAGTAAAGAATACCAAAAAACTAACCCTCTTTGAATGGCAAATTTTCCATTTCAATAAAACTTCAACTAAACCTTGTTTGTCCTTATTAATAGCATCTATTAATACTTTGTAGATCTGTTTACTAATAGCGGATTCTTTCTCGTCTTCGTCGTCTGTTCCATTTAAATATTCCGAGGCAACTTTGTCGTCCATTTCTAAAAATGTTTAATAATCAAAAAATAAGTGGGCATTTAAAGCACAAATCCACGACGTACCAATGAACGTGCACATTTTTTTAAATCGAATTACCAAACCAAATGCGAACCATTTGATATTTTTATCTAATTTTTTGCATTTTTTGTAAAATATTCAACAAAGAGAGCGCCAAACACAAACGTCATAAACCGAATGTGACATATGACAGTGACACTAATGAGTAAGACAGGATGTGATTAATAAGAAGAAAGTGACGTTTATGCGAGTTGCGAGGAATCCTTCCGAGATTTAGACAAGATTTTTTTGCGCATGAGCACAACTTCTGTAAACTTTCCAAAACTCTTAACTAGCCAAAAGTGTTATTAAATAAAGCAATTTTTCTTATTATGAAAAGAAATTAAACTTTGAAACTTTAACAATACTTTAATGTTAAAAACTTTTTATGAAGTCGTAAATATATTGTTTAATTTTGAAGTATATTTGCCATAACCAGCTATATTTTTTTTATGTAAAAATTGTCTATTTGGCCTTTTTATTGAGCTAAAAGTCTACCCTAAAAGTTTTAACAACTTATATTAGAAGTATCCAACAACTCGGCTCATAATTTCAGTTATTGATTATATAAAAGTGGCTGCGCATTAAGAATTTCTATACTTGACGTCCATAGCTATAAGTGCGATGTTGCCATATCGTTCACATCTTCCTTACCCCAACGACAAACCGACTTTTTATTTAGCGCTTTTTGGACAATCTAGCAGCAACTCACTTAAATAATATACTCCCTAATAATACATTTTTTATCTAAAAATATTAGTACCAGTTTAATTTGAGTAGGAAGTTTATAGAGGCGTATACGTTGTCGAACCTGTTGGATGAAGTTGATATAAGAAGTTGCTGTGGCAACACTGCGCTCAATCGTCCCTAAGTTTTTATTACGCGAAAAACGGCATCGCTTCTTTACCTGAACTTTTCCGAACTTATTGAAGTGTTTAAAAATTCGCATTCGGCGTTTCTACTGCATAGTTTTCGACCGATATTAACTAAAAACTACGTTATTATGAAGGTAAGTGTTACATTGGGAGTTTTTACGCGATATTCGCCGTTTTCACGATTAGCGAAAAGTTTGTGTTGGAAAATATTGTAGGTTATGTTTGACGGAAAAGTATCAACTGACCAAATGAAGTTGAGATTTTAAATACGATATTAAACTTTTTTATACTTTAACTTTTCAATGCAGTACTTTCGAACAGTTTTCGAATAGTTATTATTGGTAGTAACTTTTGAATTGTTTTTCAGTGAATTATGGAGCAACGTCGAAGAAAACAAGCTCATTTTATAGAAGAATTGTTAAATATCGTGCCGAGTTCGTCGAGAAGCAAGGGCAAGCAGAAGAAAGAACATAAGGTAAGTTTTTAATATTTTCAATTTAATTTCAAGCTTTAAAAGAGTTTTTATAATGAGTAACTAATGGTAAAAGGCCAGAAAAGAAGAATTGCAAGTACTTACCAGCCGCCATTTTGGTGGTACCGTGCGCGCCGCCATCTTTACAAAATGAACATATTTCGCATATTTGCAAAATTAAAAATTGCTTGTACTTTTCGAAATTTAATTAAATTGTTTTATTTAATCATATATGCACAAAACAATTTAAAGAAACTTAGAAAACAGTTCTGGATTTATACGAGTTTCTGTGATCGATTTCGAAAGAAGTTCCAGGAGTTGCGTATAGGTGGCGCCATGTGTCTTGTATTCAATTATATTTCAAAACTCCCAAAGTTTTTTCTAGATGCTAGTGTGTTAATACATAAATAAAGACTTGTTTCTAGTAAACATTTGATTCACAACATTTTAGAAATCTTTGTTCGAAAACTTCTAATTCGAAAATATGTTAGTCAATACAGTCAATACAGTCACAGTAAGAAAGTAGTAAAATCGTTGCAGGAATGCGATTTTCCGAAAACGAAACTAAAAACTAACTATGCGTAAGTACTAGGAATATGACATTGAAAAGTCTGCTCGGAGCATATGTTTGGCGCAGACTGTTGGAAGTTCTTCGTCGAAGTTCTCACTTCAATTTCGAAGTTTCGCGAACGGTTTGAAAATGGGTTTTAACGCAGCGGAAATTGTTTCGTATATGTTTTTTGGGTTGAAAGTAGAATGCAACGACGGGAAATGCACTTTCGCATGAGCAACTTTCCATGTTTCGCAACTAATTTTCGAGCATTCTTTGTTTCATTAGGACGAGCTCGACGTTATCCTGAAATTTAACCATTGGCGCTCTAATTTCTTGTTTCACTGATAAAAATACTATATTAATTCTCACTTGGGTAAGTAGCTATTACAGCTTTTTAAAATTCAACAAATTGATTGTGCATTAAAAACTAAATCTTCATTTGAAAATTTCTGAACTATTCACCCTTTGGTACGGCACTGATTGTCATAAAACTTGATGTAATTAGAATGAAAACCAGAAACTGAAAACAGAAATAGTGTCTCCGTTTTACTTCAGTTTTGTATATGATGGTGGAAGCTTCATTTGATAAACTTTTCATTCAAAAAGTTGAGGATATATGATACACTAACATTTTATTAAGTTTAAAATATAATATATCAAAATTCACGACTATATTTTCCATATATTTTCATAATTAGGTATACTGCATTATGGATATTTTTGATTATACCGCATACCATTTGCATAAACTATTTCTATCACTTTTAGCAGATTGGATTATTAAAAAAAAACTGATTTTATCTCATGCACAATTGGGTCTTATATTATCGAAAAATTCATGTTTTTATTACATAACCGTCGGCGTTTCCTATCCATTTCCTTAGATGATTTTCCACGGCCAGCCGACGAAATTTCGCCCGCGGGTGTCGTACGTGCAACACTCTGGTGTCCGAATAAAGAGAAAGATTTATATTCGCTTTCAACGTCGGCCGGGCCCTAATGAAATATTGTATTCATGGGAAGAACGTCCCCGGAGGAACACCTTCGCATCTCCGCAACATATTTCGCACTCGTTTCTTTTTTTTTTTGATCCCGTTCGTTATACATTCGAACGACAAACGGACGTTTCAAGATCCCGGTCCCGGTCAAATGCATACCGGGAAATCCATTCCTCGAATTTCGGAGCTCTATACATATATATATAATTGAACTGATTGCTTAGACAAACGCTCCGGCTACTGAAAGGGCTCTCTCGTCGTCCATCGAATTTTCTCTTTTCGATGGCACACAAAGCATTCCTCGGTGCTTCCTGCAAAACGGACGAGGAAACGTCATTAATTAAATTTCGGAGATTTGTTTTCGGGGTTCCGACCCTCGACCTCGGCTTGTCCCCGTAGAACACTCACTGTATACGGAACAGTCCAATATTCCTGTTGCTATTTACACACGTGCCTGGGTAGGTACTCAAAACATTTTTAAATTTAGTTACGAGTACAAAATATTCCTTATTTAGATACATATGAGGCTAGGTTTCTATTTTTATCGTCACTTAGGTTATTGGTGAATAAAACGAGTTGAAAATTTTCGGCGTTGGCAAAAGAGTGTCGTTTAAGGGAATGTATTTAAATATTTAGATGAAAATAAGCCTCGATTCCACTTAGTGGCGGTTGTACGTCGTCGGCTCCGGCTGCGAATTTGCATTTTAAAGACGAACCCCTTTTCCTCGGCTCTATGAATACTAACAAAAAATACGCTCTCGCCCCCCTCTCAACTCGGTATAAGATTCGCTCGACTCTTAACGAACCACCGTACAGGGTAGTTAACTTTCCTTGCTCTCCACTTTAACGCATCCGAGTCCGAAGGTAATTTCGTGCAGGCGCATTTTAGATTCGAACGGGAATTTCGTAGTGAATCAAACCGCCCGACCGCTGGCTCTTATTCCGAGGCACCCCCGAAACCGAAGAAACGGCGGCGGCACAAACACACAAACTCCTTTAAGACCGAGTCCGAAACTTGTTCAAAGGCGCGGGAGTTTCGCCGAGAAACCGCCGCCTCCTAGCCCCCATACCTGATTGCAATTTCTAAAGCGCGACTCCTTTTGCACCGCCAGCGGCGATCGGCGTCGCGACGCTCGAGTTTACAACCTACATTATGAATTCGGTATTGTTTCGTACGTTGAAAAATGCACGGCGAGCGGTGTAAAATTCGATCATCGATTTACACGACTATGTACTATATTATAAGAGAAAATCCTAATTCGTCGACGGCGTGTCTTCGCTCGAAACCGGTCTTGTATTTTTGAAAATCCAATTAAACTGATCCCTCTAAGTGAGCCCTTCTACATTTTGGTCTTATCCAACTTTTCACTTAACATTTCCCCGAAAGCATTCCAGTCCGTTGTCTTTATTCCCTTCCGACGACGTTCGGTGTTTCGGGTTTGCCAATCGAAATATCCCACCGCCGAAAATTGATGTAAAAAGAACCCACCAAATCCGCGAATTTTCGAGAAAATAATTTAACACAACGTGCCCCGTCATTTTCCTTTCTAAATATTTTTTTCTATCCAACTTTCCGTCCGGCCAAATACCGCATTACCTCTCGTTAATGATTCAAAGAAACGGGCTATAAGCAAACGGAAAGTCCTGGAGGAGACGGGCGGCCTTTGCTCGGGACGGGGTTCTTTCTTGCGGCCACCGGGGCCCTCCCTTCGCCCATTCGATATAGGCCAACTCCCGAAAACTTCCCGAGCAACTCCCAAGTCGGTGTGGCCGTGTTTGAATTTTCGCTCGAGTTCGCGCGTACCATGCGGGCCCCGTCTTGGATTTACGTCAGCCCATTGCATTTTGCTTACCATTACTGTATTGTGTGTACACAACGGTTAGGGCGAGAACTGCGGAGAACTGATCGATATATCGCTTCGCCAAAAAAAAAAAACTAAATTAATCCAAAGCGAGGATAATATTAAAATTCGAACCGCAACGACCGAACGCAACGTTCCGCATCGGCGGATCGGGCCCGCGAAACTAATCAATGTTTCAGGATTAGGAAGTTTTCCGAGCCGATCTCTCGAGGGCGGCTAATTAAGAAATCGTTAGGTAAGAAAGGAAGCTGACGCGAAGTCGAGATTCTTATTATTTACCGCGACTTCCCGTTTGATTAATTCATTCATCCCGGCTTCCGCCGCGCTAATGTTTTATCCCATCGACTGCGCCACTTCGTTAAAATTCACGTGCACGCAAATGACG